CTTTTCCTATTTTTTCTTTTCCTATGTACATATGTACTTTCTTTCCTCCACTAATGATGCGACCACGCCACTCGCTAATAGCGAGGTGATCCAGTAAGTTCTTGAATTAGCGCTTAGGCCATTCGCTGCAATTGGCGACAGCTGCTCCGCTTCAGCGCTCTCTGGCCTAGGGTTTACTGTCTTATTCGTCAACTGGTCTCGTTCTGGGTTCTTGCATCTGCTGACCAACCCGTGAAACCCTTGACAAAAGCACGTCAACTCGCTACATTCCACTTTTGACCGTTACAAAAGATAGCATCGCAGTAACGCATCTGTGACTATTCATCCTGTGGCCACAAGGTCGATGCGTCTGGACGAACGCAATTCATTTCATTCACATCTATGTACGCGTCACTCGAGAGACTGGTACCACGAGATATAGCCGTTGGCAACGTCTTTGACCAAGTGCTTACCTGATCACATATGTTGGCGGGCAATTGCATCATCTTGTCAAACCAGAGCCATGCCTACCGAGGAAACAGCTATAGCCAACGGGGGCCATTCACGGCGTGTTGCATGCAAGGTACGTTGATAAATCTCAACCGCTCAAATCACGCCCCTTAGTTAAAATACAGTCAGCTATGTCGGGATCGCAAAGTCAAATGTGGTGGTGAGCAGCCGCAGTGTCAAAAATGTGTACGGGCCGGCGAACAGTGCGTATACGTGCCAGTGCAGAGACCGACCAAGGCAGATCTGGCCCAGACGGTAGAGTCGTTGCAAAAGCGTCTTGGTGAGTTCTCTTGCCTTATCATGCTGGGTCGGCATCAAAATTTCATTCCCCAATGGCGTGATTGCTAATGCACCACTGCTCGGTCACGTGGCCAGACGAAGCAGAGGCCTACATCGCTCGCTTGACTACATCGCCAGGTGACGACGTCACTCCACCGTCTTCACATACTTCCAATGTGTATATGAACTCTGGCGCCCTGGCTCCAGCCTATTCAACAGTTCCAACGCCCTCTGCAGTGCATTTAGGAGGGCGAGATGTCGATGCTCCTGTCAATCCATCAAGGGAAACAGATCTGCTGTATCAAGAACAGGATCTGCACCCAGCCGATCAAGATCTTTCAGATCCGCCGATGTGGCCAACTCTGGAGGAACATGCGCAGTTTGAAGCAAATGGCGAGCATATGAACATTGACCCGGTCGGCCTGGATTTCTATGTATCGAACGCGAACGTGACTGATTATCACAAGAATATCAGCGAGGAAACAGGTACCGCAATTCTCGGGCCGGTGGTAGCGTTTTCTTCGGCCGTCCTCCGTAACCAGGCCGAGGCATCCGTCATGGGTTCTTTGATCGCAGACTACATAGACTGGCTTCGAAAGGTCCCGCCCGGCGGTGGCGGCTCGGTCAACCAAGGGCCACACTACGTCGGGATTCTAGAGACACTAGAGACCCGGGTCCGAGAACTATGCGATACGAGCCAGTCAAGAAGCAGCAGTGCCCTGTCGGAATTGATAACGGCATTGAAAGGGGTTGCACCACCGGACGGTGCTCTAGCTGCAAGACTTGACGGCCTCGAAGATGAGCTCCAGAAAGAAGCATGTGAGCGTGCAGAATTCTTTCGTTCACGTTATAACATATGTGCACTCCTTACTGAGCAGGCTCGAAACATATCATGATAATAAAACAGGACCTCTGTTTGGACATATGTAAACAAATGATATACTCCACCTCCGGACCCGCGACGACCTTGACGCTTAACCCTCCTGCGACCCTTGACGCAAAACGCCCCCAAATTGAACCCAAATGAAAGCCTGAACACTGTTGCAAAATGGACAAGTACTTTCCACGGGCGATGCGTTCGTGCATCTCATGAATTTGGCTTATTAAACAGTCTTGACAGATTAATGGGCCTATTCAACAGTACTGTTCGGAGCTGATATGCGCATCGGGACGTCAAGAATTCAGCGGAACCTGAGATACAAAATGAGTGATGCTAGCAGCGCTATGTTACCTTGGCTAGCAGCGCTATATACCACTATATCCCGTAATATGCGCCTGCATATAGCCCGCTAATATTTTATATTTTAAATTCTAATTATTAGAAATAGCTTTAAATTTGATTTTTATTTACTTAAGTAGTATTTTAAGCCTTTGCGCAGTATTATAGCTATTGTGAATAGCTGCTACATTTATCGTTATTTTTAACGACGAGGGCTTATTCAAAAAATAGATACCTAGTAGGTAATTAAGCCAATTACTTACGATATAACGCATAAATTAGTTTCCTTCGAAATAGCCTTATAATTTCTCGCTATTTTCCCATTTACGGCAGGCTATATACAGGTGTAGATAACGGGATATGGTGATGTATAGCGCTGCTAGCCAAGGTGACATAGCGCTGTTAGCCAATGTGACATAGCGCTGTTAGCATTACTCTACAAAATGCTGTAAGATGGTGCTTCAGTGAGGACTGATTGATCTCCAGTGGGGGCCGGTCCACTAACAACATTTTAGACGCCAGCTCCTAGCGGACAGCGCTGAAACTTTTAGCGCATTGTTCGGCCAAGACTCACCGGGACTGAACTGAGCGACCGAACGCGTATGATAAGTTTTCAGAGCTGATGGTGAAGAATTCCTCGCACCGATTTTGGGCATCCAGAAAATATTTTGCATTAAATTTACCTGCAGTCAGTCATGAAGAAATCAATTCTAGATATGATTTTGTGCTTCTCACGTTCTCAAGTCTTGAATCCTGCTCGGCCAGATCAGCCCGAAACACGGTCACTAAAACTTCGGTCAACTCGGACCGAAGCGACCGTGAGCCAATAACACGCCTGAGTTGCCACGACTTTCCAAAACACATGAACTTCTGCATTTGAAATGTAAATAATCAAGTTTTGTGTATTATTCCAAAGATTACGCAAAGTATCTTGCCGAGTTAGAAGGTCTGCTAATCAAAGAGAAAAGCATCACCTCCCCGAAGCTTACAAACTTGCAGGTATCTCTTCCTCCCTCGTTCGGATTGCGACCATACAAATACAAGTATCTAGAACCTATAATCTGTTTATTTCTTTGTAAACAGCCTTCTTGCATACTTAGGATTACCCGCAGAGCAGCAGCTTAATATTGCCCAACATGAACACCGACAGAGCCACCAGTTCTACGACCGACTACGATGACAAGACCCCGGAGGTTCCTACTGCAATCCAAGACAATGTGGGCGATGTAGAGAAGCCAGATGGGAACAAGAAAGAGACGGCGGCCTCAGATAAGGAGCCAAAGAGGACAGTGACGGGTCTAAAGGTGCGTTTACCCACGATGTAAATGCCTATGACTGCTAAACATTTGCCTGGTTTAGTGGTTCATTATTTACACCTCTCTAATGTCCACTGTGAGTAATTCTACTGATTATGCTAGAGAAAGTGAAATTTCTGAGAATTGATTCATCAGGTTCTGCTTTTTGCTTTGGACAACACTATTGTGCGTATAATGCCACCTTTCAAACTCGTTAACCAGCTAACGGGCGTGCAGGTTGCAACCATTCAGCCCGACATAGTGGAAACTTTTGACGATCAACAAAATCTAGCATGGATTGGCGTGAGCTTTATTCTTGGCCAGGTCGTCATTCTGCCCGTGTTCGTGCCGTCTCGAATTCTACCCAGCAACCAACGAGATGCACTGACTCTCGAATGTGTAGTGGAAAAGCCTATGGCATGTTCAGCATGAAGTACCTCTTCATCATTAGCCTCATATTGTTCGAGGGTGGCAGCGCAATTTGCGGAGCTGCACCCAACATGGTTGCCATCATTGTCGGCCGTGCCATTGCTGGCGTGGGCGGAGCGGGCGTCTACGTGGGAGGACTGACCTACATCAGTGTCTTGACCACTCCACATGAGAGGCCTCTCTACCTTGCCATTCTCATGTCTGTTTGGGGATTTGGCAATGTTCTCGGTCCTATCATTGGCGGCTCGTTTGCGGTTAGTTCTGCTACTTGGCGCTGGGGATTCTACATTGTGAGTATTGAGACACTTGCTGTCGAGTTTATGGTTTACTAACAATCTTTTTTGGCAAAATCTACCCATCGCCGGCATATTCGCACCTGCTTTCATATTCTTGATTCCAAATATCAATGCCATGCCGGAAACACCCTTTATGAAGAAAATTCGTATGCAGGATTGGATCGGAATCGTCATTTTTACCGCCTTGATGGCATGCTTTTGTATGGCAGGCAGTTTTGGTGGCGTCCTGTACGCCTGGAATAGCGGCTCCGAGATTTCTCTTTGGGCTGTCACCTTTGTCCTCTTGATCGCATTCATACTAACTACCATTTATCATCCACTGGTACCAGTGCAGTCGAGGCTTATGCCAGTGCAATTCATGGTTACGAGAGATCTCATCATCATACCCCTGCAAGCCTTCCTGGTAGCGGGCAGCATGATGATGAGCATCTATTACACTCCTCTAGTGTTCCAATTCACTAGAGGAGACAGTCCTCTGATGGCTGGTGTGCGCATTCTCCCGTTGATATGCATGATTGTCTTTGGCTGCCTCTTCAACGGGGTCGCCATGCCGAGGTTCGGATACTACTTGCCTTGGTATGTTGTGGGAAATGCCCTGCTAGTGGCTGGCGCGGCACTGATGAGTATGTTGCATTCCCGTCCGTTGATCTGGCAGAGGAAGCTTGGATCATGTTACTGATAAACATTCTTGAACAGCGACCATCACCCCCTCAATCTCCAATTCGGCACTCTACGGGTATACGGTCATCATTGGCCTAGGCGTCGGCGCATTCCAGAGTGCAGGTATCGCCGTGGCATCAGCCCTCGCCCCTGCGTCCGAGATCTCAAATGTTGTTTCGGTCATGACAATCGGTGCGTAGAAGTATACAACCTTGGGGAATTTTGGCCTCGTTGAAGACTAAAATCATGGGGTATAGCACAAATCATAGGCATCACCTTTGCCCTTGCCATTCCGGGTTCAATTTTCCAAAACAAGGCTATCCAATACATTGCCGAGGTCTTGCCCGACATACCTCGGAATGAGCTTGCGCAGTTGATTACCGGAGCGAGTGGGCGATTTTACAAGAGTCTAAGCGAGGCCGATCAATTGTTGGTTGTTGAACAAATCACCAAGGCTATCAGCGAAGCCTTTTACTACTTGGTGGCCGCGACCGCTGTCGGCTTCATCACATCACTATTCTTGAGTGTAAGTCTATTCATAGCTAAAGGGCACCGGGACCTGGTCTGTGGATGGTGATTTTATACTAATTCAAATAATTTTGCTAGCCACGGAAGCTTTTCCTTTCGGGTGGCAGTGTCGCATAAGGGGTGCGATAGCAAAGAGTGAACCAACTGAACTGGTCATATGCCTGGTGCCGGCCGAAGACGTAAATTTTATTGGTATTTGGCAGGGGCGAGGTTGGTAGAAAATGTCTTACCCGAGCCAATATAAGAAAAAGATTGGATGGAAAGAACGTTAGAAAAAGCTTTTGGGAAGAAATTTTAGATAATCCTATAAAATTATTTTTTTTTTTTAAAAAAAAAGAAAGAAAGAAGGTGCTAAAGAGCTATCTAATATATATAAGCAGGTGATTTGCGGTAGGTACTGATTACGATCATATTATCTTATCGAATCCTTTACTAAAAGATAAACTACTTGAGCTCCTCTGAAGCAGCTTCATCCCACTAGGTAATCGAATGATTATCGCCACATCCGCTATCTGGTATCATCCTCTGTACCTAACTATTATGGCACATGTAAGAATTACTGGCTGTGGATCACCATTCTGAGCAACCCCTACATGGCGCAGTAAACCATTTCTGTGTAGATGCTGACTTGGGATCTCCGACATTATGATTATAGGGCACAGCATCACTCATATTTGAGAAGAGTGTGAATCTGCTGGATATCTTAAGTCCCTAATCCTTCAAGCTCTTGAGTTCACCATATACCAGGTTGTAACATTCCGAGAGGTGGGGAAAACAAAGACGACTTGGGAGAAACAGCTGGATTCTAGGTCTGAGCTCTGGAACGTCTGTGTTTCCCCTTGTTTTCCGAAAGTCACTTAGGTTGCCTTTCTGACTCTAGGTGTTAAACGTATCCATAACCACTATTAGGCTAGTTCCTAGTGTGGAGCTTCACATTTTGTTCAGCTAGTACAGTGGTATGGTGCGATACTAGGATAATAACGGCGTCGGTATTCCCAACACACAAAGAAGAAAATAGTAAGTAAGCCTGAGACAAGCATGGTGCCGAAGAATATAAGGCACAAACCCCAAACTGGAATTGGGTGCTCGCCATCAGTCTCTTGTCGGGTGAGATGGATGGGATGGACGTGATTAATTAATTGCCGAAATTTAGTCATCATTTCTGCTTTAAATCAATAATTGCTGCATAGAGAACCGGCTTTGGGTATATAATACTTAGTACTATTATGACTAGATTTTACTTTGAACGTACCTTTGAATAGTGTCTTTAAGTCTTAAGTGCGATGCTGAGAATGGTATATCAGCCTTATTTGAATGGCCGGTCAGGGTAATTGCTTGATTGCATGTCTGCGATACTTGCGTCGCGAGAAGAAGCTAGGCCGAGAATTGATTGGGGTGGAGGTTTGGCCTTATATGCATTGTCAGCCGCGTAAAAGGATCAATGAGAAGCTTGATAACCAAAGCCGTTTGATTAGGTTATATCTCAAATGCAGAGAAAACCAACGTGACCAAGTCTTCGCCCGAAACAGGCTTCCTACATGTTCAGGCAGCGTTGCTTATGCCGGTGATAACCTTATTCAGTGCCCTCGATCCATTTTCTTCTTTTGTCAAGCGCAAAGCCTTTTCAGGCCGCACGGATCATCAACTTATGGAAGCCTTATTTGATAAAAATCACCCGACTCAGCAGAGCGACGGGCGTCGGTCACGCTTTTGCGCTATGAATGATAGAGAAAAGAGTGTCATAATTTGATGCTTGAAATTTCGTCGCATTCAGAAGCAGAAAACTTACTTGAAGTAGCAAAGGCGGCCGAATGTCAGGGATCTACACGTGATTGCAACGTGCAGGCAGTGGACAGTCTTGCTGGTTTTGTTTCAGTGAGATGGCGCGTTGCTAGTTGTACCATTACAGTTGCCGTATAATTGATATTGGGAAAGTGGAAGTTTACAATTGCCCAAGAACCCCGGCACTAGCCTTCCCCAAAAGCCCTTGTAGGAACTTGACCTGGGCAAAGGGGCGATACAACGGTCTAGTGGTTCTCGATTTAAGTTTCCCATATCAATCGCAGTTCTACATACGCGCCGAGACGGCCCGAAGATTCTTTCGTTCTTCTTATCGCTTGAGCAGTGTTGTGGCGGCGTATAACCCAAAATCTGAGCTGCAAAACCTTACAAAGAGACATTTGAAAATCCTGTCGCTGTTGATCTGGCTGATGCTTTTTGATAAGCAAAGGGCGTTGCACTGATGGTTTTCACTGCTTGACAGGTCAAATAATGGTGTTATTCCCACCTGATGCTACTACTATTCATTGGACATCTACTTATTCCAGAAGGGTCCCGGAAAGCGGAAAGACACCAATAAACTTCTTCGGCAATCCGTCCATTAATTAAGCGACCTGGAATTTTGTATGAGAACCCTTCGCCTTTCCGTCATTGGCTTACGAAGTACTCGCCGATGATGTCGTGTTGCCCTTCGGAGGCAGAACAGCAGGGTACGGTTCAACTGAACCATCACCCCATTCATTCAAGGCCCTGCCTCCATCTTCTTCATACTTGGCGGCGGCAACGAAGCCGGCATTGAAATTGTCAGTCATATCGATGCCAATGGAGTGCCAAGCAAAGATACCGTCGGCCAGATCGCTGCCCATGTAGATGTACTTGACAAAGGGGTCATAGGCTCCCAAATCTCCGACGGTGTTGCCATTGACGGTCTTGTTCTCGGCCAAGATGTAGTCGTCTACGTTCTTGAAGTTTGCCGTGTCCTCGTTGGTGTTGTACGGCCAGATTGGATCCACAGCGTCACGCAGTTTCTGTTCATAATACAGTTGTCCAATGTAGCGGACAAACGTGTCATCTGTTGCAAGACCGCCGGCAATAGTTCCCTATAGCCCTAATGTCAGTGTCTGCATGGGCGATCGAAGGGGAGACGGAAGAATGAAGGAGGACTTACGTTGGCAAACGTGGTGGCATTGCCCCAGGCTACAATATGTGTATGCGTCGCACGAGGATAATAATGGCCGGGAATGATTTGATCAAAGCTGACGACTCCATGTTCGTCGGTGATTTGGATGCCACGTAGAAAGGTGGTGTTGAGACCACCCATGCCATAATATCCAGCCGGCGATTCAGCGCCGGCATAGCCACCCGTTGCATTGGCGCCCCAGATGTCGATAAACAGGGCAGGGACGGGCTTGCATGTGTTGACGTCGACAAACTGTAGTTCCAGATGCATGGGGATGCCAACCTGGTCCTCGGTAATGTTACTGCGTATGAGTTCGCCCTCGACGTAGTAAGGCCCAATGGTCTCGGCGCGGCCTAGAATGGAGGACACGTCCGTGCCAAACAGATCCTCGTACGATGTCGACCGAAGTACTGTCGTCATGTTGTGGTCCAGTGTATCATAATAGGCGACCTCTGCCTTGTTACGACGAATCAAGTGGGTATCAGAAGTCAAGGATCGTTCCTGTCGCAAGCGCTCCAAGGTTGAAGCGCGACGCTCAATGGCTTGCTTCTGTATGGTTGCACAATCACTTGCACATCGGCTCATCTTTGCAGCTCCGACTGCAGCTGTACGCTTGTGGAAGATGTGTTCTTTCTCCAGATGGGATATGTCCGCATGGTGATCGCCTGGATGAGCCGCTACATGGGAACCAAGAAGCGCTGCAACGAGGAAAATGATTTTGGAACAATGATTGTTGTAGATCATTTTGACGAACAGTTCTCAATGAACTTTGAATCTGATGAAAAGAGATGGGCAGATGATTTGCAATTGTCAATCTCCTCGGCGAGAGACGATGACCATTTATAATTGTCCTGAACAGCTCGGGTAATGTTCAAATAGTTCTAATGAATCCATTCACAACCATCCGCTTTGTAAGCGGAACCTTTTCTGAAATGTAGTCATACAGACCCTGTCGGAAAATTTGTATATAAGCTAGTATCTATGCATGTTTAAGATGACTCGTCTATATCAGGCTGTTCGAGCGAGCCTAAAACGCAGTTACACAGGGACGCGAAGCAACTACCGAGATCCGAATGGTGGTATGCATTTACTTAGATCGTCAAGGCCAACAATTCTGAAAAAATGCAGGTACAATCAATCGGGATATGTGAGGCCCGACCTCCGATTCAATAACAAGAACCATGATATGCCCATGCATTATCCAAGCGTTCTCTTCATCTACGATCAGGGCCTATTTACCACGATTACCAAGTATTGTATCTGTGGCAAGAAAATGATGCTACAAGAGCATCCCCAAATGAAATAATATCCTCAAGCATAACTGCGCGTAACCGGTGATTATTTGTGATTTATTTACAAAGTACCTGATCACGGTAGTTTTGAACAACATTCTGAACGGTGTGCTATTACTTGGGTATTATATAAGTGCGATCCATTCAATAAGGTTTTTAAGTATGCGCGTAGAATCCCTCGTCTAACTCAATTACCGACGACAATCTCCAATCAAGATGAGGCAATACTAAGCAAGAAAATTCGGCAATACTTGCATCAAGATATTGCCAAGCATACTCACCTACCTAGACACTTGCTAGCGACGCACGCTTCTTTTTTGAAGAGCACGGATCCTGAATTGTCCGAGTTGTCCGTGACCAGCACGGACATGGCTCCGACAGGGATAGCGCTGCGCGCCTTGCTCGAAATGTACGTCCAAGAAGGAATCTCAATTCTAATTGAATAATCCGAAGGCCGGAATTTTCTATATCAGAGTTTGATAATCGGAAGACGAATACCCCGAGCTTACATAATTTGATCTGTCGATTCGTGCTAGGAGTTCTGAAATGTGGATATCGGGGATAGTGGCGGGCACCCGCCCACCCAAGCCGTTACGGTCAAAGTATGATCGAATACGATACCTTGAACACTCCCGTTTGTGTAATCTCTGATATTTCTGAATATAACCTCTTTGGCACCCTCCTGTCGCCCTGTTTCCTCTCTTTTCCGCTTCATTTTCCAGAAACACCCAAAGAAGGCAGGACATAATCTTCATATCGGAAAGGTGCGCCAAGACTTGGCCATGGTGGTTATTCCGCATACACCTAGGTTAGACAGTAACGTCAGACAGTCTGCTGATCCATTGCCATTTTCAACACTCAATTCTCAGCAGTATACGATCATCGTCTGTGGCAACTGCGAAATAATCGCCCATGCATGATTGCTGATAAACCCGCCTACATGCGAATGCCCGAGTCAGCTGTCAATATCAGTGAAATCCAAGTTATAGTGACGTGGCGCTAACGCCGAGTTATAATTATAAGCTGCAAATAGTCTTCTGCTTGCCTTTTCGGTCACAGTAGTACAGCGCTGATAGTCTCACGTATTCCATGTATACACCACAGGGTGACTGTGGGGTGTACCACCCTTCCATAACACAATAGGAATGTCTAGATTAAACTAGTAAAGGTCTCCATACCAGGATGGTTCGAACTGTACTTTTCCCCGTCCCTCTCGATTTTTCCCCTCTCATCTTCTCCTTACAGTCAGGTTTCCTTCTCAATAATAACAGAAAGAGAGAAAAATGAAACAAAAATAAAAGAGGAATAAAATAAGAGAGAGAAATAGAGAAAAAGAGAAAAATAAAGGATAAGAGAAAAGAAAATAAAGAAGAATTACTATATAATTCAAATATACATACTTTTGCAGCCTTGCTATCCTGAATTCTGCCTTTTATTTTCCAGGAAGCTTTTCGTATCAATTATAAGCTCTGATGGCCCCTGATAATCTACATGTATGTATGTTACAACACTCTCTCCTATGGTGGCCTATTCTGATAATTCCATTGGGCGAGCATGTTGACAGCAATCTCCAGTCATGATTAAGGTTGCCCAGTCGGATTGAACCCATCTATGTACGACTCACTATCTTTGGGTTATTCAAGACTTGCTTTCTCTTGTGGATTTATACCAATACCGAGATCGGTCGCGCAGTGACAAAAGCAATGTGGCAGACTTCAAGCTATGAAACAGATGCAAAAGTTGCTAAAGATCTGCAGGATCCCCTCTTGGAAGATAAGATTCTCAATAGGATCTGGGGAAAGAAGGTCGCTCGCTAGACGATCTCATTAACTAGCTGACTAGCTGATGATCAACAACGTGATAAGAGACACTATCCGACCCTGTTGCGGCTCACGTACTCTGTGCAATTCCCGACCCGCTACCCCGCTACCCCGCGTGGCCGCGGTTGGCTACGACTATATCATAAAGCCATTCAATATGTAGGTTTCTCGACATGGCATGATAGTTGCTACTTCATTCAATTGTGTTATATAATCATGAGTCCTTCAAATAAACCCATCATCTTGATGATTCACGGCGGATGGCACTATCCTAAGTGCTATGATCCTTTCTTGGATCGATTAAGAGCCCGGGGATACACGGTTCTTTGCCCCGTCTTGCCAACACTGGGCCCGAACACGCATGGCAAAACCCCTGCAGATGATGTTGCCCACATTCGCGAGGTGGTTCTGCCACTGTTTGACGCGGGAGAAGAAGTTGTCATAATCGGGCACTCTTACGGCGGCATTCCTGCCTGTGCATCCACCGAAGGTCTTGGAGTAGACGAGCGAGCCAAGGAAGGAAAGCGGGGTGGTTTCCGCTCCATCATATATCTGGCAGCCTTTGCCATTCCGCAGCGAGGAATGGATCTCTTGACGACATTTGGCGGTTCTTGGGGCGTGTGGCAAAATGCCACCAAGCCATACACGAGGGTAAGCCAGCAAAGTCTGTAGCACAAGTGTGATACCACATGCTTATTTGACACACAGAATCAATTGATCTCTGTAAATGAGAATGCGAAGCATGCATTCTTCAACGACATGACGCAAGAAGAAGCTCAAAAGTGGTTTGACACACTGGTGCCTCACTCACAGGACGCCTTCGAAACTGGCGTCAATTTTGTTGCGGCGGATCTCACTATTCCGAAGGCATATGTGATTTGTGAATTAGACCAGGTGAGTAACAGAAATTGTTCAACACAACAGGCTCATGCTGACCCTTTCATTTTGTTAGGCTATACCGAAAGAAGTTCAGGAGCGACTTGCGGCAAGCATCCCAGGTTTTAGGGTTGAGAGATTGAATGCAGGTCATAGTCCATTCCTGAGCCAACCGGAGGAATGTGCTCAATGTACTCTCAGAATTATCGAGAACCCTTAGACAAGACATCGGGAATTTCCTAACAAGATAGTCTCATTTCTTCCGGTACTCGTGTCGGTCCAACGGATGTCTTAAAAGCACTGCAGTCTCTGGTTGAGGCCAGTAAATCATCAGCAGTGAAAAGCTTTGATATTGGTGGAAACCCAGTTGAACATTGCCAGTGCGGAGGTGAAGGAAGGGCTTCTGTTCTTGTAACCAGAAAGGGGTGCGGAGTCGGGACTGATACAACACTCCAAAATAATCCATGTGTGCTGAACATACTAAATTTGAATGCCAAGCTGCAGCTTTGCCACTCCGCCAGGAATGAGATCTCCAAGATAGGTAATTTAGACGTTGGTGGCACATGACTGTCGGTGAACTCTGAAAAATGCACAGACTTCATATAGCAAGATTATCTAATACTTTTAGTCAGCACAGCTTCTTGTCCGCGGCCACCTATCAACAATTTTTCCAAATCCGTGTCTAGTCACTTGTGTTTACGGCTGAAAGGAACTGATATACGCCTATCACCCATCACGGCGTATTTTAGAAAATGATTTTCAACATTCTAGTAAAGCTTCTTGGAGTCATTGAGATCCAGCTTGCTCGAAGTGAACGACGAAAGTGGCAAACGTATACTCGGAGTACTTCCGGTTCTCAAACAAGCATGGAATTCGTGAGGTCTAAGCTATCCCATGCATGTACCGATCACAGATGACAAAGGATCAGTGATATATAACAACAATGTACCAACACGAAAAAAAGTCATCAACCTAATTTCTTCCACGGCTTAACTCGGCATCATGCATCACTACTTCCTCTCCTTGATCGCGGCAAGCCATACAGGCCTTGCTGCTGCTGTCTCCGGAACAGCATATGGCTTCGCGACGGGCGTGTCTGGAGGCGGCTCGGCCACTGCTGCTGCGCCATCTGATATAGCCCAGCTCAAGTCATGGCTTGCAGACAGCACGCCTCGAGTCATACTCATCGACAAGACCTTCAACTTCAAAGGGACCGAGGGATCTGCTACTGGCTCGGGTTGCTACCAGAGCACCTGCACGCTTGCAAACGGTGGTCAAGACTATATTGGCACCTTGAGCTGCACAGGAAGTAACATGATCTCCACGACCATTACCTACGATGTCGCCGGCACCACACCACTCGAGGTAGCTTCTAGCAAGACAATTTTGGGCGTCGGCAGCGCGGGCGTAATCCAGGGCAAAGGACTGCACTTGGCGTCTGGCGTGTCAAATGTCATTATCCAGAACGTGCACATCACAGACATTAACCCGGGCCATGTTTGGGGTGGAGATGGTCTCCAAATGGACGGTGCAACGGGGGTCTGGATTGATCATTGCAAGTTTAGCAAGATTGGAAGACAGTTTATTGTTTCGCAGTAAGTATCTTGATTATCTGTCATCTGTCAGGCCAATTAGTGTTCTGAAATGTGGGCTGATCCTTTGCACTAGCTACGACCGCAACCAATTTACCGTCTCTAATACCGAGTTTGATGGTACCACGACGACATCAGCCACGTGTAATGGAGAACACTATTGTACGTAATAATTCACACAATGGCTACGTTCTTGTTAGGAGCTAACTCTTTTTTCTTCCAGGGACCAACATGTTTATTGGCAGTGGCGATGTAATCACGTTGGACAGAAACTACTATCATGACCTTTCAGGTTCGTCTAGCTCAAGCACACTTTGGAGAACAAAACACGACTAACAATTTTAGGCCGTGCCCCCAAGCTTGGTGAGCCCGGCGCCACAACTGTGGTCCAAGCTACCAACAATTACTTTTACAACATGAAGGGTCACGCATTTGACATTTACCAAGATACCTCGGCTCTTGTCGAAGGCAATGTCTTTGCAACCGTCACAACGCCCATGACCAGTACCAGTTCGTCCGGCGCCGTCTACGATGTACCTGATTCATCATCAGCTTCAGCATGCTCTAGCTATCTTGGGCGCTCCTGTCAGGCCAACTCGCTGAGTGGCTCGGGATCATGGCTCAGTCTCAAAAATACGGCTGTACTGAGCACATTCCAGTCGTATGGCAGTCGATGGATGGTATCTCCAATCGCAGCAAGCAGTGTTAGCGCAACAGTCCTAGCAAACGTCGGAATCGGAAAGATTTAACGGAATCATGATCATCTTGATAAAGGATCTGCTATCATAGTTATACTATTAAAGGACCCTGGCCCAGCGATTACTACTATCTACCTATACACGCGCTGATATTGGGGGGTGTTGCAGCAGGGGATCTTCAATCTGCGGGGGTCCCCACTCAGTAAAGGCTGGTAACGTGAAACTTTGATAACGCCCATAGTACCTAGTTCCCTAGGCCATGAATCCAAAGAAAATTGCACGAATCGGATCAGAACCAAAGCGACGACTAGATGATTGCCCTCAATTCCATGTGAGCAATCAACTCAATAGTTCGGCGATAGACAAGAACTGTGAAAGACGTCCCAAACCCCGCGAGTGCCGGATGACCCCAGTTTTCGGGATTTTAGACTAGCCTGCACGCAAAAGGATTATATGTAGGTGCAGAACCCCGGAGATGTCCAATTCTGCAAGGGTCTGCCGCCAGAGCTGCAAAGATAAGGCTGACCTCAAATCGGCTAGATTTAGAATACCTAGGCTATGTATTGTGTACGAGCGTCAGATGAGGCCGTCGCCAAGCAGTTTGACAGCGACTGGCTGATGCAGTCTATCATTTCTGCTTACAATCTCACGTCTCACGCACATACTTGTTTGCCATCTCCCTGACCTGCGGGGTAACCCAGGCCTATTTATTCCCAGAGCCCGTCGGCGTTTGAATACTTCTTGGAATCAGACAGTCACACATTAGCGGCTACATATTTGCAAATATACCTGTTCGCGACTTGCATCTCATCATCAAGACTTTTGGTTTACCAATAAACTTTCCGCCTCAAAATGGTAGACTTTAACCTCACGGAATCCCAGACGGCGCTACGTAACAACGCCCGCGCCTTTGCCCAGACGGTCCTCTCCGGCGGCCCAAAGCTCTACTCGGAGCTCTCTTCCCAAAATGCTCGATTCCAAGCCACCCTGCCCATCTACCGCACTGCTGTGCAGGCAGGTCTAATCAAGGGCCAAGTCCCTGTTCCCCTGGGCGGAACCTCCGAGTCCCTTGTCGACGCTGCCATTGTCGTCGAGGAGTTCTTTGCCGTGGAGCCCAGCATCGCCCTCACCATTCTGGGCACGGGCTTGGGCCTGACACCGCTCATTCTGGCGGGCAATGAAGATCTGTGGGGACGGTTTCTAAAGAAGTTCTTGGTGCAAGAGGGCGAAGCAATTGCAGCATTTGTGCATTCTGAGCCCGGTGGCACGGCAAATTGGCTGGAAAAGGGGGCACCCGGTCTGCAAACTACAGCTTATGAAGAGGGTGGTGAGTGGGTGCTTAATGGCGAGAAGGTGAGTTGAAATGTGGTCCCTCGATTCTCTTCTAGACCCCGTGTAGTCTGGGTGCGATTATCCGTTGCGAGGGCGAATGCATGCAGCATACATCTAACACATGTACCAGCTCTGGACAACCAACAGCTCAGGATGGGACAACCGCGGCGCCGACATCCAATGTGTGGTATGCCGAAAAGGCCGACCCAATGAGCCTCAAGACCCAAGCATCGACCCAGCAGCAAACATCATGATCCTCATTGTAACGCGCGAGGACATTGCCCGCAACGACGCGTCCGCATACCAGGTTCTTTCCGACCCCGAACTGCCCGGCTTCACATGCGCCAACGGCCCGCACTCCAAATTCACCAACCTCCGTGTCCCCGCCACGAATCTCCTCTGCGCCCCCGGAACCGGCGTTCAGACTGTCGAGCAAACCTTTGGTTCCTCGGCTGCGCTGGTCGGTGCCATGTGCGTCGGCGTGATGCGCGCCTCGTTCGAGTCCGCGCTCCAATTCTGCAAGACGGATACCCGTGGCGGCACCGTCCCCATTATCCAGCACCAGTCCGTCGCCGACAAACTCATGGACATTAAGATGCGTGTCGAGGCCGGGCGCCTCTTGACCTGGAAAGCTCTGTAAGTGGTAAAACATGCAGTGTCTTTTTTTTCTTTTTCCTTTTTTTGCAATTTTCTCTACACGCTTCTGCTCCTGAGACCTCGTTTCCCGGTTCTATATTTTTGGCTCGGGAAATCTATGTTTTCCTTGTAGCTTGGGACCTTGCTGGAGATTTCTACGTGACCCAGAAAAAGAATTCAAGAAGCTAACACATATCAATTTACCAGGTCAGGCATTGAAAAGGGCCCTGGAGGATGGGACAACCGTCTCGAGACGGCACTCGAGGCCAAGATATGGTGCAGTGAGCAGGTGACCAAGTGTGTCGTGGATGCCATGAGCGCGGTAGGTATGCGCAGTTATGACAAGAGTATGGGATTCTCGAGAATGCTGGACGATGCTGTTTGTCTGCCACTTTTCGATGGAGGCAATGTCGGAGTTAGGAGGAGACAACTGGAGAGGATCCTTCAGGCGGATGGATATGAACCTTGGGCGGGAACTTATTGATGCCCCAGTGTAAGAACGTGAGGGCAAGTAAGGGTGATAGGTATATTCAGTATAAAAAGCAAAAGCCTACCCAATCACAAATGACTGGGCAGCGCTATAGTGACTATAAATTAGTTCCTTCGCAGATGTTACGAATATGCACCCTGGCAGGAGAATACTAATATATCAAAAGAAACGGGAAAGACGGCCGTCACGGCATACGCTATCATTATACTATAATAGGCAAAGATAATGCTCGCAATCGTCAGGAAACAATCACGAACCAGGACCTATATGCCTATGGGACGGGACCGGAACCATACAGTATCTACCATGACAAAAACCCTTATATTTACGAATCTAGAATCGGCCTTATCAACGGCTAGCTCTACTTTCATTCACTCCTGGCTCATCTTAAGACACCAGTCTACAGCAGAGCTTGGTCTGTTTCGGTAAATCCACTGTCATCGACTTAATCGCCCGATCTTGCCTCTGCTGCAAATCCTTGATCATGTCATTGATCTCTTCCATCTTCCTCTGTTTCGCCTCACCTTGAGCCTGCAGCCCCGCCGTACCACTTCTATGCGCACTCGGAAACTCTCCCACAACGAGTACTGATATACGTTGTATGGCCCTCACCTCATTGTGCCGAGCTGACCGTTTGAGAAAGGAAATGGTCACAAGACAACAACCACATCTCTCAGGGTATCTTGTATTGGTCCCTGGCCACATAACACGGGAATACATGCTAGCAGCTATGCATACTTCTTCTTCTCGAAGTCTGGGCCCTAAGAACTGCCGGAGTCTGTGCTATCCTCTGCGCAATAAAACCCGGGCTTCAACGATTTTGTACACAGTATTACTTGCACATCCTTCAATTAACCCGTATGCCAACTACATTTTCCATGAAAGCGGAAAAACCCGTACGGCATCGGGCAGCCAGTTCGCCGTCCGATTGATTCCAGAGACGCATGAGCAGGAATTAGTGCTGAGAATTGTGGTATCCAGACCAGACAATGCGTCGTAAATACCTGCAGCATTTGAGAAATTGCTTTGCGAGGATAGTCCGACTTGGCAGAAGAATAGGGCTGTGAAGAATTTTGCGCCATTGCAGATTGAGTGGATCACGGGGAAGGATCTCATCACGAGCCCGGGAAGTGGCAAATTGCGCCATATCATCGACGAGCGATTCGGGAATGGTTTGAAGGTATAGTGAAATAGTCCGTACATAGGTTCTCTCAGACGCCGAGAATAATACTGCGAAGTAGACTGAATGGTCTGCTCCTTGATTCTATGCACAGCTTGCTTTTTCCCCATCCATCCCCAATGATGGGTGGAAGGAATTTGGAGATTTGTTCTCCATTAGAGTGTACCCTCCGCCAGGACTCTAAATGCAAAGATCGTATCCGATCTTGCTCTGTTCCTCTGCGTTGATGTCTTTGTTTTGCAATTCACAGTCATCGCCACAGAACCCTTACTGCGCCTTGGCCCAAATCGAATCTTGGCTTTTTGAAGCTTGAACTTGAAGCGATTTAAGAGTCGTGCCGTGGAAACAGACACACCAGTTGGCTCTGGACTTTCAGTGAATTTGATCTCGTCCTCAAAATCTGCATGTCACTCTGAGTTAGATTTATATTAGACCAAGTCAGACACTTGGGCTGAGTCGTGTTGTATACATAAGTAGATCAGAACTGACCGCTCTCGCTATCTTGGAATTCTTCCACAGCAACCCCGTGGGCCATTTTAGCGAATTCGTATCTCGATATTTTGTTTTAATTCGTGGGCCCTGGATGGGGATCAGGCAGCAGTCAACTGTATGACGACGAACATGCAAGAAAGCTATGAAGTGGTAGTGGGGACAGTCGGCCGCGTTTGAGTTTGATATAGAATCATTTTATGAAAGTCCTTCTGTGGCTGGAGGAGAACGACGAGAATTGTCAGAGCTTTACATAACGACGGGCGGGGATCGCGGAGTTAGAAGGAGGCTGAATGCCACATGAACGGCACTCCTTCTAGATCTCGCCCCGCGTCCGCTTCGCAAAGCTTTTGGTAATACTGTAGATTTTCAGTGATGCCGATGCGAATCACATAATCCATGGCGACGAGCACAAGCGACATTCGCTAGGCATAGTGAATCAAGGGTCATATTAGCACAATTCTTGCCGAAGAAATCAAGCTTTGGAACCTGCAGATTGATGATCCCAAAGCATAGTACCATGCATTTCGGATACATCCTCGGAGGTAAGCAGCACATGCCAAGCCAATGGGAGTTAAGGTTCTGGTGGAGCGTGCAGAAACTCCGACCCCTGCACGAGTTCGCTCACTACGCCCATGGTCTCCGATCCTGGAAAAAAAAAAAATTGACAGGCAGCGCCCGAAAAGGAGAGCAGAGAACTGAATGCAAATGGTGCAACTCCGTAGGCTCTGTGAAGATGTGAGAGGTCGTGGGGCCGTGGTCTGGCTGATCTACTTGTTGGCAGTGTAGACTACTAGGTTAGGTATGTAGGTACCTAGTGTTTACTAGAGGAACAGTAGTATGCGATAAGGTCGTGGGGCAAAGCTAAGCAAACAATTACCAGTATGCGATGTTGACCATATAAAAATCTTCTCGTCTGTACTGTAGTGACGAAAAGAACAACTTAAACAACCTGAATTCTGAAGAGAGTCGTGTTTCGCACATTAAAACACAAATGATGGCCGACAACGAAAAGGCACCCGCCCAAGTAACTCCTGGGGAAGGGACAATTACTGATGATAAGCTCGTGAGTCCCTAGCAGAACCCTCTTCAAGGCATCTCATTTATGGCATGTCTCTAAGGAAATTACAGGTCACTTGGGATGGTCCCGATGACCCCGAAAATCCCAAGAACTGGGCCACGCGGAGAAAGTGGCTGGCCGTTGTCTCCATCTCGGGCTTTGTCCTGATGAGCCCCTTGCCAACAACCATTGTCGCGCCGGCATTGGACACGATCGCGGACGAGCTTCACATCACCGTCGCGGCACTCAAACCCATGGTTCTATCCATATTCCTCCTAGGATACGCGATTGGGCCAATGTTCATAAGCCCGCTGTCCGAGATCTGGGGCCGTACTTTGGTGCTCCAGACCTTTAATCTCGTCTTTCTGGTTTTCAACACGGCATGCGGTTTTGCTCAGACTACTGAGCAGATCCTCGCTTTTCGATTCTTTGCTGGCCTCTTTGGAAGCTGCACTGTAGGGGTGAGTCAGCGAGCTATCCCCGTATCCCACTTGTCCTTGACACTCTGTTATATCAGATCGGTGCCGGTACCCTTGGTGATCTATTCAGCGCTAGCGAGCGCGGAAAGGCCATGGCCATATATAGCGTGTTCCCTCTTCTCGGCCAGGTTCTAGGTCCCATCGCTGGAGGCTTCTTGTCTGCCCACATCTCCTGGCGGTGGGCATTCTATGTGACATCCATAATCGACGGATGTGTGCAAATCTTTGGCCTGCTTTTCCTCGATGAGTCCTACGCACCAGTCCTGCTGCGTAAGAAGCGAGATCGACTTACCAAGGCAGGCGCCATCGGGCTTTATACGGAACACGACTTTGTCGACGATTCCGCTCTCAGCATGATGCGCACGACTATGATCCGACCCATCAAGCTTTTAACGACACAGCCTATAGTGCAGGTCATGGCACTGTATCAAGGCTACATCTACGGCAACATCTATATCCTCTACGCGTCCATTGCGGTTCTTTGGACAGCTCGATATGACGAGAGGCTGGACATAGCATCGCTGCACTATCTGGCACTCGGATTGGGAACAGCCTTTGCCGCAGAGGTAGCCACGCACATCAACGACCGCATCTTCCGCATCTTGACCAAACGAAACAATGGCAAAGGTTTGCCCGAGTTTCGCATTCCAATCATGATACCCGCCACCGTGATCCTGGCCATCGGACTATTCTGGTATGGCTGGAGCGCCGAGGCTCGCCTCTTCTGGCTTATGCCAGACATTGGGGTTGCATTGTTTGCTGCCGCGGCATACATTTGCACCGTCTCCAATAACATCTACGTCGTGGACACATACGGAAGGTACTCAGCCAGCGGTCTTGCTGCGACGTCCATGTTCAGATGCTTGGCAGGATTCGTGTTTCCCTTGTTCTCACCCTATGCGTAAGTCGCCTTTGATTCCGTACGTGCAAAAATGCAGCTTTCTAACATCAGTCTGTGCTTAGTTATGAACGCCTGGGGTATGGATGGGCCAGCAGCATACTGGGCATCATCGCCTTGTGTATTGGACTGACTGGTGTCATTTTCCTCTGGAAGTACGGCCACTCATTGAGAGCAAAAAGTCCATACTGCGCTAGCCGCGATGTAGACGACTGTTGAGAGATAGTTCGTGAGGGAAGTAAAAGGCCGGTCAGGGGGCAAGAAGGGTGCGGGAAGAGCCCCCGATCGCATGTAATCTATATTTCCATCGGGAAATCCCAAATGTCACGAGTCCACCCTGCATCTTCCACCCGGTTCATGAAGTTATAAAAGTCAAGGGGATCGCCATCCAGGGCTGGAGCCGGACTAGTCAGCATGTTAGCCAGTGACTGAGCCTGTTTAGTCCCTCCAGCTCTACTGCGATGCTTCGGATCAATTATCTCCTCCAGGATAGACGACAAAATTCTATGTGCCCATTTACAGGATTCTTGATTAACCTCTTGACGATTAATACTCCTTTGGAGAATTGAGACGAAGACAGACAGGTTTTGTACCGTCTCGGCTCGGGGTATGGCGGCTTTTGGCGCGCTAGGGTCATTAGGATCGTGCAGTGAGTCTTTCAACAAGCCTACGGCCAGAATACTGGCAGCGGGTAAGCCGTAGTATAAAATCTTCATGAAAAGTCAGTCGGGAACTTGAACAACGGTAAGAAAGCTGATTTTCGCTGCTTACAAACCATGACATGTCTCTTTGCATGCTGTACACCTGATCAGACAGCGATGTCACCTGCAAGGTCGTGGCTAATAGCGATCTCGATATCCGGTACAAAGGTTCCGGCATCCTCCGACTCTCCTTCGCGAGCTTTCGATATAACAGAAAATGGTTGTAGTTCTGATCCATATAAGTTGTCATGAGGACGTATCGTTGCGGGGGGTCGATGTGTTGGGATCCAGTCACTTCGTTATACTTGAGCTCTGGAGGAACCTGATCCCATACGTATTGATGTCTAGTAAGTAAGTCGCTCCAGTCTCTACGTTAGCAGACCGAAGGGTTCCACGAGATCCGTACAGATACCTACTATATGGAACTCTCAATGTCCTCAGTATGACGGACACCAAGACATATTTCAAGGACCTCTTCTCGGAACTGGCTGATTATAAACTTGAGACGTCTCCACGTCGCCCCGCGAAACTTCCGATCCAAATTCCAGCCATTCGAGTCAGCGCTGCTTAGTGTAGTCTGTAATTCGATGTCATCCAAGAGCAGAACATTGTCATCGACATCGGCAGGCATGGTGATGGCATAATGTGCCCCAGAAATCCTCGGTGGCCGGCCGAGGAGGGTGCTGGTGGTTTTATCCATGGAAAATATTTGTGCAGCGTAACGTCTCCTCAGTTCACATTGGTAATATGGATGAGCTTCCTCCGACCCTATCACGGCCTGGTGGAGTCCGAGAGCGGAGAACATGCTGGAGAGATCGCCTATACAGCGCCATAGTTGAAAACCTACAAGCTCGCGTCTCTTAGTACGGGTGGCGGACCAAACTGGGTGGGCTAGCACTTACTCGTATCTCCAAACACCACGTTCTTCAAACAGGCTTCTCCATACAGCAACCATAAAGCCTGATGATTGACAGCATTGTAACTGAAACACACGGAACTGCAGTACTCGACTGCTTCGGTGATACGATGGATGAATGTAGGTTGTTCGGTAGGTGAGAGGGCTCGCAGCGGCTCACTTCGCCTGTTGATGTCGTATTTGAATGAGACGCCGAGCAGCGCAAGGATGAATCCAATAATCTCCCATCTCAAGTTTGACCCAGTAAACAGTGTGTGATAGTCCTTGGCCGCGATATGGGTTAAGATATCCAACGGCTTTGCAGTATTTGTACAAAGAGTCATAACCAATTGTCTCAAATCGGCAGCGCTTGACTCATTGGGAGATGTGTTAAAAGCGTGAAGAGTTTGCTGTAGGGACGTGACGCAGGCCTTGACGAATGGATCCGGTACCATACATGTATAAGAAATCTCAAGGTATCTGTTTATGCACTCTGGAAATGTCGGAAACTCCATCAGCAAATGTAGCGCTTTCATGCCTGCTTGGATTCGTCCTTCTGGGATGTTTTTTTGACTCTGGCGTTCACTATGAGGGAATTGCTGCTCGCATAGCTGTTTCACGTGTTGAGTTATAACCTCCTGGTCGTCGTTGATCACGGCGGAAAAAGCGGTTGGCCCAAAGAATCCGGCATCAGCTGGATGGCTTGTTCTTGGTGTTGATGACGACGAAGTGCTCCCAGTGCACGTAGGCTGCACATTATCAGGAAAAGACAATGCCTGGGCGACTGGCGCTGCAACTGTAGGTGATATTACGGAACTTCGACGAGTCTGAGCAGACGCAGGCGGGCGAGAGCTGCGCGACTTCGTCATGGGCGCAGGATGGTAGATGCAACGCTTCTCCATGCGACGCAACACGCACCTGTCGCACACTGGAAGTTTGTGATCACAGCGGATCTTGGACAAGCGGCAAGGCTCACAGGAATGAGGTTTACCATTGCGTCTGATTGGAACCGACGGTGCAACGTCGTGTCGCGCATCAGCGATGTCCATCGTTGATCGCGTTTTCGCCAATTCATCCAAGACAGGGCGTGAGGCGCAATGGCGAAAGCGCCTCTGATGGACGGTTGCCTGACAGGTCCATTTGAGGCCGAGCGTTAGCAGCTGGGGCCACAGCCATCTCGTCAGCATTCATTTAGTAGGACGAAGGAATAAGTGGAGCATCGCTGCACTACCCATGCATTTATTTGACCTTCCAACACCCTCAGGCTGTGGACAACTGCAGCTGAAATAACATCCAAATTCATATACATAATCGTGACAAGATTATTCTTCTTCTCCGTATTCTTCGTCTTCTTACACGTGCGAGGCCGCATCTTCCATTGCTGCATTGATTGATGAGCCACCGAGGAAGGACCATATTTCTTGACGACAGCGACAGGGTGAGTTTGTACCTGGAAAGAGGGACTTACTGGCTTGTGGAGCGACCGAGTGCATTGACAGTACAGGAATGCCTCCTTGATATACACAATCCAATGGAATATCCATTAAATATTGACATAATTACACTCGTCATCGTAGTGAAACAAGCAGGCAATGACACTCACTAGGGCCAATTTCCATATGATGGAGTCAGTCACAAAAGCTACCACTCTCAGCAAGTTCAGGAATGGAGAGCGAATCTCTAGCGCTTTCTGTTTACTTCCATACCTAGCCAATGCTAGAAATTTGTATCCTCCTCTATCCTTCCTATTTTTTTCTGGGCGCCTCCTCAATTAGAACATGTCGTCGACGTAGGATAAGGCAAGACGGCCCAGCCAAAGTGTATATCAGCTTTATGCGACAAAATTACTCTCGTACAGTGGACATTAGAGAGTCTGTATACAGTTGTGGTGAAACTCAATGCCGTGTTATACAGTTCGACCTTAATCTAAGAGTATATCAATTGATCAATGTGTTGGACGTTTCCATTTAAAATTTCGTATCGGGCCGGTCTTCAGACTCAATTTGCTCTTATTTCACACCCACTTCACGTAGTATGTAAGCCACCGTAATTTGCACCAATGAATGATATCCGAAACTGAGAAAATAGCATTAAGTCATTTCCATTGGACGCGCTATCAGGGTGGCTTGGATAGTGCATCTGCTTTATCTTCAGGATCGTGAAGCTCAATAAAGTTGATAATGACTTACTGTCTCAATTCTGGCGATAATGCTTTCTACACCTCCCACAATAATGAACTTCACGATACCAATGAGTTTTATATGCTGATCCGAGAAAAGTGTATTATCAATATATATACTTGTACCTGTATGTAACTCCTTTCAACAGGGAGGAATTCGATGGCAGCACACGTCGAAGCAAATGCACAAGAAGACGACGCAAATGTGCACCGCAAATGAAACATTGGGTCATGAATCAGAACCATTCATAGGTATGTCAGCTAACATTAACGCTAAAACAAATATCGAATCAGCCAAGCCAAAGAAGTCAGTCATATGTATATGTAACAATCCCGCGAACTTGTATGGCGAGGTGGACGTGATCATGGAGGCCGAGTCAACTATGTGGGACCAATGCAGGTAAGGTTGAATGCGCTGCAGTGAACGGCTATTTCAATCTCATCTTCGGTGGACGCAAAAGGTCAGGGACTCGTGAGGAAGTGAGCTGAGATATTGTTTCTTTATTTCTTTGTTTTTCCAATAAACACATACGGCCGTCTTATTGCCTGTGTGTAGGGAACAACTCTGTCTCAATCAAACGCTTGGGAATATCAACGATGGTGATTGGCTGGCCAGCACGGAACTTTAGCTGCTCGTTGGAATAAGCTAGCAAACGTTTTCATATTTATATATATATATAAGGAATTTGCAAAAAAGTTATTATAAAACACCTTTTTTTTAACTTTTTATTATATTGTTTGTTGTTATTTTTTTTTTTAAAAAAAAAAAAAAAGTAAAACAAAAAGAGAAGAAGAGAAGAAGAGAAAAAGAAGAGGAAGAGAAAAAAAAGAAAAGAAGAAGAGAAGAAGAAAGAGATTTATATAAATGATTTTACTAATTCACTTTAGTACTTGATCCCTCCCTGCCTGACCATAGTATTGACTCTTGACCCTAACCCTCGCAACGAGTCAAACCACTCTGACCCTAATCAGTAAATATTGGTACTCATTTACAGTTAGGACATAGCTTAAACTGGCTATTAATTTGTCGACAAAAGAGCAGTATAATCTCTTGCCCGATTGTTTCAGGACAGGTTGTTGTCCAGACAAAGGGTCAAACTAAAATTGATTTCATAAACTCCCACAAAATTCTTCCCTGCCGCCTACATACCTTCGATTGCTATCCAAATCTCGGATGCTTTCGATGATTTTCTCGTAGATCAGCCTTAGAGAGCATCTCCATACACCGCTGAGAATCGTCGTTCAAATACTACGACAATAACTGAGTACCGTGAAAAAGACAATTTCTCGGCTTATTCGGCGGCGCTTTCGCGCGGTCGGCCGAACGAGATGAAGTCCAACACGATTGAAAATCGGACATGTAATCATGAAGGGTTTCAATCACTTTTGCCAGGATACTCACCGCAAAGTGATTAATAAGTGCACTTTGGACCACGCGAGACGACGAAATTAACTTTGCGCCCTTTCGCGCCAAGGGCCCAGCCGAGAGCAAGACCCAATCAAAACCTCTCCCATGAACTAGCTTCAAGACATAGTATGGATTTGTGCAGAGACTTGGTCATATAATGAACCAAAACTCTTACAAGGCATGGTCAATGTTTATTCTTATCTAGCTAAGGGGATATTTCGGGCTGTCTGTATTATGAGGTGAAGTGATCATATTCTTCCTGTAGATTAAGAATCTGCTACAAACACGACATATTGATTATTCTCTGAAGTTGAATGGTTGCTTGGAACATGAATCACTTTTAGGGCCAGCACGACCTGTGATGAAGTCTTATCGAAGCTGGCTGCCGAGATTGGAACCGCAGGGGTCGCCCAGAACCTCCTTGACCGCAAAAAGCAAGAAGACCAGGCAACCCTTGAAGAATATTTTGGTTATGGACATCACGGCTTAGGAAGGGGAGGTACGTCAATCCCAAGTAGAATACGATGATACAAAATTTCTCAATAGACTTAGACGAGGAAGAGATATTGCAGATATTCTTTTGAAACAGACGGGTATATGCTTGTTTTCATGGAGCTGTCTAGACTCTTCTCCATCTACAACACCAATGTCATTCCGACCATGAGCGCCAATGTCGCCGTAGAATATGTACTGATGGAAGATGCCCTGAATGTGGACGCAGCCATACTTTCCGTGATGTTATGCCAACTTGCTTGCCATGATCCCGCAACGACTGTGCGATTATTCTTGTCCGTGGTATAATATGGCCCCTGGGCTACGACCCTCATGTTGTTCAGCGTGTCATTGGTGCATCCACCCAATGTGCCAGCCGCGTATTGATACAACCCACCCCAAATTAGGGTCTTGTTGGTGCCCGGCTCAACTGTGCTGAAGATGGAATTGGCGGGATCCTGGCCATCGAAATCAACCCTAGTCTGTATGGTCTCAAAAGAGGCATTTTTGAAGTGATTATTCGAGGAGTTACTGTAGTATGCGTCATTGTAGGCGTCCTTGGCCATTTCGAAAATGGCGTCCGACTCTTCTTCGGATAGTCCCAGGGGATCTCCCGAGTGGAGGAGCTTTCTCGGCACTGTAATGTCGTAGGATGTGACATTTGCCATACTGCAGGACTGCTTCTCGCTGCTTGGACATGCTAGCGAATTAACATAGACTCCGTTTCCTGTCTGGTACGAGCCGCCAGTATCAGCAGAAAAAGTCGTGTCTGTAAAATTGGTACAAATTGCATCTGCTTGGCTCGACACGAGTGTTAAGGCGAGCAGGACGCAATTCTTTGATGAAAACATTTTTAGCCAAGCTTCCGTGTAGTGCGATATTGTTGTTCTTGTGTAGGATTCTTGATATTCAAATGATTTGGAGTAGAGTCAAGGTATTAATTGTGTTGAAAAAATAAAGGCGAAGTTTTGAAGCTCAGCATAAGATGTATCGTTCTGTTCATATACACCAAGAAAAGAAAAGTAGAAGAATAGAAACAGCAACAGAGCTCGTCTAATATGAGCTGACAATTGGTTGCCTGATGTCCCAAAACATTTTTGCTGTCCGTTATGTTGTCTTACCATTGCGTCACTTTCAAATCCTTTCAGCCTTGGCGGCCTGTCCGTGCCGTATGCGCCACTGGCTATGAAGCGGTTCCGTTGCCGATCATTCACGATTGTGTACTACCAACAGCACGGCCAGAAATATTTTCGGACCCGACCCAATCATGCCAGGAAATACTCTACCCCAGATTCAAGACATTCAGAATTAGAATTGCAAGAGCAAGATCTTTTTCTCTTTGGCGCATTGGTTCATTCGAAACCCAATCAGTGGTCGTGGTAGAATGCGCTGGCAGGATTGACCTCCATACCTTTGTCACGAGATGTACGGCAGTCATGGTTCATTGCAATGGCCAGTAACAGCAGCCTTTAGACGTGAGGAAAGTCCCCACCAAATATACAAGCCGCAGTAGTGGATCGCCTCCACACATCTTTCATCGCTAACATCGTGATACCTTGAAGGAGCCCCCTGGTGATTGCTGTTGGTGACCATGCTGATTTGCGGTTTGCAAGGTGCCAAGGCGACAGTCACCATTAATTGCCTAAATGCCTAATTCATGGGATTGCATCATGATCAGCTCACTCATGGTGCCCTGACCACTTTTGAATTGCAGTTTACGTGCACTGGCCCATTGCCGCTTGCCTCGCATCTGGCATCATCTGACGACACCGAGGCCCTGGCAAAAGAAGCTTTCCCTAGTCAATGTGCAGCACCTTATAACCGCGTTCTTTTACGTGTTTTGCTGCATGGGTGGCTTATAACATAATACCAGCGGCATCACTAACAAAAATCGAATGCGATTGGATCGTTTATGAATCCGTTTGTATATGGAAATATCCAGCAGGCCTCTCAAATAATGCCAGTAACATTGTAAACCCGACACATCACAGTAAGATATTAACATTTGATAACGAGCGGTTTTCGGGGGCTTGATCTTGAAGCTGGATAAGATTAGCACCGACATAAGACCACTCCGCCACGGAAGCCCGTTTAGGCCGTAGGGTTGGCCATGAAAACTGTCTCTTAGTTTGGAGTTGCGCCCTGATCAGAAATCTTGATTATAAAGGCCCTCCTTCATTTGTAAACCGCCTTGAGTTTTGTAGCAGTTGAGAGAATATATAAGACCAACTCTCCCCCACCATCTTTTTTTGTCCTGATATCCATCCTTACTTCCTCATACATCACAAGCATTGAGGACGCACGATCAACTCTGACTAGCCACTCAAGAAGAGTTTGATTATCGCTCTTGGCATTTAACTCAAGACTCGGAATACAAATAGGTATGTTCCAAAACGGAGATTTAGTGACAATGATACTGATATTCATGTCCCCAAAGCCGGTATCGAAAGCAGCAATGATCATTACTTTTCGGCAATCAAATGATTCGGTTAATCCCATCCATCTCACCCAACGAGATGAAACCGCTGGGTATTACCTGATACCGCCTTGGGCTATGGCTCTGCTGTTGATGGGCTCCGGTCTTATATCACTATTGATGATCCTATGCGTGATGCGGTGCACATATGGCGAACGGCCTGATCATAACAAAGACAGCGACGCAAGAGAACCGACTGGCACACAAGGGGACATAGAGGCGCCCTCGAGCTCAGACCAACTCAAGTTCGATGCTCGCATGGCGCGGGTGAAGGGTCATATAGATAGCCTCAAAGGATCATGGTCGCAGAGGACTTTAATGGCTCTTTATAATGAGGCCATAACCGAAAGGCCCACAAGCTAGCCATCCGATGGACAAATATAGCGGGTTTGGACTTGACGCATTAATTGTCCACTACTACCAAAACAATATACTCAGGTATATAAGAAATTGAATTTTTTTTGGCCTTATAAGGTATATCACATATTGATCGGAATAATTATGAGAGGGCCCAGAATTTCTGGTATTTGTGGTGGTATTTCATTCAAGATGATGAAGAAATGGCCGGTTTCTAAATTTGAGCTCTTTTGCGCTGCCTGGCGATCCATCACTTTTGATCCTACAAATCTACCAAAGAGAGGTGCTGAAGACTTATCTGATATACCCAAGCAGGTCATCTGCGGTGGATACTGATTATATCAGTGCAATATAAATATGTATCATGAGCTGTATCAAATATCAGTTCACATGCTGTTGCCAGCTGTATATGCTTCTCTCAATCCGGAACGGAGTCGGAAAGGAAGAGGACCGGAAATCTTGAGACCTGAAACTAGTCTAGTAGCTCCGAAATACAGATGTGAAGTCCTGCGAGATGGTCGGATTGGCAAATGCAGCCGTATGTACTGGTCTTTCTTGATGAAAACCCAGTTCAATGGGTTGTTATGTACTGACGTCTGTCCCAGGAAGTAGTTGACATCTTCAGGGCTATGACGGGGTTCTGGGGAAGCTGCACCTTTCACTCTTTCTATTCTCCCCCCTTCTTTTCCAATTTCTTCTTTTCCTTCCTCCTTTGCTACTTCTATCCAGCTACACTCAGCAGGGTCATTGCGCTCGTCAATTGTCAACTCTTGGGTGGACCTGGCCCCTGCCAACGGAGTATTGTTATGGTGTATATTAAGAAGGGGCAACTGGTTTGTAGGAACATGTTTATTTACATGGGTTTCTTCACGGTAGCAGCAGATATTTAACCCAACAAGCTTTCCACCATGGACATTTACCTTTGCCTCGTTTTCTTGTCTTTCCACACGATCTCATGATCACTAGAGAGGCCGTTATCAAATTCCCTATACCATTTACCACCCAAGATCATCGACCTATTTCATATTCATGGTTTTCTACATGCCATCTGTTGATGAGGATCAAGACTTTTACGACTACAAAATCAGCAGTGCAGGTACGTGGTGCTACTATTCCAAGTACCGTGGCATCTTTATGATCGCGCCAGCGTCTTCTAATATTTATAAGCAGGCAGGGCCTGGGCCTTTGAACCCTCTGCATCGGGACTGTTGCGGCAGAAATTTGTGCGATGGTGGTATCACCGGCCACTCGACAACATTTAAGCCCGGATTCGACAGAGAACGACAACATCGAGATATTAAAGAATATCGCCACACACACATTTGTCCTCTTCTTGTCGGTATCCTGAATTCTGCTGGTTATGGGTGTTGAATGCTGATCTTATTATTCCGATTACAAAGGAATTCTTGTTATTGCGGTCGTTACTATTTGTATTTGCAGTGTGGTTTAGATTACCGCATTTGTAATAAGAGTACGACATCCGCTCAGATATGCGGCCAGACAAGTAGAAGATTTGGAGACAACTAACACAACCTTCGACGAACGATGAGAGACGCGTGGTCTCCTGCCCCTCCCTCCTGCCTCCTTTGGATCCCGGCCCAGAAATTGGGACCACTTGGTTGTCCGAGTAGAGATAGAGACATCGGCTCGACGAGTTGGGATCACCTTAAAGTGCCTGGCTTAGAATACGACCAATCTGAATATCGACGATTTTCGAAGAGGTGAAAAGGAGAGAGAGAAAATTATTTTAGATTTTCTTGTATCATCTAAATACAAACATTTTGGGAGATCCTTTGTACCTTTTCTTTGAGGGAAAGCATTTCAAGAAGGCAGTTATTTGACTGTGACGTGTAGCAGTCTGGATGAGCCATGATGTAGCTGTTCCCTGCCCAAGCATCATAGGTATCGTGGTTCGGGTCAAGTTTATTGAGAATATGATAATTTCCCGAGCGTTTGCGATGCAACTGTCCAAATAGTCCATCTACACATTGCCAAATCAACCCGCTTCGCGAATCGAACATTCGCTCGGACAATTCTATTTCTCGCCAGCAGCCACAAGTTTGCCCACAACCAGATACTTGCTCTCAAACCGCTCCTCCCAGCCCCGCAGGCTCTCAAACTCCTCCTCGCCAAGTCCGTCCAGCTTGTCCAGAGGGCCGTCGAGGTCCTTGGTCAGCATCTCCTCGTCAAAGCTGTGGCAAGCCAATCCCCTGCTTGCGTCGCGGCCAGCAAAGTTCTCGTAAGGACCACCCGGTCCGTAAAAGTTGCGTCCAGCCGTGACGTCAAAGACTCGGCCTCGGACGGCCAGGTAGACGGGAGCGCCGTTGGTGCCATTGTTGGGCAGCAGGGTGTGAGGCGTAAAGGTCTTGAAGACGGTGGCTGGGGGCTCGCGAGGCAGCGTCGCAGGCGGTGTGGGCTTGTACAGGAGGTAGGTCGTATAGAGAGTAATGGCGGCCAGGATTAGGTTGAGGGGTGTGACGATGCCGGTGCTATTGTGGCCGGAGCGCAACTCGTTAGCTGGTGCGGCTCTTTCATCAAGCTTTCTTGGTGGAAAGTGAGGTAGAGCAAAAACTCACAAGGCGGCTTCTGGGCCCTTGCTGGCCTCGTGGGCGACATGCTGGTTGACGTACTCCATTGCTGCGAAGTCTGCGATTGAATCCAAAAACAATCAAGCTATACGCGACGTTGAAATTGAAGAAAGAAGGGAAGCTGATGACAGCGTCAGACACACACAGCCTTATGGGGTTACTTGACTTACTGTACCAACGTGGGGTATGGCTGCGCCGGGTGAGAGTGGAGTTGGTTTCTCGGGAGCTACGGGCAATGGTCCGTGCATCATCTGGAAGCTGCCCGTTGTACACTGAAGCCGAAAGTCATATCCCGATTATCGGCCCTTCAGTACTGGGAGAGACTAATGATAATCCTATGACCTATGCAAAGGCGAAAATGTGCAGCCATATCACAGCAACAAAATGAAGGTTGAATGAACACAAAATTTGGTGAAAAAGCTCTTGATAGCGGTTTACATCATTCGATTACCTACCTACTCTAATGGCCAGGCTCGACAATAAGTTATAAGTAGTGCTCGTGTTGGCATCCAAGAGTCCCTCGGACCATAAATAAGCTACTGGTGGACGAAATTAGCATGGGACTGTGGTTCTTATACATAGTACTAAACACTGGCACAGCAACGAGAGCTCATAACACCTACTCTGTACCATACGTCACGTCACAATGAAGGTTTTAGCAAAAAATGAAGAAGGATTTGGATGACTTGTTCAGAGTTGTTTGTTGGATCTGCGCGCTCAATATGTGGCCACTCAACTACCAAAGGCAAATAGGCACCAACATAAAACCATCCTGTTCATTAAAATGATCGCTGTGCAAGACACTGACTACGGTTAGGCGGGCCCCTATTTCATGAAGCAAATGCAAGTCCCAATGGGAGCTGCTTAGGTGGGGCGCGCATGCGACAGGCGACAGCTAACTTTTGACCATAATCATGCATGTGCCGCTGCTAGCCAAAATCCCATTCTCTTCCTGCCGCCCTTGTCAGCCCAGCAACCAGCGGGCGCATTCAGTTGCTTCTGTTGTGCTGCATTCTACTTCGTAGAGAAGCATTTACTGACAATTGGGTATCTTCATTGGCTTCATTTTGCACCGAGGTCCGCAATCCGAAGACACCAATGCAAAGGTAGCCAAGAAGGCCGAATCCGAGAAGAACATCAAGGGGAAGGCATGCGGCCGCGTCCTTCTCAACGACTATAGAAGCGACACCCCAGACGAAGCGATCGAGAGAACACAAAGGGACGGTGACGCGAATCTCCTCCTCCGTCTGCTATCAAAAAAGACAATGTTACGGCGTGTCCTACGCCCGGCACGGCGGCTGCCGCTCTGGTTCGTGGTGCCCGTCTTCCTGGCCCTCTTCATCGAGGTCTGCCATCATGTATACCAGTATCACGTTCCGCGGCCGGACCACGACCTCGATCCTCCCTTCTACAAATCGTGTCAGGAGCCCAAGGTGGGCGCGCCTCGCGAGAATGCTGCCCTGGTCATGCTGGCGCGCAACTCGGAGCTCACCCAGGCCAAGCGCACCATTACGAGCATCGACAATGCCTTCAACAAGTGGTTCAACTACCCAATCGTGTTCATGAACGACGAGCCCTGGGACCAAAAGTTCATTACTGAACTGAACAAGACGGCGCGCGGTCTAGCTACATTCGAGGTTATACCCCAGGACATTTGGTCATTCCCGAGCTTCATCGACGAGGAGGCCGCGCGCGCGAGCATCAAGGAGCAAGGCGAGCAGGGCCTGCCGCACGCTGGCAGCGAAGGATATCACCACATGTGCCGGTTCTACTCGGGCAAGTTCTACAAGTTGGAAGCTCTGAAAAAATACAAGTGGTATTGGCGTCTGGAGCCCGACGTCGACTTTACCTGCGCCATCACCTACGACCCGTTCGTGGAAATGGCCAAGAACGACAAGGTCTACGGCTTCACCATCTCGCTGTGGGAGGTGGGCTCGACGTGCCCGTCCCTGTTCCGCGAGGTCGCGGACTGGAAGGAGATGCACGCCCTGCCCACCAACAACCTCTGGCGGGCCATGGTGCAGGCGAGCTGGATGCCCTACCCATTCAGGAGATTTATGAACTTTCTATCGCACAGAGATCGACACGGCGACCCGTGGAGTTTGTGTCACTACTGGAGTAATTTCGAGATTGCGGATATGGATATCTTCCGCAGTCAGGAGTATCAGGATTTCTTCGATCACCTCGATAGAAAAGGTGGCTTCTACTTTGAGCGCGTAAGTTTCCTTCTGCTGTTTGTGCATGTGATTTTGTGCCGTCTGAAAAATATTCTAATATCTTTGAACAGTGGGGTGATGCAGCAGTCCATTCGCTCGCTGTGGCCATGTTCGTGGACCCTCGAAGGGTTCACCACTTTGAAGATTTTGGATACCGACATGACCTCCTATACCAATGCCCAGCCAATGCGCCAGGTGGTCAGCTCCCAGAGTCTACACTTCTAGGCAAGGAGATGACGTGGGCCCCCGAGATTGAGGGCGGCATCGGCTGTCGCTGTCAGTGCGACGGACGCAAGACCCGAAACCATCCGGGTTATTGCTTGAATAAGCTCAAGCAACCTGATGGCTTGAAACGACCATTCTGGACATGGTTCCTATAATGATAATAAGACTTGGCGGTGGATAGGGGATACAATCAAATACACGGACTGGCCTTGCATGATCAACGAGTTGCATTACGTGTTTCCATGGGAAAAGCTGGCATTGGACATTATTCGGCGTCGGGGATGCAACACATGGCATCATATACCCTATATGGGTTCATGATATATGTCATCTGGGCGCGCTCTCATAAACTATAAATCATACATGAAAATGAATTAATATCTTCACTGTGCCCAGTTTGTGTCTTTGGAGAAACTTTCAACGCCGTGCAATGCCATCTTTGCATTATACAAACAAAGGAGGAAGATACATTTCATTGATTCACTATGTCTGAATCCCGGTACGCCGCCGGTCCATGAGCTAGACCTACCTCATGAACAAATCTAATCGCTTTCTTCATCCTTGTAGTGACTCCCTCCATTTCCGTAGTCTCCTAGTAGGATACCCTGGCCGATGCCATCCTGGCCAATACTACTAGGCAAAGTGTTGCTCGAATTGTTTCGTATCCACTCGGTTTCAACTCTAAAGAATATCCAGACCCAACGGCGGAATACTTCCAAGAACTCTATGATGAATATCGAGCTCTCAAAGTCGACAATATGGTCTAGATGGGGACTGAGCTTGAGACTCCACGTGCACCTGAGCATCAAATCGAGTAGAATGACACCGTAATAGGTGGCTGGCGGGCCAACATAGAGCCGTCTCCGAAGGCCAAAGGCGTGATCCAACGCATTTCTTTCCTTTGCAGACGAAAACAAAGTCAGGTCCCAATCCTTGGTGACGTCCCAGTAGAATGAGTACAAGCTGTTGACCACGCAAGCGCCAACCCAGGCCCTATACAGGGTAGTAGAAGGGCCCCAACTGCGCTGGAGAGCAGAAAAGATGATAACTGGGAACGCAGTGCTGTACTTGAGCGCGTTGGCAAGATGCTGCCCGCCCCAACCCGTCTTTTCATCCATTCGGCCGCGGCGCACTCTTCCATACTCAATCAGACACTGTCGCAGCCGAATCATACTGGGAATCGCCATGATGAGCGGAACGACGACGGTGCCGCCGCAATTGCGGTCCGGCCGCGCGGTGGCCGAGCCATTGGTCTGAAAGAACATGCACAGCGCAACGTACAGGTCGCCAAAGACCTTGGCGTACGACGTCAGCACATCAGCCAGCAGAATGTCGCCAAATTTCCCGTCCTTGGCCTCGGCTATGCCACCAATGCTGACCCGCTTGAGCGTGCTCCGGAACCGCTGGCGGCCCTGGGACGAAAGCGTCTTGAGGGGCGCAAAAAAGACGCCAATCAGGACAACCATGTAGGTGAGCGGTAGCCAGTCCCAGGCGAGGACGAGCGCCGGGTTACGGTGGGTAAAGACCCAGAAGACGAGGAGGGAGAAGGCATAGACCGCCGAGAGAACTGTCGCCAATCGATACGTCGAGAGGTGGTGCGGCGGTTGGAGCGGTGATGTCCGCGAAGGGTAGCGAATGAGCGAGGGAACGTCGATTTTGAGAAGTGCGAGGTAATGAAGGTTGAAGCCCCAGAGCCAGGTAGCTATTGTGTGGTCAGTCGTCGATTCACCTCATAGTGCGCAAAGGGGCGTGCGATTGGCACGTTGTTGAGGACATGCGACTCACCCAATACGACGATAAAGGCCACGCGATACGGCAGGGGAAAGGTCAAGCTAAAGGAGTCGAGCTCAGGCTCAACTGCTGGGTCACCGTCCATTGCTCAAGAGTGTCTGAAGCGACATTGAGTCGCTTCGGGACTGTTGGCAGGTTCCAGAGTTGTAGAGTGGCCGGTGTTGGGGGGCTTGCACCCTTAAACAGGCGTGGATTGTGGGCGACAAGTACACACGAGACTGGAGTTGAAGCTTGCGTGTCACTTGGGCAATTCTGTTTCCTAAATTTAGGGGAGGTTTACCGACGTCACACATCCCTGTCACGCTAAACACAGGTGCCGATTTGTACATGGTCTAGGCAGGGTCAATTAGTGAGTTGCCAGCTAAATCTAGAGAATACGTACCTGCCTAAGGTTAACCAGGTAGTAATGATAGGTACAGAGTAGTTGCAATGAAAGGCTATAAAATTTTCTGGTTTTGGTATCTTCTTTTCTTTAATTTTTCCTTCGCTTGGTTTTCTTTTCTTTATCTTTTTCCTCCCACTTTATTCTTTTACTTTTACTTTTGCTTCATTTTTTATTTTGATTTATTACTTTAAAAGTCTTATGTACAGTATGCGATTTATTACATTCGAGCACTTTATTCTTAGATTGTGAGAAATAGTAGCAAAATATTTGCTACGAAGCAATGCACTTCAGTCCGCTACTTAGAAGCTTCGACCTATGTTGTTTTCATGTGGCATTCTAGCCTGCTTATACATAACATAAATCTTGGATGAAAGATACGAATACATGCGAGTAAAATGTCCACGCACTGTTCGAATTGGCTATCATTATAGGAAATCAGGGTGGACAAGCAGACAATGCTAATTAAAAGCTATTGTACTCTATCATGTACGAATATCTAAACTAATTCACTGAATCGGCGTCGGGGTTGATCTCACAGTCTTGCTGGACAAGAATCTCTTAGGGACTATACTTTTACATGAGCTGTAGCCGGCAGATCAAGAACACTCAAAGAACTCTGTCAATTAGTATAGACATAATACCTACAACTATTTGATCGTCTATTAAAGACATATTAGCTACTACCTACGATGTACCTACTAGGTCCAATGAATAGCAGGCTGATAATGACGGGTCGTGCGTCGCACATGCACACAATACAAAATATAACATGTGCATCGGATAGTTACGAGAACCAAGGATTCATGCAATGACAAGAATAATGATCCTCTAGATACTGCGTCATGTCTTATACTGTTCGTGTGACTGGGTAGTTTTGAGTAGGTACCATATTCTTTTTCCAACAGCCCGCATAAAATGCATTAAATCTCTTGTGTACTTTGTGCACATCTGCGCTAATTCGGCTCGGCCTCCAGGAGCTCCTCGGCTTCTCGTGCAAGCTTGAACTACCCCAGATTTGCGACACGGCAGTAGCAGACACATCAATCTCGCATCTCGCATACTACGTACTGCAACTTTTCAATCGTTTATCTTTTCGTCTTCTTAAAAATAGAACCGTAGCGAAACAAGAAGGCATTTTTGCGCATTCTTCAAAAAAGCCACGGCAAGACACTCACTAGCTGACCCGCGCAACCGCCACCTGCTTCTGCCCCTCGCCGAATCGCAAAACCGAGGCGCGATGGCGGCCACTGCAGTCGCCAACAGCTCACATGCTGCCACATTACCATCGTCGCCATATCCCTTCGCATTCGCACCCGACATAATACGAGCGCACCAAAAAGATGCTTATTTCCAAGGTGTGCTTACCAGCCAACTGACCGACCTGCATCGTCGCCTGCTGGGAGCTCGATCTGCGCACGGTTGGATCGCCGAATCGAAAACGATTGCTGACCTCCTCTATCTGTGCCTGACGACTTTGATCGGCAACCGCACATTGGGCGAAGAGTACTGCAACATTGTACAAGTAGAGGGTCAGAGCGGTGCCCTACCAAAGCTCTCGAAACGAGCTGCCTATATTGCCGGCAGCATAGTGCTGCCGTACGCACTAAGCAAGGTGTTGCCTCGGCTGAGAGCCAAGATCAGGGTGCGCCTGGAGAGAAACATTGCCAGGACACGGATGCAAAGCGAGAAGAGGTTACAATCGTGGAGCTTCAAGATCCAGTCATACATCCACGCCAATCTCGCGACCATTACAAGCCCGGAATCAGCATATGCTCTGAGCCTGGTATTATTCTACTTTAGTGGATCATACTACGAGATCGCAAAGCGGTTGACCGGATTGCGCTACATATTCACACATAAGATTGACGAGAATGCGGAACGCATTGGGTATGAGGTGCTAGGTGTACTTCTGGTTGTTCAGTTCGCAGTGCAAGGCTATCTCCACATCAAATCAACTCTATCTGGTGCCCAGGTTGCGCAGGAACGGGAGCGACTTGCTTATTCCGGGCCCGATGTTTCGCTCAATGAGCACGCCTATAGCAGCAACAATGCATTGTTGGCAGCAGCTGGCTCAAGCAAGTCTCAAACCCAGGTCGACCTCGCAGCCGCAACCCACACACCGATCCTGGGCAGACCACACTACGATTTGGCACAGGAGAAAACCATGGGTTGGATCAAGGGTGCTCAGCAGAGGAAGTGCACCTTGTGTCTTGAGGAGCTCAAGGATCCATCGGCGACGCAATGCGGCCACGTATTCTGTTGGGAGTGCATCGGAGACTGGGTACGAGAGAAACCCGAGTGCCCACTTTGCAGACGTGAATGTCTGGTGCAACACATATTGCCTTTAAGGACGGTATAAATTTTCGGCCGCAGTTTCATCCCGATCGGTGCCTCCTATCAAAATTCATGGGGCTATGGGTGTCGAACTTGGCAACATATCTTACATTTTTGTGTCAACGGGCAGTGTCTTTCAGATGGCAGTCTTAGAGCACATTCGATTGCTTTTTGGTGATTGGGAGATCGTAAGACGTTTGGCGTGTTTCCGCCCGTGAGACTTCACTCAGAATATGTCAAGTCGGCTCTTGGATAACGTATCGTCGAACCACCTTATTCTTCCTCATGAAGATCACTGTTGACGGGCTGTTCATTCGTGTTGTGTTGGGATTTTTACTTGAAGGGAATCCAATCTCGGGTCGCCCCAGGGTTTCCTGACCACTCCTTGAATGGACACACTTCGCACTAACTCGTGATTTGTCAATTGTGGTGCGATGCCAGTTTGCTAATTCGGGCTCTTGTCATCCATCACAACAGCCTCTCACCATTTGCGCCTCCCACCCGGGTTCACACAATTCTTCTTCTTCTTCTTCTTATTCTTCCTTTTCCTTCAAATCGCATTTAGGCTTTTGGGGAGTTGGTTAGGAGGGGCCAGATGCAAAAGTGCTGTCGGGCACGTTATGAAGATAACGAAACACTCATGTGACAGAGGGGTTACGAATTCACGGGAACAGGACTGGACATCCGTACTCTTAACGATTTTCAAGTTCAAATAAAGCTGCAACTATATATGGATTATCCCGAGTTATCAACACCATCAGCAGCCGGATCGATACCGAAAGTGATATAACCGATCATGCCGTTCTCAACGCTTACGCCATCAGCAGCAACGACGCTAATGACGGGGTTGTAGCCACCGTCCTCGCTGCTCGAAAAGACGCTATCAGCAGCGTTTGTGGTACGGTCAATCTCGGTGTGCTGAGAATACGGGTCGAGCGCCATGATCTGTGAGGACAGCGTCTCGTTGAAGTAGATTTGGCCGGTCGAGGCAATGTGGCCGGTGCTCACAGTGCCGTTCTCGTGCAGAGACCAGTCCGTGTAGGCCTGGATGTGGATGTGGATGGCACGCTCGACGTAAAAGCCCGGGAAGATGGTCTTCATCTCCATGACGCCCTCGGAATCCGTGGGCCACTGGCCGCGCAGCCACGTCGTGTCGTCGGTGTGGAGATCCGTGGTGCCAATCTCAAAGTCGGTAATGTTGAGTTCGCTCAGCAGCTCGGGGAATCCCGTGTTAGGGGACAGACCCGTGAAGCTCGAATAACTTCCAGTGGCGTTGCAGTGCCAAAAGTTGAGCAGAACGTCGGGCAGCGGCTCGCACGTGTTGACATCGAGCACACCCACATCCAGCCACAGAGGAATACCGGACTGGTCTTCGGTCATATCCTGCCTCAGCGTCTGGGAGCGCGGCCAGACATATGGTCCCTCGGTCACGACGGGGCTCAGGACGCAAGTGTCATTCTGGATGGAGTCGTAGTAGGGGGCCTCGGTGGTGACCTGGTAAGTGGTGTTGCCAGATCCCGCCCACCGCTTGGCCATGCGCCTTTCGTAGCGCTTCTTGTTGAAGTTGGCGGCGGCGGGCTCGCATCTCCGAGAAATGGTTCCCCGGCGCTGGACCTCACGGGCCGACAGATGTTCGGGATGCGCCAAAGCTGTAGAAAACAGCCCGGCGGCGAAGAAAGCGGAAAACTTCATCGTGAGAAGTGCTGAAGCGGACAATGAATTTGACTAGATGTTGTTGCAATCGAGGAGAGTTCATATTGCTAGCCATGTCAAGGCTCCCATTTTTATAGAAAGTATTGCGGTTCATACATGCTGTAATTAGATGCCCCTATCGCATTGCAAGCAAACGTTTCGATCGACCGGGTCCGTCGTCAAGTCTCCACAAGTGACGAGGCGACGGGGCTCGGACGCCCCAGATAGAAACCATCTATAAAAGCTTCTCGGCAAGCGGCTCCTTGAAAGACACCCATATTTATCTAGGCTGATCCTGGATACGGATACACCAATATGATCCAAACTGTTATTGAAGTTGCAAACTCCAACCTTGGTGATATTTACCTCATCACTGGATACTTCATTTTCCGGAGAAGCAGAGTATTGAAAAGAGACAGACAAACATGGCGGGCGCTTCCTGGTATACGTAGCTGCTAACGTATTTCAACATGCTGATATGCATTTGCAGTACTCTGTAGAGATTAAAATTCTTGGCACTTTGGACTTGCAGAATGCGGCTCGCCTCATACTCGCGCCTAGTCTATCGGTCCCGGCCCACGGCGGTGTTCCGTCACTAAATATTGAGGCTGCACGGGGCCATTTACGCGTATGTGTCCCATAAGAAAGTCTACAAAGCAAAGGGTGATCATCGCGGTATTTCTGCATTGGGAGGTGAGGTTTTAGCGGAAGACATTACGGTAGCCAATGACGGTGATGACAACAGCATTATTACACAGCAGTTGAATCTGACTGGCTTGGGTTTCCCTCGACATGGTTGTGCTCGGAATAGACTTCTTGGCGTACTGGGTTCATGACTATGCGGGCCCCATTGAAAGCTTGAAAACGCCGCCCCGGATGCGCTGGGCTTAGCGTCTTAGATCATGTACACGCGTTCCTGTGGGGGAGAGTCGTCAACTACGGGATAGGGAACTCCCAAGGAATGGCAAATTCACAAAGAAGTAACGGAAAACCCGAAAGAAACATGAAGAGGGCAAAAGATGGATACCGGGACGGGACTCCCACATCGGGAAATGGGGTCAAGGACTAAACGCTAAAGTAACTTAATTACTTACTGTGTATATCGTATGGGCATACGCACTAATACCACGTAGTGTGGAAAAAGCTGGAAAGATTGATTTCCAGGTTGGCTGTCGTGGCCGAACCATGCTTTTAATGGCTGCATACTATATCTGTGTTGATGACGTGGAACATTTCAAATCGCTACAATCATTGCAATTGCATTAACATGAACGGTGATTGGAATTTCGTCATCATTCTGTGATCCCTAGGACATGTATTTTCAGCAACGAGGGGGATTCTAAATGACTAGCAATGCATCCATTGTGGCTCAGGAGACTGAAATCAGTCCTGGAAATATTGTTTGAATCCAATTCTCTGATTTTATCGCATCTGTTTGGCATAACTAGGTACCGAGGGCTGGTCTACTGACAAAAGTCGCTTATCAAATTGTCCAACATCGCAGTCGTCTTGTGTATGCTCTCAACATACACCCACTCCTCCTTTGCGTGCAAGCCTTCTCCCTCTGGACCAAATACCACAGCGGGTATACCAGCCTCAGTCAATAATGCAGCATCGCACCAAAATGAAAGGGCTTGAGGTTCGACTAAAGGGTTCGCTGTGGACTTTGCGGCGCTGATGGCTGCCTTCACTATTGGCTCAGACGAGGATAGCTTGAGGGCAGGACGCTCTACCAGAAGCTTTGGCGGCTGGAACCGGAACGAGGCATCCGTCTTGGAATGTTTCTCCAATATGGAAACTAGATCGTCCTGGATCTGCTCGGCCCGTTGAGCTGGCACTGTCCTGAATTCAATCTTGACCTTGCAGGACGCTGGATAGCTGGACAACTCCTCGCCCCCTTCGATCAAGCCACAGTGGGCAGAGGCTGGACCCAAGACATCATCGATGGGGAGCCGGTTCGTATACTCTTTCAACGAGCTCAAGAATAACCCGGCATTCATTATGGCGTCTACCCCCAGATCTGGACGAGAGCCATGGGCAGCAGTTCCCAGGATCTCCACCTCGAACCACAGGAAACCTCTGTGACTTGTTCCCAACTGAAGCATTGTTGGTTCCGGGATAACAGCAGCATCGGCGCGCCAGCCCGCTTCGAGGATATCTACGGTGCCGATGGAAGTGTCTTCTTCGTCAGCCACCGCTGCCAAAAGGACACTGCCACGCGGTTGACTCTTCTTGGCATGCGCTAGAGCAACCATTGCGGCGGCGGTACCTGCTTTCATGTCCAGGCTTCCTCTTCCAACCACGGCGGGACGGCCATTCTTCTCTGTCAAGTCACCACTTAGTGGGTCCTTAGTATACGCAGCCAGACTAACAGTGTCGATATGACCATTCATCATTAGGCTTCGCCCGTTGCCAGTGCCAGTCACTTTGCCCACCACGGATGGTCGACCCTGCTGAGATTGAATTCGATGGCTTTCTATATCGCGATGTTCCAGCCAGCCTTCGATGAAATCTGCAATAGCTTCCTCTCCGCTTCCAGCTGATAGTGACAAGGTGGGATTGGTGGACTCGATTCGAGTGAGAATGCGCGTCAGCTCCACGGGATCATCACTTGTCACATCATGGGGAGTCGTGTATGGCCGGGCTCCCTCCGTATTCAACAGTACAACAACCGAGTCCTTACCCAGGCCGAGTTCCTCCCGGGAGGAAGCCATGAGATACCGTAATGCTGCCAGCCCAGCAGCACCACAGGGGCCCGAGTCAATGCCATACGCTTTGAGCTCTTTCACCGAGGAGTGAGCTTCAAAGTCGGAAATCGTCACACTGCCATCCAGGCAGTCTCTGAAATCAGGCCAAGCAGAGTAAGTGACGGTGCCACAATTCAGCCCAGTCATGATTGTGTGAGATGTTGTGACTGGTGTGCTCGCGTCTGCGCGTGCTTGCAGACTCTTGTACAAGCACGCTGCGGTATCAGGCTCCACAGTCACGACCTTTGAGCATACCGGTCTTTGGAGAGACTTGTAATATCGAAGCACGGAATGTGCCAAGGAGCCCACCCCAGCGGGACTAATGAACAGATCAATGTTGATATTCTGCTCAGCTATTTGATCATCAATCTCTCTAAAGATTGTAGAATAACCCTCGACGATTCTGGCAGGTACATCTTCGTAACCTGGAAACGATGTATCTTGGACCAAGACACCGCCGGGACAAGCCTTTGATGCTTCAGCTGCAAAGGCGACGACCTGGTCATAATCCCCAGGCCCAAGGATGACTTTGGCTCCTTCCCCGGCTATAGCCTCTTTGGTGTACTCGTCGAGGCTACGCGGGACAAAGATGCGAGCCTCGATCGACAGTAGCTTGGCCATGAAAGCAACAGCTCGACCGTGATTGCCATCGGTGGCAGCAAACAGGACAGAGCCACTCTCTCTGGCCTTTGACGCCAATGTGTCGATATTGCAGTCTAGACTCAGTCCCAGGCTGGTCACCAGGGCGTAGTAGGCGCCATATGATGCGCCCAGAATCTTGAAGGATGGTAATCCGAAGCGGCTGCTTTCATCCTTGATATAGACACCCTTGATGCCAAGGTCGGCAGCCACTCCGGGCAGCGACACCAGTGGCGATGGTGCATATCCAGGTAGGTTATTGTGAAACGACGTTACGGCAGGCAAATTGAAAGGCGCGAGCCTGCTGCCATCAGCAGGTTTTGGGTGAATAATGGGAAGCCGTCGCACAGAAGACATTGTGCAATCAGCGTGGCGTCACGTAGTCTTTGTAAAGAACGGTGATGATATGGCCGGTCTCACTTGTTATCATAAGTATGTCTGGAGTGCAAGCCTAGGTTGTCTACCTTGTATCTACGGAAGATTTGTATATATTACAGTATATCGACCGAGTGGGGAATGTTTACGTAATTAGTGCATTCGTTAATGTCAATTGCGCCTTTCGACTCGCCCTTTCCGGTAACGGGACGCTGATTTACCCAGTCCCTAAAATCAAGAATCGAGAATGAAGGTGATCTATGTCTATCAAGAAAGTGTGTGAAAAAGAATCGACAAACTTCCCCGTTATCTCACTCCAGGGATTTCGACGGCTTAGCCAATTAGGAATGTGATGCAGCAGGCATTGAGCAAGGGACTGAGTAAAGGAATTAATTCTCGGCTAGAGAAGAAATAAATTACATGATATATTCATTTGAATGCACCGAGTGATCCACATGATTTCTGGGCTGCAGTCACTGTGCATTACCCTGATAGTTTGACAATAGGTAGCGTAATATAAACTTTCTCTTCCTCAGGCGTGTCGATGTATTCAATGCCTGTTCTACATGTTAGCGAATCGTGAATCGGTCATGGAATCATCAAGAGGATAGCTTATCGCGACGTCCGTAAATCTGCAAAAAGGGGAAGACAGGGGTTTGAAGCAGATATAAACGGAAAACACCAAGGGTGCATCATCGCTACATAACTCACCTTGAACACTCCATTCATCGGCAGCACCCGCAGTATCGTTACTATTTATATCCCTCTTTGTCGTCGTTGTTGTGGTGGTCGTAGTCGTTGTGCCAAAGGTAATCTTGCATCGCGCAGCGTGGTAAACGTTCTGCCATCCTTTGGTGGTGTATTGAGGCCCGCGGAGACAGTAGCCGTTATAGTCTTTAGTCCCGCCAATTTTATAGATTTTGTCCTGACCAAACGTGTTGAGGGCACATACTATCGAAAGGTGAGTGAGCATTTGGACAATGGTGATTTAACCCCATGGACACGACCGTAGGCAAGAGGGGCATGTAATTGGGGCATGTTATCAAGACATGACTTACAAACAGCATCCCAACCGGTAGGTCCGGTATATGAGGTGGTTGCAAAGGAACGGCTCGTGGCATCCCACCATGCATTTGCGTTGGATGTGCTATCGGCGAGAGACCAAGTATAGTTGCGCTTGAATAGCCACGACGTCTGGGCATTTGGCCGGGTAGTCATACCGTCGGGATCAGGCTGCCTGTTGGGATATGTCACAGCGCGCTGCTCATTGGCACCTTGAGCACTGGCTGCCGTCCATATCTCCTTGTCTTCTCTCCAACGGAACCAATTGTCAACCCTGTCCTCGTCTTTGATATCCAGAGTTGGGTCCAGCTGTCCCCAATTGGTTGACAGATCACCAACCATTTCTGTACATTTGGTATTATTATCAGCACACATCGACAAGCTGTAACAAAGTGTGAAGACTTACTCTGACACGTGCTACCTGCCCAGCCACCATTCTGGAATCCAGGGACACAAGTTGCCGACCGGCTACCTGTGGAAGCCCCGAAGTTACCCCCTTCCTCAGATGACGCCCATGGTGCTTCATCGCACTCTAGCTGGGGCTTCGCCTTGGCTGTGGTACTACCATCGAGCCCTGTAGCGGTTATAAGTTGTTTTGTAGCGCTATCACAATATCCCGAAGGACACTGCTCATTCCGTCGATCACTAACGCGGTCTAGGTTGTTCGAGTACGTCAGCACCGTAGGACGGGTCGTCATACTCTTCCAGCCGTCGCACATTCCTTTCTGCAAAAATGTCGTGTGCTTCCCGTCCGGGAATGGATTTACTTGCACGGGCCCAAACAGGTCGCAATTGAAGCGAAGTTCCGGTAATTTAACGTCGGCTTTTGAGCCTGGGGGACACGTGAGCTGTTGAGTGAAATCGGGCGTGTTCGGGGACAGGCCATCATTGTCATCAGTGTCATCTCGTGCCAGGAGATCCAGCCCAGACCTGATGACTACGGAGCCGTTTATCGGCGACGGCTCCTCAAGGCCCCGTTTAGAGACGAGTGGGATTTCTCCGTTTACGGGCCCGTAAATATCAATACGCTTATCCGGTGTGTAGGCCTGCTGCGGTCCCGTTGCCTTCAAGGATGTGAGTCAACCTCATTGAGATGCAGGGGAAATGCGATAGACTTACCCAATTCAGAATGCCCAAGATAACGGCTGTAGCTTTGTAGCCTATATTATAAAAGGCATAGACACCGTAGCTGTACTGGAACGATCCCGTGGTCGTGCTCACCTGACCCGAAGCTTGGAATGAGAGGTCGCCCATCACGTATCCCGTGAGCTGTGCGTCCATGATGGTCGTGCTCACCAAACTTCCGCCGCCAATCTTGATACCTACGTTAGCCTCGGGAGTCACAATTACATCCAACTGGGCGTCGATTTCAACCCCGGCCTCGAATGTTGGCGCGATCGTGTCGGGAGCTGGCTTCTTAACGTCACTGTCGAGTCCAAGCAGCTGCTGGGCGTCCTCGCTCTCTGCGGCATCTGATGGCCAGTAAACCTCGGCTTTGCCAAAGTTGAGCGTAGCCCCGGCATTGGCCTCGCCATGAATGGTAATTTTACCACGAATCTAAGTATCATGTTAGGATATATTGTGCTTGGCGATATTTTCACAGTCGTTCCAAATGCTGCAGAGTTCTCACTCACCTCTCCATATACATCCAGGGTCGGTCCCACAGCCGCAATTCCTTTGACGGCCAAACCTGGGTATGCAAGCGTGTCGATGATCTTCTTACGACCAGAGGAATATTGCATCACTGCATTTCCCTCTAGGTGAAGACCGACGTACGCTGAGGGCTCCATGCCGAGATACGCGTAGACTTCGGGCGACGCGGGAGGAATAAACTGGCCTTGGAAGTAGTATGCATATGTGGCATCCATCTGTATCCTGGCTTCCAAGTCCATTCTCAGATTAGCCGAGAAGGTCTCACCTGGGCAACCCCACTGGGCCGAGAATAGATTGATGCTGTCTTGCCATCCCAAGGGGATTACGCCCAGGTCAGACTTTTCAATGGTTGTCAATTTCTTGATCCAAGTTCCAATGACTCCCCACCATCTAATAATCATTCGAAGTTAGCGGTCCATCATTTGGCTTTATTAAGTATGGTATAGAATGAGACGAGAAAGGAGGATGAGAAGGCAAGACGGTGGTGGTGAGGTGAAAAAGGGCTTACCGTTTATCGACCGATGAATCGGCGACATCTGTACCATCATTCCCACATCGGGCGGCAATGGGCTCCATTGGCACTGTGACATTGAGAGGAGCCGATCTCTTTCTTATGGCCTTATCCCTCATGGCTGCCCTCTTGACACGAGACTGCCAGTCGGGCATGCTGCTCCTCTTCTTGCTAGGGTCCGCAGCATCAACTTCGTCCCAGTATCCCAGCAGATTCGTATAGTCGACGCGAAGATAGACGGGGTCAGTATCGCGCTTGTGGGAGATGGCTAGGAAGTTATAATCAATCTTGACTTCGTAAACGGGATTCGTCTGATGGATTCCTTCCACAGTTCGATGCTCGACATGATGTGCAGGAAGAACCACATCATCATCTGTCTTGAGCTCCCTTACGGAAACGACACGAGCAAAGGGGCCTTCTCCAACATGATCTGGCATCCGGATGATGGTGTCTTCAGCACCTCCGATCCAGATACGCGCACACTGAGAGGAGTCTGCGGGGAAGTTGCAATAAAATTGGAACGTCTCCTCCGTATGTTCAAATACCGCGTCCATAACCGACTGATTATACGTCACGATTGACCGCTTGATGTTAGGGATCTCGGCCTCCTTTCGCACGATAGTATTGGTCGTAGAGAAGGAGTTGTCGATGGAACCTTCCGGCCCGTCGAGCATTAGGAAACCATAGGCATCAGTCCCGTCCTCGGAGGATGATTGGCCGTCATCCTTGTCGTTGTTTGTGAACTCGTCGCTGTACTGCCACATCACGTCGGACTCGCCTGGCGTGTTATAGTAGGTCTTGAAGACCTTTTCGGGATCCACGGGCCATTTCGAGTTGTACTTGGTCTGAAGGTCGCAGCACAGTGGATAGTGCATATCCACGCCTACCGGGGCGACTACGCCGTCACAAGAGACTGGGAAAGTCACGTCGGAAGCCGCGGCAGGTGCTGGTGGAGGATCAAGAGCGGTGGCAATCTGGATTTGGTTTTTACCACATGGTTGGGGTAGGCAAATATTCTCGGGGTCCTGCGTGACCGTAGGGTTATTGTTGGACCAGTTGCAATTTTCCCAAGCCTGCTTTTTTGGACAGCAAAGTGCGCTCTTGAAGCTAACGTGAACGGGGCTGCCCTTCTTGCCATCTACGGGGGAGACATAAGTATCAGAGCACCACGGAGTGCCATCAGGTTTGTCGAGACGATAGCCTTCGAACGTGTAGCCATCGTTGCACTGTGGGTTGGTAGAGATGGGACCCTGGCATGGACTCCAGTAGCAATCCGAGATCAAAGCAGTGGAGTCGCAACAGAGCGATCGAGTGCCATAATAGCAGCTGTCCTCACCCTTGGCATCCAGGTAGCTGTCTGTATTAAGCTGGAATTGAGAGCTGCCGCAGAAACCCGAGCAGCCAACTTCGCTGCGGATCGGGGCCCCAACCCATCCGCAGTTCTGGGGAAGGGCATCCTTGGGGCAGCAGATATTCCGCCACCAGCCCTTGCTGCATTCCCCGAAGTAGTCATGGCCCAGTGCTTGTTTGGGAGTGTGTGCCGTAGAAACAGACTGTAAATCAGCGAATCCATATGTCAGCATGCTTACTTTCGGGCAACATTGGGAAGAAAGGGGGACTGGGGGTTGACTAGGTAGACGAGCTACAAGAAAAGAGGCGCGTAGGAGAATCATAAACCACGAACCTGATATCCACTTGGGCAGACCTGTTCAGAACCTTGCTGTCCAGGACTGCCGTCTGTACATCTTGGTGTCACGAAACAGTTTTGCCCAGTGTACGCAGCGAATTGATCGGCTAGCGCTGCCTCGGCCTCTGGGCTCAGGCCACCGCCCTCGAGCTGCAGCAGCGAGGTGTCCCCCATGACGCCATCATAGGCTTCAAAGGTTGAGTTATCCTGGTCGAGAGCCCAGATCATGAGACCGCTCAGGCATCTCTTGGAGAGAAAAGCCTTCTTGTCAGTCCACGACTGCTCGTCATCATAGGAAATCCATTGATCACCGTCATAGACGTTGAACTTGACCGTAGAAGTTTCGTTGTAGAAGGTATGAACATCCACTAGTAAGGAATAAAATCAGCAATGCCTCCATTGATGCGGTGTTGTGCGTCCCGAGGGCGACGGCGACAGCCATCCCCTCGAAACTGTTTTCAAGAGGAAAGAAACTTACAGCTGCTATTGCGCGCCGCGATCTCTTGATAAGTCAAAATTCCCACGGTGCCGGAACAAGTCCCGGCGCGGCCTCCCGAGCTGAACTCACAGACGCCATTGGGCTCGTAACAACTGGAGTCCGCCATGGTGAAAGAGCGGCCATAGAAGCCCATTCCGAACACCACATTAGAAGGGTCAATGCCGTTGCGCCACAAGAGGTCAAGACCCGAATCAATCTCGGTGATGTCAGTGTGGCCCTTGAGGTACGGACCCGTCCAATGATTGTCATGATCCCAAGTACCATGCTATAGTGATTTCAAGTCCATCATGTCAGCTTTAGAACCTAACCGCGTTGCTAGGACACCTGTCTTGAAGGACAGCAGATCACTTACCAAGTCGTATGACATCAGGTTGAACCATGACACATATTTTTGCATACTCTTGATGTTGAATCCTCGCAGATACCAGTAGCTTGTTGGCAGTGTGACTGAAATCGTCCAACCAGGATTTTTTGCATCGAACGCGTCGCGCAGATCAGACACCAATAGCACGTAGGCATCAGCATCCGAGGGGATACCACCGCGATCATCCGCAGAGGGGTATTCCCAGTCTATTCAGAGAAAATGATATGAGCATGGTTGATGACATGCTTGGGGAATCAGCGTCTTACCTAGATCAATACCATCTAATCCGTACTTTGTGAGAAAGTCAACGACAGAGTTGATAAAAGTCTGTCGATTGTCGTAGTCATTGGCCACTAGCGATACCGTTTAGTCAACCCACTTCTATATGCATGTCACCAGGGAATGCTTCTGACTTACTGTCTGACCAACGAGTCTGGTCGGGAGGGTCACTAAAATCCCAGCCTCCAACCGATATGCAAACGTGTAGTCCTGGGTTATTGACCTTCAAAAGGGAGGAGCGGTAGATCAGGCTCCCATAGCCAGTCTCCAGTTTGTAGTCACTCCCGAAGTTGATAAAAGCTAGGTTTAAATGTGTAAGGCCAGCGACAATGATCTCTTCAGGCTCAAAGACATTGCAGGAGTGCTCAATGGCGAAGAGCTCATAGTATCCTATACGACGTTCATAGCTAAGTGCATTGGTGTTTGCTGTGCACTCTTCTGGCCGCCTGTGAAGTAGTCAGACAATTTCATATCCCTATTACCAGAATTGTATATAATTCAAACAGTCAAGTATAGACTTACGGAGCATCACCGCATCCACCACCGTCCGAGTTTGGCTGACATCCATCGCCGCAGAAATCAGATGTAGTACCGCAAAATCCCCATTTACTATAAGCAATGTCAGGTTAGCAGATGGGCGGGTAGTTAGAAACCGCTATGCACAATCGATATATATATTGTAGCATAGAACCAAGGGTGTGCGTACCTGCAACAGACATTGATGGGGCAATCTCCAGGGGCTACAGCAGCATATTGACCACACTCGGCCGTGGCATTGCAATTGCTTTTGCAGCCGGCATCAACGCTACAGTATTCGGGACCAAAGCCGCATGCGTTGTTGCCATTGCAGCAACCAGATTCACATGGTACGGCATCTGAACAGGTTCCTCCTGAGCCGGGCGATTGGGTTTGAGAAAAGACAAATACTGAGAAAAGAATGAAAATCAAGAGAAAGTTGCGAACGAGAGTGTTGGGTGATCCCATAATGAGGACTCCTCCGCCGTGTCGAGTCATGTTTGACAGACAACGTGGAAGCCTTCCGTGCTAGAAGGGCTTCACAAGAAAGTGTAATGAGTGAGAACCTCAGTCAAAGATGCGAGGACATGAAAGCAAGATTCCTAGGTTATGGACTTTGAAAGCATCTTGGCAGATTTTGATGCTTTCCACGCGTGACCATAACACCGAATAACACCATGCACTTGATAGTGGACATTGTCAGATCGTGTTAGTCAACGACTGCTACCCTAGTCAGGTTGCGCTGTACTTTCAGAGCTATCGTCCATGGTTCCGACACCGATCGGCCGAGCCATACACGAAGGATCAATATCATGCAGTCAGTTCATTAGCATTGCAAAGGATTCGGTCCAATCGATGTCACATGCGAGTCGGGCCTCTATACCGTTAGGTAGTTTAAAGGAGTCCTGGATTGATAAAAGTCCCCAAGTTACAGGGTTCCTAGAAAAGCCTCAGCATTTGGACAGGGTAATGTTCACAGGCACCATCTCGCCATTTTTGTTCCTGATCAAAGTCAATATATCGAGTCGCGCTTAGATTCAAGCAAAGTCCCCACCGGTTTGTATCAAGAGGCCAATAGGATTTGTCGGGTGTCGCGATTGATAAAGTTGGCCAAGCTAGTCAGGTACTCAAACAGATGGCAAGGCATTGCTCCGTCTGTGCCGCAATATCAGTCACAAATCATACAACGCCCGAAGACCCTTGCATGCTGACTGCGTTGACTTATAATTGTGCTTCAGGGGTTTTGTCGGTCCGGCTGAGAGTCTCATCAATAGGGTATACCTGCATATTTGTTTATAGACATTTCCGACATTGTCGCATGAGCTCATACGCAAAAGACACAGGAAGTAAAACAAGCATCGAGCGACATGACAGAAAATGCCAATCACGCATCGGTCGTGCTCTGTTTGGGACCTTGTTTCTGTGCCATCAATTCAAGATTGGTAACATCACGGCCTCCACCATCTGCGACATCATGAGACTTGTAACTACAGCAGTGCTGTTATGGCAGCTTCTGGCTCCTGTCACGCAAGCGGTCAAGTTGTGGTCTGCCCCGGCTGCAATACCTACATCAGTACCAGCAACTTGTCGTGCAGTACTGGTGCAGGACATTGCTTGCACCTATGGCAACAACAGTCTTGTCACGGCTGCTCAGGCGGCAAACGGTCTGGCACTCGTTGACAGCGAGGCCACGACGTATTGCACGACGGGCTGCTATCAGTCTTTGAAGACATTTCAAACCAATGTCGATGCCAGGTGCGGCAACACGGAGTACACGCTCTTCCTCAACAGCAATTACACACAATCCGCTGCCGCTCTCGCCGATGGGCTCAGCTGGGCCTACAATCTGACCTGCATTCAAGACGCGCAAGTGATATCTTGTCCTTCTACACTATAATGAAAACCTCTTGTCTGACCGTTATTAGATCTGGCTTCTGTCTTTCAAGCCTGTATGCCGGCAATGAAACAGCATGTTCGGACTGTGCTCTCAAGTACGGAGCTGCGATGCTGAGCTCAGATTATGGGAGAGAAAAGTTGAGCCCAGACACTTTCTCCTCGATGGTTTCATCATGTGGTGCAGACCCGGCAAGCTATACCTACAGCTACACCTCAACAACGGCCGTCTCAACGACCACGGGGACTGCAACGTCAGTAACTACAAAGCAATCTTTCCTGCAGCCTGATTTGTCCCTTTTCCCCATCTCCTACTTGAATTGTGGAGTGTGAGCTGACACACAGAGAGTACTAGCACAACCTCAACGACATCGTCACCAACGTGCACCAGGAAAATTTATACCGTACAGTCCTCTGACACTTGCCAGTCCATCTCCGAGGCCAACGGAGTAGGCACTGATCTAATGATTAACCGCAATTACTTGGATTACAATTGCACAGTTCTTACCGAGGGCATGTCTTTGTGCTTGCAAGACACCTGCACCATCCATACTCTTGGTAGTAATGAGACCTGTGACGGGATACTCAGCGGCCAATCGTTTTCCCTCATCCAGCTGGTCTCCTGGAATCCGTACTTACAACACATGCCTTCTACGCATGCTTCATCATTGCTAACCTTCGACGCAGGACCATTCACTCGAATTGTGACAACTTGGCTGCCATGGAAGGGCGCAGCATCTGCCTCTCGTAAGCTCACCAATTCCATACGTGCCGTGGTATCCCAATATTATAGTTACAACGTGATATTTCTATGACGGCCAAAGACTGACCAACTTTATCACCGGTAGACCACCAGGGGGTGGAACGCTTGATTTCAATTCTTCGACCAGTATCACGCCGACATCAACACTGTGAGTCAATGGTTCAAGGCCCATATTTTTCATGGACCTCCCCTAACAGGCATTCCCAAATAGAAATGCAAGCATTGTAACCAGCTGGGTGTCTGCCACTGGCACGATTCCCACCACCAACTTTACCACATCGTGGTATTCGTCCGAGTTTGACTCGACCGCCACGGCCACCATCACGGCCACCATGGACTTCAACGAGACTTTGGCATCTGAGCTGGCCCAACAGACACAGTACTGCTGGCTGACGGACGAGGACATGGACTACCTCGACGAGGAAGACTACGCCGCGGGCTGTCAGAGCCTCATGGACGAGTATTGCTTCCCGACGGCCGGCGCCCCCGTGCCACCTTCGCCCACCCGCATCCCGGCCGTGTGTACCCCGGACCGCAGCACGTATATCCCATCTACTACCACCACTACCGCGGCTGCCGCTACACCAACTCCTTATCAGCCCAACATGATTGCCAACTGTCAACAGTTCTGGAAGGTCATAAGCGGGGACACATGTCAGGGAATTGCCGATGAATTCTCAATCACTCTGACACAGGTAAGATATCTCGTGTTGCAATTCCAAGAGCGCTATCACTTTTGATAAGCGGGTCCTCGTTTTCAGTCTTCCCAATCGTTGCATTGCTGTTTGTAGTCCGTCTTGCTGACAATTCATGACACAGTTTTATGGATGGAACCCTGATGTGGGGGATAGCTGTCAAACACTGTTCCTCGGTTATTATGTTTGTGTGAGTGCTTGATCACCAATAAAAGAGAAGCTCTTGAGACTGGTTAGAGATTTTGATTTGGGCGCCCATCTTCCAAGCATGGATTTCACAAAGTGTTTTGCTTTCTTGCGGATCATGCGATAGTTTTAACTTCCTTGTAACATTATATATAAAGTTTGCACCGATCAATACCTCAGCCCTCAAAAATGTGCCCTCGGTCACCAAATCCCCTAGAAATACAAATGTATAGTTATATTCCCGTGCAAAGCGAGGAGAAAATTAAGTCATATCTACACAACGGTTCCCAACATGAAGCGTGCTCGATACTGGCAGTCTGGTGCTAAACTGGAACCACCCACTATAATGTAGCCACTGTTGAGGGGCGGTAGCTCCATAAGGGGTTTTAGCGGGGTGTGGTGGCGCCATTAGCGTTAACCTTACCCTATACACTCACTCTTTGGCCACCAAGTGATAAGCACTGTCGCCAGCCACTGTTGTTCACACGCTTCAGCTCACGATGAATAGAGTTCTGGTTTATACTTTTGATTCTAACACAATACCAATATCGGAACTCAGAGCTGCAAAGATATACCAGGGCAGGCATAGAGTGACTAAATTCAATCTAGAGCATACAACACACGTCCAATCTCTCCAGAGATTGTATACTTCTCGCCCAATTCGCTTCCAGGGTCTCGATTGGCGTATGGGTTGCTCCTATGACGATCGTTCCAGAAGTTACTGTCCCGGAACTTTCGAGCATTCCACGCATCTCGCATTTCCCACGTTTCTGTGCACGGTAGTCGTGACTCGCGCACAATATTCCCGCGCGCGTCGAGGAACAAAAGACGCAACTTGTCCGTCTCGAAGGCCTCGAGGTCGGCAACGATGAGAAAGCTCGCCACAACATTCGACTGTAAGTCCTGGCCAGCGCGGCCAGCCTCTACCTCGTCTGGTGTCAAGTGGTCGGCCGAGTTGCGCAGATTCTCGCGCAGCTCTTGGAGTTTGTCTGGTCTGCCCAGATGGCGGTTGGAGTACGGATCGTAATCGTACACAGGGCCCAGAAGCTCTGGCAAAACCTCAAAGACGGTGGACCAATCGCGATTGAATAGGTCCGGGTCGTCGAGGATCGTCCATTCGCGGCAGTCCTCCTCAAAGGCCGGATCATAGTCCTCGTCCGTTTCCCGCCATTCACTGAACTTGGCGTCCGAGTCCTCGTCGTAATGGGTGCGTAACCACACCTCCTCATCGTTGCGGTTCCGCCACAAATGCAGTGCCGCATCGCGCCAACGAAGAGGCCGCCAAGGCGAGAGGACCTCGCGGACCTCGCGCTCTGTTGGGATGCGCGCGACGGTCGTGGCCCGACGCTTGCGACCAGTAGCATCCCATTCTTCAGGGAAAGCGTCGAGCTGGGTAAAGGCCCTGATCAGGTCGCGCCGCTGGTCGCCTGCCGAGGCGGTTGACGAAAAGTCCCAATGACGCTACATCAGAAGGAAAGAAAATACGCGTCAGTGCTTTGGAAGCCTAGAGGTCACAGTACTGGTACCCCAGAGAGGCTGCTTACAATGAGGTATTGCTCCGCAGGAAATGCGCCCCAGGGTGGGGTCACGTCGGCCGCTGGCCCGAGAGCTTGACCTTGATCTGCCATTATTTCTGATGCCTCCTCAGCGTTCGGGTATTGTGAGTAAGGGCGCAACACGGTTGGTGATGATCAGAGACGGGATGTGAGAGGCGGAGGGGGGTTTCCGTGCACGCTGTGGTACAGTGCAGTGTATTCAGTTGTCGGGTAAACGCATATCGAATACTCCTCGTTGGGGTTACATAGCTCGAGGCTGATTTTGTGCCGCCGGGCAAACAACCTGAATTTGGATATTCCTGGCCGTCATGTGCTAAATCCTCCGACCGTTAAACTGGTGTTCTCAAGTTACATGGTGTATATTACCCAGTGGTGTTAGCCTGGAAAGCTCGCAAATTGCGCATCCCTCGGCCGCATGCACTTTATGCAGCCACATTTAGATGTATGAATATTTCATCCAATAGCACACAACTCGTACCACCAATATTGGAGAACATCTTCTGAGGATCCTTCCGGGCATTTCCATGTCCATGGCTATAGCTTTTCCTGGAATTTCCTTAATTGGCCAGTGCTTACAATTAACCTTGCATGTCGCCCTGCTAGGCTCATCCGAATCATCCATGTCTTTATCAAGCGACAACCTCCTTGAACTTGCATTCAATCTAAGCTTATTATTAACTCTCCAAAAACCTAAATATATGGCCTCTAGCCCCCGCGCCCCCTGTTCGAGAAATCAATAGCGTATGCTTCTGTACGGCGCATGGAACGAGAAACTGGTTATCAGCTCACCTGACATCCGATATTGCCTGTAAGCCTCTGCGTTATTGCAATCTTGGGTCCTTCAATATCAGGAAAATGGAGATCAGTCGCCAGGCATGCCACAGTCATATCATGAGATCAAGTCCGGAGAGCTGTTGATATGAATAGGCTCACAGAATTGAGTCCGCAAGAACTCGGTGCATTGATTAGCTATCCCGTTCCCTAATAGCAAAGCGGTCATTTTGCGGTTGCCATAACGCCTTTGATATTTTCATTGTCCCTCTTCACATAGTTGTTACCGCTCCTAGGTACTCTCCAGAAACTTCGCCATGATGTCTAGAGTGCTCTTGGGTCTCCTTCTGGCGTCCACGGCACAGTGTCGTAGCCTTTTTCTTGCCCGGAGGGATTGCACGTTCACCGTCGAGGCCGCAGAGGGTGACACATGTTCCTCCCTCTCTGACTACTGGGGCATCACTGAGGCCCAGTTTGAGAGTTACAACCCGGGCGTTGACTGTTCCTCGACCCTAACTGCCGGTGCTGATTACTGCATCGAATGGGACGACGGCCAACTGCCAACTAGCACCACCACCTCTACCACCTCCTCCAAGACTTCCACTACAACCACTACTACCACGGCACCCTCTGGGCCATCGCCCACCCAGACGGGGATCGCGTCAGACTGTAAGCTTTCTAGGACCTTGGGTCGGATCCCATCAAGTGCTGATCACAATTCACACAGGTGATGCGTACTACAAGGTCGTTTCTGGCGACACATGCTCCGGGATTGTCGATCACTTTGGGAATTTCACCCTTGCCAACTTGTATGCCAAAAGTTCTCCTCGAGCTAACTCCCTCCAAAGCTGACCGTGCCCAAACAGTTATGTCTGGAACCCTGCTGTCGGCTCCGACTGCTCTCTCCTTTTCCTAGGATACTACTACTGCGTGGGAACCACGTCGAGTGGGAGCGTGACCACCACTACAACGGCCACGACTTCCACTACGACCGGGCCACCCCAACCGGAGCAGACAGGCATCATCTCAACATGTAGGCGCCACTTATCATGAACCTCTGCCAGACAAACAGAAAGTGGAAGGCTGACAATAATTCACAGGCACATCCTACTACAAGGTCTCCTCAGGGGACACTTGCTCGGCAATTGTTGACAGCTATGGTACCTTTACCCTGAGCGACTTGTAAGTGCTCGACTCATTGATGGGGTTTTTTTTTTTCCTCCCAAAATCCACTCGCATGCTAATGAGCCGAGCCATACAGTCTCTCATGGAACCCGGCAGTAGGTTCAGACTGCTCTAAGCTTTTCTTGGGTTATTATGTCTGCGTTGGCGTTCCCGGCACACCCACTAGCAAGCCCACGACCACGACCTCGACCACGATCACGACTTCCACGACAACTAGTACTGCCACTGGACCAACACCTACCCAGTCGGGTATATCAGCTAAATGTAAGTGCCTATAGTCCGACTAGATCCTCCCTCTGGCCCTCTCCATTGCTTGTTCCAAGTGAATCGCGAACGCCCCTACTGACAAAGATGTCCAAAACCTTTAGGCAACTCCTACTACCTTGTCCAGACTGGCGACTACTGCCAGAAAATTGTCGATGATTACGGCGACACGTTTACGCTGCAGCAGTTTTACAGCTGGAACCCGGCTGTCGGTGTAAGTCATCTATAATACCATCATGATGAACAGTGTGGCTAATGAAATGGTTTTTCTCGCAGTCGGACTGCTCCAAGCTCTTCATAGGCTACTATGTCTGTGTGGGAGTTTCCTCATAACTGCTATCAAGCGCACATATACCATTAATATCCTGAGCTCCGTATCTAATTAATCAATTGGCATAAGCAATGCGCGCGCAAGTCAACATGGTCCCTTATGGAAAACATTTCTGAAGTAATGTTAAGCTTTTGCCAAGCGATCCTCGAAGCTGGGCAACTGGGGTGGGGGCCTTGGCTCCCGATTTAAGAATGCCAAGTTGTTCGAGTTCAGCCACCATGCAGGTCCATACAAACACCTGTAAGCGCCAAGTCGGTAGCTGAGTTTGGTTATAATTTATTAGTAAATAGACAATACTGTATCTTTTGCATTTTCTTCTCCGTACCCGTCTTTTTGGCGGTTTACCTTGTTTATACAAGGATGGGCAATTGCGTGGTGGTCGGTGCGGTCTTGACTCCGTACTGCACCAACTGGCGTCATATGCTTTGTAATTCAACAGCTACCAAAGAATGGATGTTTCAACATTGCAAGCCCCTTGCTGCATGTCAATCACTAGCCAAATGTATTTGGCGAGCATAAATCCGTATCACCCATAATCTCCTCGTCATTGAGGTCATCCGTCGCCTGGCGTTCTAGTTACAGTCATCTGTTAGGTGTATTGTTGGGTGAATAGCAGGTAACTTGGCTGGCAGAAAGCCTGAGTGCCATCAAAAGTCACATTACTATAGGACTCAAATTTTTATGCTTGCATCAAACGCTATCGTAGCGAAGGACTCATGGGGCCTTCGACAACCGCCAATGTAATGCATGTGTCATTTGGTTTTTTTTTTTTTTTTTTTTTTGACAAAATCCTTCAACTCCGGCCTGTTGATCCGTTCATCTAGAGTCCGTCCTAGACTAGAAGAGCGTGCAACCCCAACCTGATGCAGAACACTGGTGACTCCTTTCTGTGGCTCCATGATGAACTCCGTGTCGATGGCTAAGAATGATTAGTGGTCGGATATGGGAATATCTCGTCGATGGTCATTGTTTCCCGAGAAACAAGCACAACCGCGGCTGGATGAGTGTATAGAGCTTGTTTTGTGGTCATTATTCCGACCTTTCCGTTCACTTGGCCACTTTTTAAGATATATCTCCTGAAAAACATTCTAGGTTGCCAGTCGCACGTGATCATGTTTAATGTTTTGGCTAATGATCCTCGCATTAGCTCGAGGCTTGTATCATCAGGAGCTTGAGGGCACTGTGGACTAAAAGTTGAGTGGGAGGAAGCGGAATGGCTGGCTCGAAAAGTGGAAATGGAAAAGCGTAAGTCGAATTCTTGAGATCGAGTTTCCGCATTCCTCATGCTGTATGTCGACGAATAGTAGGGGAGCCTACCTGCAAGACACATGTATACTATTACTCGAGTGGAGAGTAGAGTAGTAGAAGTACAGACTAATATCTGCCCCTAATGCGTAGTGCGCCACTAAAGCACTAATAGTGTACGCGCCTTAGAACCAGCCTCTTTTGCCAGGCAGCAAGATGCAGATATGATGGTGGCCTCGTTTTCTTTCTTGAAGTAGGATGACAAGCGTTTTAGACTTGGCTCTCCGAGAGAATTGACTCAGTGTCCTCCTAATCTTGTTAATTCACGTCTCTTTGTCCAAGGGACACGCACGCATCCCCGGGAGAGGCTTTTCGCCAGCTCAAGTCTCTACATACCTATTTATCCTCCCTTAGCTCATTGGGCTGGGCGTCCCGTGACTGAACTCCCTGCCTTCCGACCGCACCGTTGGCTGCACAAAAGCCATACACAGGTGTCGACGATGGGCGTTCCGGCTTCCATCAAGATCAACTTACACGACCAGCATGCTGCAGCCGTCATTCAATACAGATTTGTAGCGTCTGGACTTGTCTCTGTTCTCCCACAACTCCCCGACGTGAGTGACCACAATCCGCCAGCAGACCAGGGTGTGTCTATATCAGATTGTGTGCTTCCAACAACTGTTCAACGCCCCGAGAGTGTGAAGCAATTCAAACTTTCGGGACTCAGTCTCTGCTATCTGTGGGAACAAAGCGGATCTGTTGTAAGTCGTTTTACTCCAGTCAATGTCCTCTTCTGACTTTCTTCAAGGCTTTGAAAGAGGGGGAGCCGTATGACTTTACAGTGCATAGGTAAGCAGCCCTCCTACAAGCAGGCCAGTAATCTTTACAAGCACTTCTCGTCCCACTGGCTGGTCGAGCAAGGGATCGCATATTTGATAAATTAACAATATACATGCACTAGCAATAACCGAGATGTCGCTGCCTTTACGCTTCGTCCCGAGTACAGCCCAGCCTTGCACAATGCAGACAAGATACATGCCTCCATGTCCTGGATTGCCTCTACTCGAACTATGACTTGGGAGAATGAGACGCTCAATCTCAGACTGACGACTGACACCACTCATGATCCGTACGTGGCCAACGTCCTCGCCATGCGTATAGACGTCGCTCGTGCTCTGGAGGCCATCTTCCTGAGACTTGAACAGGATAATGATCCGTTCTGCGATAGAGAGGATGTGACTTTAGAAGAGGGTGAAGGTGGGTAGACAGAGCCTCACTCCGATCGTAGTGCTCCTCGCTAAAGTCTAGGTATTAGGCTTGATTCCGGTACCTATCCTGCAAAAGCTCCTTCTTGAATTGGATCAGAGACGAGCTCCAAGCCAAGAGGCCACGGAGGAGAGACAATTCGAAGCAATTGTCTATCAAATAACAGACAGGTTGCAAAATGCCGTAGTGACCGAGTGTATTGTATGCTAGTTAATCCAACTTTTGTAGGTTACTCTCTAGATCACCGCTTGAGTCTTGCAAATCACGTAGTTTCTTGATTATGTTGTATTAGCTTCACTAGATAACCTATGCTATTGAAAGTGACGTAACCAATAGAGTGTGTTTTGTTGTCTGGTGTTGCATGTTAGGTACGGCACAACCAAGCGTGCATTTACAAGACACTTTACCGCTCTTCTCCAAAGAAAGTATATATCATGTGGCCGGGATCGATAATGAGATAACAAAGTGGTCGCTTGCGAAAGTGAATGCGTTACTCTGTCAACCAGTCTCACCTATCTGTCAGATGGTGGATGATGATGGATCCCAAACACCAGGGTGTGCTTGATTGAGCACACTGATCAACTCCATGGTGTTCAGGCAGATGGACCGGGCTCACTTCCCTGATGGGTGAGCATGCGACGATTTGGGGTGGGTGGCTATGAAGTTTTCGTCGATCGAGGAAGAAGGGGCATATTCAGGGCACCGATAAACTAAGTCACTATGTCAGTTATATTAGCGTCGCCAAACGAGCGGGCAACGGAGTCGGCAAGGGCCGTTTCTCGGGCACAGGAGCACATGATTTCCGTTTCAGAATGAGCCAATCCTGTGAAACCATTAGCGACAAATACAAGTCAGAATAACAGAGCATTGGGCGATTCGGAAGAAAGTGGGCAATGACAAAACGAACAAGGTAAACACGGTGAGATCGGGGCAACTTGACTTCAGCAGGCTTGAACAATTCCCGGGACTCTAAAAAACTCAGTCTACAAACGGTACCCTAGTCGTCTCGTAACTCTATTTCATGTGATGTGTAGTGCAGCGAGATGCTCAGAAGATCGTGCCTGTTTGCCTAGTATAGCGGCAGGTTTTCGCTCACCTCCGATAAGCTCCCATTTGTTAGGTATGGTTGAGAGGCAGTTATTACACTCAGCGGCGCTAGTCGTGCTGCTGGACATGAGAGCGAAACTGGATTGGGTATAGCTGTCCATTACTATTTCAAGGCAGGCGGACCGCAACCGACACCAGCTTTTTGTCCACCGGCGATGAGCGAAACCCAGGTGGATCTCAAGTATGCTTCACTCTTTGGCGCCACTGCGCATGCCTGACCCGCCACTACCAAGAGACTCAAAGACCCTGAGATAATGCCCTGGTGTAATTTGTTCCGTAGTGCAGACACACACCTCACGCCATCCTTTGGGGTTGGGTTAGGACTATCATGTCCGAAGGCATGTCGCAGCACGATTCCCATAGCAGGATCTGAACCGCAAGTTACTCGGTGCCCTGCCTGTGGATGGTGAAGAGGTCATGGAGCAAGCGATGTCCATTATTCCACGCGGCCGTGTTCTTGTAGAAACGGCGAGTGGATCAACATTCTTGCAGAGAATGATATGTGTCTGCATATAGACATACCGGCTCAAGAGTAATTGCCGAAAAAGTACAAGTCACGTTGAGCGAGGCTTCCATTGTCGTCAAAGCTGCCTACGGGAGACTACCCAACCTCTACAACCTGTGTCGCTATGTAATGTTATAATGACTAAGTTAGTACTGCGCTCCACTCTGGTGGGCAGCCGTGCGAGAGATCAGGTATCTGATGATTGAGTGCAAAATGGTCTCTACATCCACAACTGGTTGTGAACAGAGTCAAAATAAGGAGGAATAATGCATAGAAGAAAAGTGTTTGGTTAATTCCCTAGTACAAAGATTAGAATCTGCTTGCGTCCAATGCATGTTCCCGACGTTCCCGCGACAGGCGCCGGCAGGTGCCCGCTAAACATTCAGCGCTCAGCGCCCACCAAATACCGCCTACGTTAGGTACTACTTACCCTGACTGTAAGGTAATGTAGCTTCGCGAATCCCTAAAATTCACCCATACAGATTTGGTACATCATACATACCCTGGCGACATCCAGCATTCATGCACGACTTTGTCCGATCATCGGATTGAATCAAGAAGAGGATCAGGATCACTCCGATTTAATGGACAATTCCACCGAGTCCACGCCGTTGAGGACTAATCGTGGACGCCGAACTCAAGTCCGCCGCGCAAATGTCACAGCGTGCGCCAGGTGTCGATCGCGCAAGCAACGATGCGACCAGAATTTGCCCGCGTGCACCAGCTGCCAACGAGCTGGAGTGACTTGCATGAGTAGCGATTTCGACGGCAATGAAGTCCCTCGGAGGTCGGTTAGAATCATCACTATGGCCACCTCCTGCTAGCTTTCTGCCAGGGGATGGATGCCTTTATCCATGCTGACTGACGACGAGTATGTAGCTACATCAAGAATCTTGAAGATCGAGTGGCGTACCTTGAATTGCAGCTCATGCGTCATGGTGTTTCTGATGTAGACGAGATGTCCAACCCTGCGACTTCTTCAAATACCGACACGGGTTGGACCGCGCCGTTGCAGTCGCATCACTCTGGCAGTGCCCCGGTGGATGATGATGATCTGGTAGGCCAGATAGCTGTGGCCGCAATACCATCCGACCCCTTCAGCCAAACCTCTGCACGCTCCATTGGAACCGGTCACTCGCTTCTACGCTCTCTTCTCATAGGACCACTCTCAGAGCTGCCATCGTCTGAGCAGCGGTCGGCCAGGCATCATTCATTCGTTATGGATTTGCCCTATGAGGCTCGCGCGGATTGGCCTCCGAAGCAGACTGTCGGCCGGCTGGTTGATGTATATTTTGAGCACTGCGACATGTTTTCGCCCATCCTCCAATCCAAAGACGACTTTTTGGCCACGATCGAGCCTTTATGCGACGGAACCTTACCAATGAACCATGACATGGCTCATGCCAAATTCCAAGCATTTGCAATTTTCGCCACCGCCATCTTCCTACTCAACAGGATCGATAGCTCCGTGCCCGTGTCGAGGTCTGAAGCCTTTTTTGCAAATTGCGTGCAGCTCTTGTCAGAGAATCCTGGCCTGCTTTGCACAGGAGATCTGGATCATTTGACAAACCTTCTGCTTATTATTCAATACTGTTTTTTCGCTGCACACCTGACTGCTGCTTGGCACTTTATTGGTCTGGCTACACGTCTCGCGATTGAGCTGGACCTACACATTTCTCATGTGAGGACCGCGCACTTTGAACGCGTCGAACTCGACAGACGAAGGTGGTTATTTTGGTGTACTTATTCTTTCGAACGAACCCTGTGCTTCGTCGTCGGTCGTCCTGTTTCTATTTCCGACCAATCAATTCAAGCACCACTCCCAACCGAGGTCGAGGGTGACTCAAAGCGCTGTCTCGCCATACATCTCCTCAAAGGTCGCCAGATACAATCCGACATCTACAATGCCATCAGTCAGAAAGGATCGTTCTCGGGCATCCATGCTGACGGTAAGTCTCAATGGCGGCGAGCCATGCATGGACGGCTCGATGAGTGGGGGAGTGTCCTGCCTTCTTATTGGGACACGAGCCAGCTGGCACCTGCCGAGTTGTTCAATGCTGCCCGCCTCAATGCTCTTGTTTTACTTTATTATCCATCTTTTCACTTTCCAGATCTTTCAGAGCAGGAGCTCGGAGATCTTGGTCGATTCGCCATGGAAAGTGTTCACTCATACCCCCAAGTCTTTCGTGGAGGAAAGCTCAGGTTCTACTGGCGCGCCGTGCACAATCTATTCCGGAGCGGAGTAGCAGTCATCTACTGCATATATGTCTCTAGGATGAGGCCTTGTCTGGTTCTGAATGCCGATGAACTGAACGCTTCTATCAACTCATGCTCCTCGGTTCTATGGGGCATGGTTGAAAGATATCCTTCTGGGAAACCTTACAGGGACATTTTCGAAAAGCTTGCAGATCAGATATCCAATCCGAGGCATAACCTGAGCAGTTTGACCGAAAACGCAGCTACTGGAGAACTTACCGGGACAGAGGGTTTTCTGGATCGGATGTATGCAGATCTACAAATGGATATACCATTTGCGCTTACAGACGTGTTGGTAAACGGTTTCGTCACGGGAATTGAATCTGTCAGTGGTGGTGCAACTTAGGAAGCTTATATTTATCTGCCATTATAACACTTTTGTCTTCTACATGATCTAGAACTCCTTGAGAGGATCTGGTGGGGCAGGGTCATTCTTCAGACTCCTCAGAAAGTCGGTCTTGAGCTTTGTCATGGGTTGCTTCACCCAAGTGTTGTACGGAAGTATATTTGTTTCTTCCTTGGGGTCCCTTACTATATTAAAAAGATAAGGAGACTCGAGTCTACCAGAAGACTGATTGACCTTGGGCTCCCAGACAAGGTGAAGCTTCCAGTCCTTCCACTTGATAGCCCGGAGCTCCTCTCGAATGTAGAATAAGAAGCCGGTCCGCTTTGACTCCTGCTCCGACGGATTTTGAAAGAACTCGGACTGGTCGATACCATCAATGGGTCTATCGCTCGGAAGACTTGATTTTGTGATGGACAAGATTGTAGTGAAGAGGTCGGTTACGTGCACCATACCGTTGGACGTGACGTTGGCAGGAACCTTGCCAGGCCAGCGAATGATAAAGGGCACACGTAAGCTGCCCTCCATAGCTGTGTGGTACGTGCCTGACCAAGGGCCAGCGGTTCCCCGATACGGTTCTCGAAATTCAGGTCCATTGTCCGAGGCAAAGATGAAGACATTGTTATCAGCGATGCCAAGTGCCTCGACATGGTCGAGCAATTGACCGACCCGGTAGTCCATCTCGGCCATGGAATCTGCAAAGTCACCTTGACGGGTAGTGCCTCTGAAATCCTCGTGTGGGAGTGTAGGAAAATGCAGATGAACGAGAGGGTGGTAAAGGAAAAAAGGCTTGGCATCCTGGACCTGTCGGGAGAGCCAATCCTTTGACTTTTCCACCAGTGTCTCGTCGATGAGCCTCCGCTGCTTTAGGTCGTAAACGCAGACATTTTCAGACTCGCCACCAGCTACGCCTTTCATAATGTATGGAAGCTCTGCCACTTCTGGATCGTAGCCGAGCGCCGACGTGAACTGTGTTTCGTCGGTAGTTCTCGGAATGCCGTACCATTCGTCGAAGCCACGATCCGAAGGGTAGCGCCCGGGGATATCACCCAAGTGCCATTTTCCATGGTGGGCAGTCGCGTAGTCGTTGTCCTTGAGACACTCGGCTAGTGTCTTTTCCCATCTCGTCAGACCCTGCGGGAAGCCGGCCGGGACTGACTGGCGGCACCCGGTTCTGATGGGGTGGCGGCCGGTCATGAGAGCCGACCGGGTCGGGACGCAGTCACTCTCAACGTTGAAATTATGGAGCAGGAGACCTTCTGTGGCCAACTTGTCGATTCTCGGGGTAGCAGCTCCGCGGAGAGCGCCACCACCATAGCATCCTAGTTCACCCCAGCCGAGATTATCGGCCAGAGCAAGCACAATGTTGGGGCGTGAAGGATCTTTGGACATGGTGGACAATGACTTTGCGGTGCGACTGAGAAAGAGGTGGCATAAATTTCCTGACTGGACCGCTGAAACATATAAATAGGAAATGTTTGCTGGGCACAATGAACCAATAAATAAACTAAAAATAAATAAATAATGGTGGTGTCATTATCTAGCGATCAACTTGGTCATGCTTGGGACGGCACCGGAGCTCTTACGGAACAAGTAGCGCCGCAAACCCTTCGCCAGCACTCCCGGCTGCGCTCATCGCCGACGCTCACCTCCGAAGCCCCCACTTCCCCACGAGTGTACGCCAGCAAGGAGCCTGTGTTCTTGTGTTCATCACAAAACAAGGGTTGACAATTACATGACCTGGAACGTAGATAGAAGACTTGGCCTTGCTTATTTATTGACTGATGCCGTGCTTCTTGGACCATGTCGGTTTGGGAAAAGCATGAAATACCTTCTTTTGATTTCGTTTCGGGGGATCAAAAGAGGAAAAAGAAGCAACCGAGATATCATTCATCCATCGCACGAACATGGAGACTATTCATTCTGAAAAGAATGAGAGGCTTGTCGACGAAGTAGACAATGAAGCAGGAGAAATCATAGGGATCCATCAGGACACGAAAGTGATCCGAAGAAAGTGAGTGCTCCACACTACTTTTCTACATTTAACCTTCGGCTTCTTCTAGATCGTAGAAGGAAAGCAACAGCCCTAGGACCATGATGTGAGCTTTGCTTACCTTGTGAACATTACAGACTAGACTTTTATCTCCTGCCCTTACTGATAAGCGGCTTCTTCGTTCTCCAGCTCGACCGGAGCAACATCAGCAACGCCCTTACCGATACCATCACCGAGGACCTGGGAATCACAACCGACGATGTCAACCTTGGAAACCAACTCATGTCCGCTGGGATCGCCATAGCCGAGATTCCGTCCAACATCATTCTACAGCGATTCGGAGCCTCCAAGTGGCTAACATTCCAGATGCTCGTGTGGGGCACCGTCGCCATTTGCCAGGCCTGGGTTACAAACATCCACTCGTTCTACGCAACCCGCTTCTTGCTTGGCTTGTTCGAGGGCGGCTACATTCCTGGAGCTATGTATATGCTCGCCCTATTCTACACAAAGAGCGAGCTCGCTGTGAAGACATCCGTCTTCTACTTTGGCAACTACGTGGCTGCAGCCGTGGGGCCTCTCGTCGCTGCAGGCATCCTCCAGATGGCTGGTCTTGGCGGCTTGTCTGGATGGCAGTGGCTTTTCATAAGTAAGTATGGCCACTTCAAATTGTGTTGTATAACTCAGGACGTCCATGGAGCTAAGACATTTAAACACAGTCGAAGGCGGTATTACACTCCTCATATTCCTAGTGTTTGTGTTATTTCTTCCCCGAAGTCCTGCCCATACGCGGCCAATTCATGGCCTGTGGGACTTCTTTAGCGAGGATGAGCGCAAGCTTTTGCGTGCGAGAATCGTGGCGGACGACGAATACAACGAGGCGGACAAGGTTTCCATGTCTTTCAGAGACGTGAAGGATTCCATTGTCGACTATCGCCTGTGGCTCCACATGCTGCTCAATATTGTCACCCTGACACCCAAAGGTGGTTTGCAGCTCTACGGGCCACTCGTTATAAAGACTCTTGGTTTCTCCAAGGTGAATGCGAATCTCCTTAGCGCGGTCAGCAGTGTTTTGGTCCTCATATTCTCGTATTGCATTTCCATCGTCTCCGACCGCACACGATGGCGCGGCCCATTTTGCATCCTGGCGTTTGCGTGGTCCATTATATTCGCAGGCTCCGTGTTGGGAGTGAGCAAGGACGCCAGCGCGAGCAAATGGACTCTCTACGCCGTCTTCACCCTCTTGAGCGGGGGCAATGCCGTCTCACAGAGTCTGAACGATGCTTGGGTCAGCATCAATGCGAGGTCACCCAGCCGGCGAAGCCTGGGGCTTGCCATGGTGGTCATGGGTAGCAATTTTGGAGGCATCATTGGCCCGCAGCTGTTCCGATCGTCTGATGCTCCGAAATACCCCCATGCGTTCTTGGCGATTCTCGTGCTGTACGCGGCTGCGATACCCATCACCTTGCTGATGATGTGGGTTTACTCCAGAGACAACAAAGAGGCACAAACACCGGGTACAACTCATGATGGAACACTGGAGACAAGGAGGAGATACGACTTGTAAGAAGAATTCACAAGTGAAGTGCTATTGAAGATCGTTGCTGTATACTGGCGATTATACTGATAAAATACTGGAGCAATATCGGGGGGACCTTTACGGTACCCGAGTTTTTAGCTAGTAGCCGAATGTCAATAAGTACATAGGGCACCCATGAGCTACTCAATAATCGACAAATTTACTGCTTTGACCGTACCATTTTCTTTCTTTCCATATCAGCCACAATCTCCCCAAATATGGAGTCCATTTGCTCTCGTATTTGATCCTCGTCAACTCCCAAGACCTTCCTGTCCTGTACGATGATCTTTCCATCCACTATGACGGTCTCGACTGCGGTGCCATTGCAGCCAAAAACAAGATGGCTCTCAAGTTGCTTTCTGCGCGCGTCAAGTGGTGCTTTCAAGAGCGGCGTGAACATCATATCTTTCTTCAAATCCAGAATCGCCAGGTCGGCCTTGCGTCCCGGCTCGATTGTGCCGGCATCAATGCCCAAAGCAACTGCGCCATTGCGAGTCGCCATTCGCAGCATCTGGGAAGGGCGTCCCAATGCTGGGTCTTCGTGCAATCCGCGCTGCACATAGCTCGTAATCTTCATTTCTTCAAACATGTCGAAGCTATTGTGGCACTCGCATGCATCGACGCCCATGCCGCAATTGACGCCCGCAGCTGCCAGATCCTGAAGCCGTGCGATGCCATTGCCGAGCTTGGCATTACTGCCAGAATTGATGCTCACATGTGTCCCAGTTCGGGCTAGAAGCTCAATCTCTTCGTCGGAGAGGTGCACACAATGAGCAGCGACCGTATCAGGCCCGAGTACTACGCAAGGAATTGTATGTCAGCAATAGATCCTCCAAGGTGACTTGACTTGACTCACAGCCCGCCTCGTACGCCGCTTCCACCGGCCGTTTGCCACCAAGCTTCTTTGCACAGTCGGCAATCTCCGATCGCGACTCGCATAGATGCAGATGCAGTCCCGTCTTCAATTCGCGTTTCGCCTGCGCCACCTGCTTCAAAAGATCCATGTCCGCTAGAGGGAGCCACTCAATACCCATCCAGACCTTGACTCTTCCGTCGGCGGCGCCATGCACTTGCTGAAACGCGGCAACGTTGTCCTCGACGGTATCGAGCCGGTGCTCGGGCAGTGCGACATCGTTTGACAATACCGCACGGAGGCCAACTTGCTCGGCCGCGGCGGCCAAGGACGGCAAATGTCTATACATGTCATTGACGGCCGTTGTGCCCGTCTTGACGGCTTGAATGTACGAGTACAGCGCCGCTACCTTGGCTGTCTCGGGCGTCACCGCGCGAACAGCCGGATACCAGACTTCGTCCAGATACTCCCAGAGCGGTAAATCATCGTTGAAGCCCTGGGTAGTGGGCACGTATTATTAGCATTTGTTCGGCGGCGGGTTTCGGGACGTTGGTGGGCCACCAACCTTGGCGATACTTGTATGGAAGTGTAAATCTACCATACCAGGCATGACTAATCTATCTCGGCCATCGATAATCAAAGTATCTCCATCCTTCTCGTCGAGGTCAATGTCATCTGACCACTGACCGACTTTCCAGATCCGGTCATTTTTGATCTCCACAAAGCCGGGATAGAAAAACGAGTCTTGCGAGTCCAGAGTTAGCACAGTCGTGTTCTTGATGATTACTCGTCCCATAGTGACAGAGCTATGCAATAACTTTCAGACTTGATCTTGGGTATGAAAATGAGAGAAAACTTCAAGTGATGCGCTCTGCCCAAGAGCGGACGAGCGATGGTTCTTGAATATCATTATCGCCGCTTCTCGGCCTTAGCGTCAGCGAATAAAGATTTCCGTATCGTCGTCGGAGGCGGCCGCTATGGGGCCGCCATGGTGGTTCTCATCGTAAACGCAATCGGCTTCCGCCTCCAATTTAGAGGATCGGTATGGTTGCTGATAATTGATAAAGTGGTTGAATTCTCTCTGCTGACGATGCGGCACCAGATAGTCTCCATATAGTTCGCGTGGGATTATTGCACAGATTGATTGTGTTTTGTTTTCAATTCCAAAACTAGAGTTGGTGGGTTCATTTTGCTTGCAGTGGACCTTCGAAGCACTTGTCAACTTTTGGTGTTTGTGGCCCTGCTATAGTTGACTAACCTACCTAGTAGGTACATTTATGTTCTAAGACTCCCCGCTAAATCACAGCGTAGTGCGTGCGAGCTTCCAAGGTAGAGGGAGAACCCGCAACCCCATAGCATTCGCATCACTTTTTCACGTTTCAAGTCTTAAAAAAAAAAGAATATGAGATAATGTATACGATAAATAAAGAGATAATTGAAAGAAGAGAAAAGTGAACGAAAAGAGTTGTTACGACGGATACCAAAAGAAATATAATATATAATACCCGCGCCGGGACATCTGCTCCCAAGGTCTACAAATGCACCACTTCCGCAATAGTCTTCTCGGATATCCCGCCTCATATTTTACACAATTCCTGTCTCTGGGATATTCAAGTTTAATAATACTTTTTTAGTAAAGACTATTGACAAACTTGATCGTGATGCAGATATGCCATCGTTTGTGCTCCGAGGTAGCTAATGCTTGGCTTCGCGAGAATAACAGCTGAAGTGTACCTTCCAAGGCGTACCTAGGTAGACGGCTATTGCAGTTTCGAAGCAAAAGCTCTTGAACCCAGACGGATACGCAGACCCCGGTCGTCTTTAACCAATTCATGCCAACCTCTTTCGGACTGCATATGCACCTGGTCAGCGAGGCATTCTCTAAGGCATACTCAAGTCCCATGACGCGGGGCTTTCCCCCAATAGTAGGTGGTGTGGTTCAGCAGATATTTGATCTCACAATGGCATCTTTGACGGGCCCTTGCGCAAACATGGACGATCAACCTCACATTTTTTTCTGTTTAAAGGAAGAAATGCATTATACACGCCAATGAGTCAAGCACTGTTGAGGGCAGGGCCTTTGAAGGCCGACATCCGGCTCGCACAGGCGCTGTCGGAGTTCGAGGCAACCCTCTCTTCCGACGACAAGGCGAGGCTGAGATCATCCAAATCTCAGTCACAGAGCAAATCGCCCACTGTAGACGATGTTATGCGCTTCACGGCCGAGGTGGATGCTCAGGCAAAACGACGTCTGGGATCAGGCAGGTGCTTCGGACCCAGGCTCACCAATATGCTTCAAGCTATGCAGCAGTTTGCTGCTTTGGGCGATATTCTGGTAGGCGGCTCCCAGAATCTGATAGCCTGTGGTGTCTGGTCCGTTGTACGAATGACCATACTGGTGAGAGAAGACCTGGAGCTGCACTGGAAGATTCATCATGGCTAATGAGTCGCTATCTAGGCTGTAACGTTGTCAGCATCAGGAATGGAAAGACTCTCTCTGCTTTTCATGTCGGCTGGACGGTCGGCACCGCGCTACCAAGGCCTCGCTCTGTTGTATGCTAGATCTCGACACATTCGAGATTATCTGGCTGAGTACATGACCATCGTTGTGCAGGTGTGTCATTACTTTCATGATTTCAGCCACAAATCGACCATCGGCCAGATTACATCATCACTGAGCGACTCCAAGATCCGCAACGCTGAGGAAGAGCTGAAACGTTGGGCCCACCTCATCAAGGACGAGGCCAGTTTCCTCCAAGCTCAGACTACTGAGCGTGAGGCGGCTGAGAATAGCAACATCCGTAAATGGCTCAGTCTCTCAATAGGTTCGAGCTCCCTCCAACGAAAAATTGACAAACGCCTTCAATGGCTGAATGCTTTTTCTACCTTTGACTATGAAACGCCATGGAAGCAGGCTCGGAAGCGTGGTTCATCGTCGTTTTTCGTTGGCATTGCTGAGTACAAGCAATGGAAAGAGAAGCAGGGCCCACCGAGCCTCCTCTTGTCGGGCAAGATGGGTTGCGGTAAAAGCGTGATCATGGCAAATATGATAGACGACTTGAGCCTTTCTTGTCCCGAAGACACGACAATTTACTTCTTTTGCAGGCATGACATTCCAGAAAGTCTCAAAGCAAAGACTGTTTTTGGGTCTTTCGCGGCACAGATTTCTCAGCGACACCTTCAAACAGATATCATGGACTCAGTGTTCAGTGATTCGGCTCCTTTCATGAGCTTCGACAAAATACTCGAGCTACTACCCACCATGATCAAGCGAATGAAAGCAGTTCGCTTAATTCTGGACGGCGTGGACGAGTGCCCCCAAGAAGAGTTTGACTTGATCTGCACTGGCTTGCGACGATTACGTGCAGAATGCAGTATACTCTCATGCATTTCATATAGAGATCAAGCAGACGGTCTGCAAGCGAAAGTCTGGATCGAAGGGCAGGCCGTGATTGTTTCTGTTCCAAATGACAATCCAGACATTCGCGAGTTCGTAGAAGCAGAACTTGAGCGGCTGAGAGAGTTTGGTGACCTGTCTATCGGTGATCCGAGTTTGCTGATGACCATTCGGGAGGCGCTGCTGCACGGCGCAAATGGAATGTAAGTGCTTTCTTGTTTGAATGTGATTGCATTATCTCTAATTCGTATAAAGGTTTCTCTGGGTAGCGCTTCAACTAAACACTATTTGCGCTCAAAAAACAGATAATTTGATACGGCAAGCTTTAGAAGACTTGCCTAAAACCTTGAGCGAGACATTTCGGCGCATTCTCCAGAATTCAAAACAGGAGGGCCACTGCTACCAAACGAACATTCTGAAGATTCTCGTTGGAGCAAACAGACCGCTTACAGTTGCGGAGTTCCGAGAAGCCCTTAGTGTGACACCAGGAAACATATCTTGGGACCCCGGCAATATGATCAACAACATATATGCAACATTGGCTTGTTGTGGCAGTCTTGTTATCATCGACGAGGAAGAGGGAACTGTTCGTCTGCTTCATCAAAGTGTGACTCAATTTCTGCACAACAAAACACTTGAATCGGGACAATGGTCCTTCTCGGCACAAAGCGCTATTGCTCATATGGGTGATGTAACAATCACTTACCTCAACTACGGAGTCTTTGACAAGCGTGTGTCAACAGGAGTCGTACCACAAATGTACGCGGGAAGGGTACCAGAAAAAATCGTGTCTCACGTAATAAAACCATTCAGCACCGTCGGAAGAAAGCTGGCCAAAGCAGCAATGAAATCGCGCCGATTGTCAGATCGAGATATAGGCGTAACACTGTCCATGGCCAGCAATACACGGCAAGACTCAAAGCACATGTCGGAAAAATTTGAATTTCTCGTATATGCATTGGAGAATTGGTTGCCGCACACGACTCATATGAGCGACACTTCTTTGATGACCCCCCTTTTCAGACGGCTGCTAGATGATCCAAGCTTCAGCGATCTACCCTGGAACAAAGACGACAGGCTCCAAAACACTGATACGGTTGGCTGGGGGTCTGCAACGGTCCTCCATATTCCACGACGGCTGCGGTGGGCTATACTGCACTCACACTGTTTTCTCTTCTCGATGGAATTACGTGGCAGCTCTGGGGTGAAAGCTCTTCTATCCGTTGTGCCATACCTCAACGCAATCTTGAAAATCGAGAAGGGACTCAGGCTAAGTTCTCAGTTATCTGATAAACTTCTCCGTATTACGACAGCGTTCAGGGCTTCTGAACCAACCGACTGGTTGATTCAAATGCATGGCTATTCTATCAGGACATATCTAGGACTTCTAAGAAATCGCGAATACAGCACACTAATGTGGGCTACGATGCGAGCTTCTATTTATGATTCGTATTATGCGACGCAACCGCTGCTCGAGGAGGCTGTCAAGCATAATGATGTCCCAACAGTAATGTCTCTTCTGAAGAAAGGCGCAAGTCTCGATATCTACAAAGTTGAGCCGCCCTTGCAATTGGCTATGCGATCGTGCTTTTACAAGCCAGAGAACATATTCATGGTGTCTTGCATGCTTCGGAAGGCCGGAGTCACGAATGTTGCTCAAATAGCATTTCCTGATATTTTCTGGTTCCTCTACATAGTTTCCGTGCACGCCAGTCACCTTAATGAGAACTCTCTCGGCCAGAGACTCAAATTTGATGAAAACGAGGAATCAAGAGGTGTCAGTATGGCTATCATCGAACGCGCTTGCGAAAGAGGCGATTTCTGTTTGTTTCGACTCATTAAAGCTGGTTTATGCGAACTCAATGAAGACAAGTACGTCGAATTGATCAACAAGGCTTTGCTCACAAGGTCATCGGAACGAATAAATATTGTCAAATCCATCATATACGTCGAGCTATATTCCGGGCCCTTCAAATCTCCCAAGCTACAACCACTCATGAATAAAGCCAGAAATGCAACCAAATTTGCCTTGGCACGCTTGGCGCAGCTCAGAGATTGGGGTTCAATTTCCTATTTTGAATCTTACTACGGATTGTCATTGGAGCAATCGGTGGATATTAGCCCAGGCCCCTTCTACGGTTGTGTTGATACACGAGACTTGGATGGTTTGCGTAAGATCTGCAAATTTGCCAGCAATTTGCATTCTTACCAGTCACTGTTGGCCTATGCAACTGCTTCGAAGTGGGAATCTCTGGAAGAAGTCTCAGACTTGTTTGAAATCATCACTTATCTGCAAGTGGATTTTCAACACAAACACGAATTCGGAGCAGAGACCAGAATGAGTTTCGATGTCTGGTCAAGCTGGGCGCGAGATTTTGCCAATGTCAATGTTCCTACCGAGTGTTCGGAGAGGTGGGAGCGGACTGGCGATCTGATACTGATATTTTGCGTTCGTGTTCTACACTTTTTGTCCAGGGATGACTTCTTGTTGGATCATAATCTCCCAGGAGGTGAATTTCGAGCCTCTCGAGATTATGATTTGCAACGTACAGTCGGCCTCATGCTTGGATATATCAACACGACCTTACAAAACTTGTCCTACTCAGGTCAAACCAAGGCTACATGGTGTGAGACAGTCGAGACAGTGTTGAGAAGCTTTGACGCCATTCTCAGAAATCCTTCATACATGGATAGAACGAGATGGAATATCTTGGATATTGCAGAGACCCTACTGGGAAATCGTTTTATCCATGAATGGCATCCCGCCTCGGAAATTCACGCCAACATTCGCTCTGTCTATGATGGTGAAAAGAACAAGTGGTGTCGAGATCTCTATCAACTCATGAAATCTTTGTTATCCAGGCGTGGCATTCTTACGAATGTACGATTGCACAATGCAGAAGTGCAAGTTCCTCACTCAGCAGAAGACTAGGTGAAGATAGGTCTATCGCATGCAACGGGCATAATCACGCTGACGGTACACGAGGATCAGTGAATGTCCGGAAGAGATCACGTGGTACCATGTTTGAAGGACTGTACAGGTGCAGCGAAAAATGAGCATAGAGATTTCGGCGAATCATGTTCAAGTATCCAATTATTACAAAGTTAAGCTGGCCTTATTTGACTTCAACAGTAGAGAAAGTAATGCATGACACAATCGCGGATTGGCAAAGCCCCTAGATCTTGTTTATCTCAGCTTTTCACATCTGCATCGTTGGCTCAGACGCATTAGAATGCACATGTAGTCAAGCATTGTTTGCACAGTCTAATTCTATCCAAAATCAATAAGTGAACCACGATTTTCCGATGCAACCGATTTAATTACTAGGCAATTATTGCTTTCTCTCTTCTCTCTTTTCATATCTTATTATACGTTTTTAAGGATGAGAAATCTAAAAAGAAATTTGAAGTTTTTCCCAATAAGCCTTTCAAAATGGAGAAACGACTGATTTCCAAATCCGAGCTCTTGGGGTGCCTAATAGAAAGATCGGAGCCATCGCATCAAAATCTGAATTACCATATTACAAACAACATATAGACTTAAGCTCGGCTGCTTATAAGCAGAGTTTTGAGCAAGTTGATATGGCCTCAATGTAGTAACATAAACATCAATGGTGACTGGCCCCATGATTTGACCATGATGACTGGTAATACTTTGATTCCAGATTGCGAGAGCGATGGGCAAGGAAATAAATTGTCGAATGATTGATACCTAAGTTTCACGCGTCTTGTTGTGAGATAACCATCCCCATAACTGAACACACAGAGTATCGTGGGTATGAGTTCTTTGGTAATGGACTAATATTTCTATTTCTGAGGTTTCTTTTCCCATGTATCATTGCGTGCTGTAAATGTACAAGATCTATGCCTCGGACTCCTCAGTCTGGTATGGCTCGGGGTCCTCGGGGGATCTTGCCTGTATACTTGTCAGCTCAAATTCCAGATTGCGATATGCCTAGTACGGCGTTGCGATACGAACCCTCATGGCACCCGGTCCACCCAGCTCTCTCTCAAGACCTCCCTCGAACTCTCTCGGGAACGATTGCTTGTCGGGATACACCTGACCGACCGCCCAGCAGAGGCCAAAGACTGTGAGAATGAAAGCACCAATTTGGGCGGCGCCCTTGGCGGGAGAGATCCAGGTGTACTCGTATGGGGTGAACATTCCCAGCATATCGTGATCCTCGTGCACCGGCTCGCCAAAGTTTCTGCGCTCCTGCTTGTCCCACCAGTCGCCGTGGGGGTCACGGAACTGTCGCTTCACGCGGGCAGGGTTGATGTAGCCACCGTTCTGCAAGTCCGTGTCAGAGAAACATTGCTATCCTCCCTCCAGAAATCAAGGCCGACAAACCTGGTTGGGATCCTCGGCATCGGTCAACTTGGGTGGCTCGGGGTACTTCTCCTCGTACACAGCCTTGTCGTTCAGAGAGTTGGGGAGGAAAGTTCGGCATTGTGTAATGGGAAGTGCTCGTCGCGAAGCCAACGATCGCAGGGCCGGAGCCTGCGCAACTCGACGTGAAAGCATCTGCCGAGAGAGTGTCAGTATCTGAACAATTGATGAGGTCCTTGAAAGGTGAATTGGCACATACATTGGCTTGTTGCGAGCCTCAATGCCGATCAAAATGCGGAATCGCAATGGTTGCAAGTGTTGAATAGCTTGAGGTCATTTGAATGAAGCTCGTCCTGAGTGGCTGCGCTCGGGCCAATCCTCGATTTCCCAGTGGAGCTGGTGGCTCGACGCGGGAGAGATCACGTGGGCCCTCTGTAGCTGGGCCTGATCAAAGCTGAACACTGCACCGGAAACTTGCATTGGGGGCTAAAGTGGCTGACGTCCCAGCCAAGAGCGAGTCCGTCCAGCGACATCCAGTCTCCAGAAATAAGAGCGGGGCCCTGGGGGGATGGATGGATGGATGGACTGACGCCTAAAAAAGAGATCAGACTGGGCAGTAGACGGGCCCAACGCGTGCTGGAGCTTGGTGCTTGGCTTGTGTCCGAGGCGCAACATCAGAAAACGCATCATTGGGAAATTTTTCGAATCCTCGCATTCACCTGTAAATCGGTTTTTAGACAGCATTTTTCATCACCACGGTCGACACAGAGCTCTGAACATGCTCTGGCTTCACTGTAGTAATCTGCCGCGCCGTCGTCACTAGCAGATCTACTTTTCAGCATCTCAAATGCTTCTTTCGTCGAGATTAAGGCCTACGCTTCCCTCCCCACCCCCCGGAGACAGCTATGACAGACACCGCGTCGCCCCATGCTGCACCTGCACACGACAATGTTTCCCCGGAAGAAAACACCACGCCCTCTTCTGATGCGCCCCCGGCTCAGAACGGAAAGCCAATTCTGAAACCTCTGGACACGACCACCCATAACCATATTTCGCAAGATTCAAGCAGTGACTCTGATTTAACGCCAGTAAAGTCCGACGATGATGAACGCGTTTCTGCCTCGATCTTGCAGGACGCGCCCAATGTCGAAAATGTTGGCGACATCCTCGACGACAGACCTGCAAAGCGCCCACGACTTTCGACGCCTCCTCCTAATTCCCTGGTGAAGAGACCGAAGCCAATATCGCCACCGTGGAAGAAGTTTGAAGCGGACACGCCAACAACCTTTACTGAAGATGGCAAGCGCCGGTCTGGGAGAACCAACAATGTTCCTCTGGATCTGCAGCCTCAAGGACGCAAGCGCATGACACGGGGCGCTTTGAGCGATCAAAAGGGAACGCCAGCCAGCAAACCGCAGGTCAACGGCCAGCATAAAGGTGTTTCGTCCAGCAAGGCAACTCCTGTCAAGAGCAATACTCCAGCATCCAAATCGGCCAGCAACAAGAAAGCTCCTCCTCCTTCCACCACCAAGTCTGCTTCAAAAACATCAAGTCGCCGACGATCCTCCCCTCCGCCGCCAGTATCGCCGCAGCGCACATCTGCCAGACAACGAAGCGCACGTAATCTCCGTGGTAACTTTGAGTCTGGCGCGCGTGACTCACAAATCTCAAAACATGAAAGCCCGCGCTCAACGAGGATCAAGCTGCGCGTTCGTGCGACTGCCATTCCAATCGTTCACCCGAACCAAGTAAATGTCTATCCTGGACAGACAGTGGCACGCCCCAAGATAGGAGAGACGTTCGCAGATTTCATCGACAAGGCATCAACCTTCGACATCAAAGATGGAGGTTGGCAGGATCCTCTCGACGATGGTCCTCCCTACACAGATGCTCAAGCGGAGGCTGACGCCAAGGTACTTTTGCGGGTCGAGGACGAGTCGAAGCCTGGTGGAATGCTTAGCGAGGAGCGTTGCGCATTGTTTGTGCCCGATGTCGCCGAGGAACCTGCACGGCAATGGGCACAGTACGATCATCTCTTGAGAGCAGCGACAAATTTCCGAAAGCTCATGGTTCAGGAGCACCAAAGACACAAACAGACAGCCAAGAGGCTCGCAGAGGCCTGTCGCGACGAGTGGATTCGCCGACAACCGAAATCAACCGAACAGATCGAGGCCGAAGCCAGAGCACTGTGGATAGCACGCTACAAGACGGTCGCCAAAGCATTAATAGGCACCTGGGAGAATGTTCGTGTTGAGATCAATCGCCGCCGGCTTGAGGAATACGAAGCCAAGAGACAGAAAGAGGTCAAGGCTGCTCTCAACGAAGCTGTCAACATGTCCGAGCTCAAACTACAAGCTCGTCGCGCCCACTTTGATTCAGAAGCGTTGTCGACAGACGATGAAGAAGAGCTAGAAGAAGATGAGATAGAAGACGACACCGAGCTGATGCAGGGCGATAGTGACGACAGTATGGCCTCGGAAGAAGAGTCAAAGACGAGTGAAAGTGTTCATGGGGATGAAGACAACATGTCATCGTCCGATGACGAGGATGATGCTAAGTCAACGACGTCCGATGCCGACCTGAACCAGGAACAACTTCGACAAAAATACGCCAATGTCCCCGACCTGCCTCGAAATGAAGAGCCAACAGCAGCAGGAGAAGATGCGGATACGCCGGCTAACTTGGCAGATGATGAAACCAGCGACGAATCCGTGGACATGGACGATGATATGGGCTCGAGTGATGAAATGGACAGTGGTAGCGAAGATGGATCTGAAGTTGCCAGTGATGAAGAGGATGACGAGCCACTGGGCACGTTGGGATTTTTGTTTGGCAAGTCTGAGCTGAAAAAGCTGCAAAATGAGCAACCTGCTGAACCGGACGATATACCTGATACCCCAATGGAGGATGCCCCTGAACCAATTGCAGACGAGCCTTCGACTATGGTCAATGGAACCGCCGAAACGAATGGGGATGTTCGGTCGCCAGCATTGGTTGCAGAACAGGCAGAAACACAAAAGGATCCATCCGAAGCTGACAAGCCCGACGAAATCGCAGCTGTACCTGAGCCGCTGAAATTGGAGACTGTTGGTATGGAAGTCATTGATGCTGTTGAGGAGGTCAAGGCTGGCCATACAACTGCCATTGCAACGGCGGACACGAGTGCTGCACCCGAAGCAATACCTAGCGTCGAGGATGCTCCTACCACCAATGGCCTGAACACAAGTCCCTTGCCCGACGGCATCGCGACCAATTCAGCCAGCGTTGATGATACGCAGTCCCCAAGGACATCCGACACGAAGGTCTCGGAAATTGATACTGCTTCGACGGTAAATCAACCTGAAGTCAGTAGATCGACCTCACCTTCCCATACACCAAAGACGGAAATTCCCTTCTTGCTACGTGGTACACTGCGTGAATATCAGCACTTTGGTCTCGACTGGTTGGCAGGCTTGTACCAGAACAAGACGAATGGTATTTTGGCGGATGAAATGGGTCTTGGAAAGACTATACAAACAATTTCGCTTCTGGCTCATTTGGCTTGTCATCACGAGGTGTGGGGACCTCATCTTGTCATTGTTCCCACAAGCGTTATGCTCAACTGGGAAATGGAGTTCAAGAAATGGTGTCCTGGTTTCAAAGTCCTCTCTTACTACGGCAGCATTGAAGAACGAAAACGAAAGCGGCAGGGTTGGCAGACTGATGACATGTGGAATGTCTGCATCACATCATATCAAATCGTTTTGCAAGACCAGCAGGTCTTTAAACGGCGACGGTGGCATTATATGATTTTGGATGAAGCGCACAACATCAAGAATTTTCAGTCCAAGCGCTGGCAAACACTTCTTGGCTTCAACACTCAAGCTCGACTACTGCTCACTGGAACGCCATTGCAAAACAACCTGACAGAACTATGGTCCTTGCTCTTCTTTTTGATGCCTTCGGAGAATGGTGTGGGTGGGTTTGCTGATTTGGCGGAGTTTCATGAATGGTTCCGCAAGCCAGAGTCGCAGATTCTTGAAAGTGGCCGAGAGCAGATGGACGATGAGGCACGTGCCATTATTTCCAAGCTGCATAAAGTCTTGAGACCTTATCTTCTTCGGCGTCTCAAGGCAGATGTCGAGAAGCAGATGCCAGCCAAGTATGAGCATGTTGAGTTTTGCCGATTGTCTCGGCGCCAGAGGGAGTTGTACGATGGATTCCTCGCCCGCACCGATACGCGACAGGCCTTGGCTTCCGGCAACTACATTTCCGTCATCAACTGTCTGATGCAGCTACGGAAGGTGTGCAATCACCCGGACCTCTTTGTGGAGAGGCCCATCATGACGTCCTTCCGCCAACGAACTTCAGTCATTGGCGAATACGGGTTCACAAATCACTTGTTAAAAGACAAGTTTCTAGCAAAGAAGCCCATGACGCAAGTCAGCCTGGAATTTTTGAACTTTATGCCGACGATATACGAAGATCTGTCGCTCAGCGAATGTCAACGCACTGCACAGCTGTCGACACATTACGATTTGATGAAACTGCGTGAGTCGCAAGAGCAACGCGCCAGAGCCTGTCCTACAAGTTGCGACCCGTCTACCGTCGAGTCAAATCTTGTCTATCTCGAAGGAGCCTCCCGTCGGCGACGATACGAAGAACTCCAGCATCTCGTGTACCTCACGGCTTTACGATGCCAACAACAGCCTATCTATGGCAAATGGCTTCGGGATTTCCTCACCATTGGCGCGAACGAGAGACCGTCAAAGCCCCGGCCAAAGGTTCCCGCAAAGATCATGGCCTGGTTCGAGGAGGATTCGACATTCCTGCGCTCCATGGTGTTGGATGTCGATCAGCGTGCTGCAGAAATGAAAACAACAATTTCAAAGTTTGCTTGCATCACTCCAGCAGTCATTACGAGGGATGTTGATCAATTTGTACTTGGGTCAAAGGGAGTGGGTGCATTCACAGAGGCAGATCTGCGTCTATCGGCGCCTGTACGCTACTCTCCTTTCATGCCCAAGGAGACACCTCTTGATCCTTGGCATGAGGCTCGGATGCGCCTCAGCATTCAGTTTCCCGACAAACGCCTGTTGCAATACGACTGTGGCAAGTTGCAAGCACTAGACAAACTTTTGCGCAAGCTCCAATCCGGAGGGCATCGTGCCTTGATCTTCACGCAAATGACCAAAGTGCTAGACATTTTGGAGCAGTTCCTCAACATACACGGCCACAAATACCTTCGACTTGATGGCGCGACAAAGGTTGAACAGCGCCAGATTCTCACAGATCGGTTCAACAATGACAATAGAATTCTGTGTTTTATTCTATCGACTCGGTCTGGCGGTCTGGGCATCAATCTGACTGGAGCGGATACTGTCATCTTTTACGATCAAGACTGGAACCCTGCCATGGACAAGCAATGCCAGGACAGATGTCACCGTATTGGTCAGACCAGGGATGTCCACATCTACCGCTTGGTGTCTGAGCATACCATCGAGGCCAACATTCTCCGAAAAGCCAGCCAGAAGCAAATGCTTGATGATGTTGTCATTCAGGAAGGTGGTTTCACAACGGACTACTTTAATAAAATGTCCGTTCATGACGTGATGAAAGATGTTGGCAGTGACCTGCAGGAAGACATGGTGGGTGACGCCATGGACCGGGTTCTTGGTACAGCAGAAGAACGCGGCGAGCGCGCAGTTGGGCGGGTTCTTGAACAGGCCGAAGACAGAGAAGACGTCGCTGCCGCTCATGTTGCAGAAAAGGAGATTAGAGAAGACGACGCCGATTTCGACGAGAACGCAATAACAGCCTCGGCTTCTGGTGCTTCCAGCGCAAGACAAGGCACCCCCGCGACCCGAGACGCATCTGCTGCGCCCGGGCGTTCCAATCTGGGGCTTTACGAAGAATCAGCCGCAGAGCCAGTGGAGATTGACCTCAATGCATGGAAAGAGCAGATCCACAATATTGACGAGTTCATGATGAGCACTATGACGGTAATGCTCGAGGGCACGCCTCTTGAGATTCCCAAGGATAAAAAGAAAGGAAAGAACAACAAGAAGGGCAAGGATCACAGGAAGCGCTGAGGGCGCCCGTGATACTGTTCACCCTGCACCGTAATTGTATTATATGTAATTCCCATTAGAGAATGGTCAAATCCAGCGTGGCATTGCGGTGTTTGGGTATTTGAGGTACAAACAGTACTGGCAGCATGACGACAAAAAAAAGGTTTTATACATATGACCAGGCGTTGGGATCATGAGGAATTGCCGTGGGATGATTGCATCAGCATCCTAGAAAATTGGCTTGCGAGCTGCTAGACAAAAATTTCAAAGTCAATAAAAGAACCGGGCCATGATGGCTCACATCCCCGCTATTCTTAAAAGCAATCAAGTCCCCGAGCAATATTATTACAGTCTGTATTTCTGCTACGAGGACTCTGCAATGAGCGCACAGGTGGACCACATAGGTCAGTTGCTGGTTCTCTGTACGTTATTGAGTAGGCTGAGTATTCCACATATCCAACGGCCTAATGGAGTTCGAGTTATGTATAATTCTAGTCCATATCGATTTGATAAATATTTGTAGCAACACTTCTGTTAAAGTGAGTCAAATACTCTGGGTCTGCATGCACATATAACAGCAGCTTTCTTGGTTAGGTAGATACTTTATATACTACTGAGACCTTATAGCAGAGCGGATGTTTAGCGCGGAACTCTTTCCGCCAGGTGCCCCGAAACTTCAATTTAGTGAACCAAAGCTCCTCCCAGACCCCAACCTCGGGCTTCAAACTCCATATCCAACAACTAGGAGGGATTCTCACAATGAACAACTTTGGCGTAATAGAGGTCGCGACAGCGCGAACGACCAACGCCCCAGGCTGGGCCTACGTACCAGACACGGGCCCCGCGCCCACCTCATCCATTGGCGCAGGCAACCAGTCGCGCAGCAAGCGTGCCCGCAATACCGGCCCAGCTAACCTCAGCCATGCGGACTTGACGGCGCGGCAGGAGGCCAAAGTGCGCCGCGAGCTCGAGGTACTCGACCGCGACAACTCTCGCGACGTCGTCATACCCGTCCCGACATCATCGAGGTCCGCAAACAGCAAACATACCCCCAATGTCCGCAAGATCCTCCAGAGCCAAAAGACGTTTGCCAACCACCTCGACGACTTTATCGCCGCGGGCGCCGGGCTGGACATTCCGGCCGCAGCCATTACGGGCGCCGCTGCCGTGGGAGGCAGCTCAAGATCGGCGGCGGCGGCAGCCACTGCGGCCATTCGACGCGAGAGGACGGCGGGCGCACCGCAGCAGAGCCAGAGAAAGCCCGACACCACCACGGCAGGCAGTAAGCCCGGCGGCACCAGCAACAAACAAGCGCCAACAGAAGACGTGGAAATGACCGACGCCGAACCAACCACGGCAGACACAAACTCGGTCTCGGCGTACCTCCAAGCCTACGACGGTCCCCGGCCAGCGCCGCACCCCGCCGACAACGACCCCTTGCTCACGTCCGTGGTACCGCCCGTGCCGTCGGACGAGGAGCTCAGGGCACTGCTCTCGGCGCCGCCCCTGACCTATCTCGACGCCAAGGCAGGCTGGAACGACGAGGATCAGCGGTACCCGACGAGGGTGTTTTGCGAGGTCTGCGGGTACTGGGGCCGGGTGCGGTGCATGAAGTGCGGCGTCAGGGTTTGTGCCCTTGAGTGCCTAGAGACGCACCGCGAGGAGTGTGTTACGCGGTACGGACTATAGAAGAGCATTGAGGAAGGACGTGTATTTATTAGGAGCTTGGTTTGGAGTTTGGGGATTATAAAAATCATGAGCCACACAAACCCAAGGCACTGGGTGGACAAAAGCATAGAAAGATACCCTGAATAGCAATATTGATTGTTTACTTGACACTAACTAATATTTCAGTGGTATATCCATCCTGTCTGTGACAAGTTACATTCGAAAGTGTGATTGAATTCCATGGTGCAACTTGACAATTCAGTCAGTATAAAACAATTCGCATAGAGTAGAGAGGTTCGTGTGTATATGAACCCGGTCGGTTTTGAATATCTCAGGCATCATATTCGACTGCTCTTTCAAGCCTCAAACGTGGAGGTCAAGTGATACATGAGACAGGTGCGACTGATTTGCTTGAAACGAGATGAAACGGTATCTCATGCCCATGACTTGGCAGCTCAATCATTTATGATATCTCTTTGGCAGTGGACAACTGAGACGGACATTCTCTCCCAGGGGATTATACGCTGGAAACTCTCGAAGCGCCGGCGCATGTATGATTCGAAGATCGGAATGGGTAGATGTTTCCACCGTTAGGAGGGAGACATGACAAAGTCATGGCTAGGATGTACGTCTGGAATACATGGACTCTGATCATTTGGAACATTTCCAGGAATAATCGTAGCGTCAGCATGATAAGTCATCGGTCAAGCCTGGAAGAATAAAACACACAACTTACACTTGCTGTATTCTTATTGCTGTAAAAGCATAACATAGTCGTCAAGTTGCTCTAGGCACGAAAGAAGGCATGCAAGAATAGTCATGGAACTTGAAGACCCCGACTTGACGTGGGCATTGTCGCCTCCCCGAAAAAAAAAACTGACTCTCTGAGTCTGCAGACCGTGGTGGTTGAACATCAAGCAAGCATGACTTACCATCAAAGCCCCGATCCTTGTTTCCATGTACTGGCGGCACCGGGCAGTTTTACTTTTGCAGCCAACACAGTTAAGCCAGGAGTTTCATACCGCAGCAGCTGAGTATTCCATGGTTGTCTCGATGGAGAGGCCAATATACCTAGTATGATGGGAGCAGGACAGAGGTACATACAGATCCCACGAGGCTTACACGGTGCCTATTGGGCCTATTTAGGGCATTGAGGGTTATTGGCGGTGAAGCATGTGAAATCTTGACGGGAACTCGTCGTGCGGAGAGCATCCTCATTGCACACAAGGGATCATCTTTGTTGGTTTGACGCCAAGTTGTACTAATTTCTGCCTTGAGAGAAAGGACCATGATGCAGTAGAGGCTGTGACAAGGTCGTTGGCATTGCGATTGCTTCAAATCAGGATGCGGTTTCTGGAAGGCTTGAACACCTTGCATACATGTCGTGTGGATTCCTGTTCCTCTATTTTTCTGCTTTGTGTCTGGTACTCGGAGCCAGAACCTCGAGCATGTACTGTCCATTTCCGTGGAGGGGGTCTCCGTATCATGCACAATGAAGGGTGTCTTTCCCTGGTCTCTGCTGAGGAGGTGAGGTACTCATGCACGTTGCTTCTCATCCTGGCTATGCTTCATCACGGTTCACATGTATGTGTGTTGTCGGCAAGACTATCGGGTGCGTCTGTGAAGAGTATCTGCCGCGGATGGAGGTTCACCATGAACGTCAGCCGGCTTACGCGCGTCTCTCGATCCAGTAACACTTTGAAGACTAGATATAGAGAGAGCAAGGATGAGCATCCTGACGGAAAATGAACTGCGCGAGTGTCGTTCGGAATGGTTGCCCATTGTGGAAAAGGGGTGTTCTCAAGTGGTGACACGAATTCATCCAAGTAGCGGCAGCTATCAGCGAGATCATGATTGAAGCCTTGCAAGAAGACTTGATACCCAATTACACACGAGGCAAGTCTTGTCCAGAGAAGCAGGTCAAGCGATGTTGTTGATCAACCCCAATCAACGTTGGAGTGGGTATAAGTCAGGTTAGGTGCATACTCGTCCGCGTCTTTTTCATGAGCCTTTACCGGAAGAGATCAAGAAACTAGTCATTTGACTGTATGCTAACTGCGAATATGCGTGCTAATATTTGGTTGTCGGGACCGAGACTTTGGAAATGGCATCCCATCTATACACCGCGGTCTGCATGAACAACCGGTCTTGCAAAACTTCCGTTGACATTCCTCTTAGCCGGGGCAACGCACAGGGTCCAGCAGTACAAGAGGTTCAATCAGACAGATCGATACATGGCCTATTACGGCAGGCATTATGGCTCATGATGGCAAAGAATGTTGCCATATCGGCTGTTGGATGAGCGTTATGGTCATTGACAAGCATTCGTAGGTGCCATGGGTGGATGATCCCCAGCTAGTCGAGACTCGCGATGCCCTCCATCAGATTGTCTAGCTTAAATTCGTCGACACTAGCAGTATGCAAACCGACATAACAAGCAATCATGTATAGAGGTCGGATCGATAAGAAGTCGCTAAGAACTTTGACATGCAAAGCCGAAGGATTGCCTTGAATATCAACAAGGTCAACGAATCCGGAGTAGGTTGTTGGCGCTTAATCGGTGGCTAGAAGCGCGGGGGCTCCACCAACAGCGTCCCAGCAGCATGGATGCAAGCCAGAGCCAGCCTGGGCCATTTCATGACTACGTGTATGGCTAGATTGTCGGGCTCAGGAAGGATTCGGTTTCTTTTGTTCAACTGAGGCTCGTGTATGGCTGGATTTTGGGCTCAGGAAAGGGTTCGACTTTTCTTGTTCCACATGAGGCTCAAACAGGCCAGAGATCGGGGTCGGCGCCAGCAAGCAATCGGGAGCCGCGCGCTGGGACGTTCGCTACGTGTCGAACAAGATGGGAAGAAAGGCAATTGTATGGAGGAAAGGCATTCGCCAGATTTCCGGGGTACTAGCCCTGCTGAAAGAGCCCGGGCCAACGGTTGCTTTATCTAAGGATAGAGCTGATGAGGTGCATCATGATGCGCGCGCTCTGGGGCAGTACTGACCCTAGCCAAGCATGGCGGGTTCATATATTCAAGGGAAATAAGGGCTACTGGTTTGGCAAGTAATGAAGGCGGTTGTTTGTTTGATGGAGCCGCGCGCCGACTGAAGCAGTGGCAAGAAAATGCAGAAAATAGCAAAATAGAAAGGCTGGACCAAGAAAGAAAATAGAAAACAAGAAAATGTTCAAAATAGATTTTTTTTAGCAGCATACAACAACAAAAAACAGAAAACAGAAAATAAACAGACGACGACTTAAGCGCTGTGTTGAAGGAACATAAAGCGCCCCCGATTTCCCAACTGCCATGTTCGTGACTCTAAGAATTGCTCCATCACAAGGTCAGGAAAGCACAAGACACCTTTTTACCTTGAATTCTCCTCCTCCCATCTTGATCCCTTGCAATTGATCCCATTTTGGTCTTGACCAACAACCCAACACTTTATTCCAACATTTGAGCGATCAGAGCAATCACAAACACATTCCCCTTGCTTCGACATTGGCAGTCGGAGCTTCTAAAGCTAGGACGACCACCACCACTATAGTCCCACATCCCAGCAGCTCATCAGCTGAGTAAAGCACTGTCCGATCCCAGCCTCTTTTCCCCTCTTTCATTGCAATTATAAGGCGAAGAAGGCGGTTTCTGTTTGCATCATCTGGCTATCGGTTGTTGCGTACTGAATCTCGTATTGCATCTACCATCTTGTTTGGAGGGGTGCAAAAAGAGAGTAGAGAGAGAATGTAAGTATCTACCACCATGTTTACCACCTACCCCAGGTACCTAGCAGCCAAACCAGCCAAACCTCACCACCTACCAGAAGTCTAGTAGGTTAGGTTCGTCCTTGTGGGCGGGATGCGACGAATCAGATCAAGGCAATAGAAAATGTGCTAAGAATAGCGGAAGCGCTTCGGTCTGCAGAACCGCGACCAATCAAAAGCCACGGGCATTACCTAAGGTAGCCCTTTCTAGGTACCCAGGCGCTTACAAGCCAGAGACAATTGGGATCTCATCAATCGAATCCCAGTTGTTCTTGGACCGCTGTGCCGTCCCGGGGTGGCCCGCAGGGATCCATAGACGAATCAGCTGCCAGATCCGACAGATTGTCAAACCGCTGTCAATTTGCAAAGAAAAAGACACACAAACTGCTGCTGCTGCTGCTGCTGCTGCTCAGGTATTCATTCATTTCTGCAATACCCTGAGAGTCTTGTGAGCGTGCAAGCCTTCATACCTTGTCTTCTTCTTTTTTTTGGCTTGGCTCCTTTGCCGCCCGTCTCTGCCTACCCCATTTATTGCACATACCGGGCGGACCTACCTACCCACCTACAGGTACACACATTACCCGACACACGACGAAAGCAAGTCCTCAGCGCCTTACCCATACCTACTACTATCGCTATTTTGTCGCCTGCCTCTACAATAAGTCCTGGACAAGCCACTCGCCAGCCTGCCGCTACAGCTGTACCAATCAGACCAATCCGCTCTCCCCGAGGACCTTCTCCCATCCCATCCCGTATTTGGCCCTCTTGACAGGCAGAACTCGCTGGCAACCGACTTGTTCTTGTTGCTTACACCACACACACACACACACACACACACTCGTGTTGGGCCCTATTTGCCCAAGCTGATCGTCCACGACAGGGTTCATCCCATTTGCTTTCCTTCTCGGCTGGTTCCCGGACTATATCGCGGCGCCTTTGCTATCCACTCCCGGTCTTACACGCAGCATCGGCTCTGCTAAGCCTTCTTCTTCTCTACAAACCCACCACCCAATTCTATTTGCCTGGGCTGGGATCCTTCACATCACACTGGGCTTCTAGTGCTTCTTTCATTTGACAGGGGTCTTTCATTACAGAGCCTTGTCCGTTTGGCGCCCTCGTCTCAGCGTCTTTCTTTTACCCCCCGGCCTCGAAATCCGGGAGCATCACCCCTGGCGCGCGTGAAACAGAACCAGGGGCCTGTTTCTTTGGCCCGCATACACACACACACAGGTCGTCCATAGTACACACCTTGGACTACCTAGATTACCGTGCGTGCAGTGCAGCACAATACTAGTAGCAATCCTGCTTTCCAAGGACGTGACAGGCTCGAGCAGCCGCCTACATACGCGCACACACACACGCATACACCATACACATACATAATATAGCCGTCCGGTTTCCCTCCTCTCAGAGCCCTTTCCGCCGCCCTCTTTCCCCCCCTCCACCGCAACTGCTGCCGCCCTTCGACTTCTCCCTTCAGACGGCTACTTGTCATTGCAGCTTGTTGGCTAAACCTCCTTGTACCCTTATTCTTGAGTCATTCACTTGACTTGAACAGTATTGGGTTGGAAATACCAAACCTCACCTACCTAACAAAAAACCACTTTGTCGATCCGCTTTACGCCAACATACATCAATAAACAAGATGGCGCCTACAACCAAGCCCAAGCTTCCGCAGCTGACGACTCCCGTCACGGCCACATTTCCATCCGAGCTGTCTGCTCTGTCAGCCAGGACGCCCTTGTCAGCCATTCCAATCGAAATCAAGGAGGAGTTCACCAAGACTCCGATCAGTCCCCCAATCGCCTACATGGATTTTCTGAGGGCCATGTCAGTCGCTTCTCCCGTCATAGCAGATAAGCGATCTGGCAGCTCGAGCAGCGAAGCAGAGGAGGACGACGGAACTCGAGACTCGGTCCCGTCAACAGCCAGCAGCGAACAGACTGATTGCTCATGCAAATGCGGAGATCACCTGTCACCCGCCGCCGTTCCGCCTAGCCCATATCCAGTCCAGCCAATGTCGGCGCCACCAACGGGAGTCACGTCATACCCAAGTATGCACATCCCACCGTCACCCGCCATGTCTACTCTGGATTCACCCATGAGCGCATCAATAAGATCACCATTCAGTGCAAGATCAGTCCGCTCGCCATTCGACTGGGAAGCAGCACTCAAGTCACGATACGCGCAGGACTGCAAAGCCACCAAATCTTCCAACAGAAGTGTCCGGCATATCAGAGAGGTCGTGACAAGGACTGTCACATACACGCCTCGAATGAACCCAGCGCCCAAGGGAAAGAGAAGGCGCACGGAATGTTCAAAATCGCAAGCCCTCCTGGCTGCCGCAGCAGCAGCGGGCGAAACTCTACCACCACCAACGACGAGATCAAAAACCGCATGATCCATGGATATTCACTGATTGAAACAAGTCGGCAATTTCCCACAACACTTTCCCATATCCGAATATAACTAAAGTCTCTACACTCCATCACCAAAACAATCCTTCAAACTACATTTTTTTTTCCTATGTTCATAATCCACAACTCGAAGCAACCCACAACACACCTACTTTAGTATCACTGTTTGCACTCCCTCGGCCTCTGCTATCTATCAATCATGGGAGGGAAAAACTTGGACCAGGATGGTTGGTTAACGGTGGACACTTATACCAAGACGAGGAGCAGGGAGCAACAGGACGAATTTACGAGGTATGCATTCATCAATATGGAGTTCAACGGCGTTGCTGGCGGCGCCTTTACATGGCCCGGATTTGCGCGCGATACCAAGGGAGCGGAATTTTTTTTTTTCTCTTATCAAGGTTCAGGAGCGACCACATTTCGCCCTAGGAAGGGGTATCATTATTCTGTTGGACGGAAGTGTGAGAGAGGGCAGAGAGCAAAGACTTTTTTCTGTCTCAAACGGGCCAATGCAGAGCAGTATTCGGACTAGTCGAGTATCGAACTAGTAGCACGCAGTCAATAATAAGATGCCTCAAGGGATCCATCTTTTTTCCCCTCACCCAAAGTACCATATCGGTTACAGGAGAGTGAAGCCCTTGCATACAGAATATACGGTGAATGTCAAGACGTGTCTTTGTTTGTTTTGACCAAGGTAGTACACCACGAAAAAAAAGCAGACTTTTTTTTCTCTTCGGGTCTCATAATCTGGCCTATCCACCTCCTCCCCACGAGGCCCTATATCGCGACCGCTCGTGATGGTGTCCATGTTGTTTTGTTTTCCCCCCCACGCAGATCAATGCCATGGATAATTAAAAAGCAAATAAACATGGCACCCAAGATAAGTATGGATCTTGCCGAGTGACTTCACAACCATTCGAAATAAGGAGAGAGAGAAAAATGGTAGAAGAAGGCCGGCAACCCCCGATCGCACCTCAATCATGATCCCAGTCCTGGCCATGTGTGTGTGCGCGCGTATGCAATCTCTCTTAAGAGATGAACATTACTTGGAAGGGGGAGTATGTAGGAGAGGAGGGGGAGGGGGGGGGGGGGGGGGGGGGCGGCTAAGAGAACCGTATGGTCCGTCTATTACACTGTAACAAGAAGATTCTTCAGTCTCACTTGTGGCCCCATGCCTCGTGGTATTATGATCATACCCTCACATAACATTTTTGCTGCAGAATGATTGTCCTTTTCCCCAACTTTCTTGAGGGGGGAAAATAATGATTATGAAATTCTCCACTGTCTTGGAATTTTTAATTTTTTTTAATAAAGTTAAACTTGGATTCTTCTCGGTCCAGAGGTTGAAATACAGCCAAAAGAATTGTATCCGCTTGGAAAGACGGGATATTTCCATGCGAGAAAAACACGTCCACACCTCGCGGCCACCACATACATCCGCAGTCCACACCACCGCGTCTCTCATTTTTGCACGTTCACGGCCGGGGCGAGCCGCAGCAACCAAGAAAGGTGGGCAAATACAGGGTGGTGGTGGTGGTGGTGGTGGGGGAAAACCAAAAGATCACGCCCAGCTTGTATGGTAATTGTTTTGGTTTCTCTCTCTCCTCTTGTTAATGACTAGCGTCTTGCGCAAAGTCCGACCAATATCTTTGTCCCTCCCCTTCTTCTCTTGAGCCCTCAATCAATAATTTTTCCCAGTTTTCTTGATCCCGATATCCTGGAACCCGCATGGAGGGGTCGTTGTGTAAGTGTGTGTTGCTGCGGGACAAGGAGGAAGGACAAGGGTATGTCCTCTCTCCAATGGCTGGGAAAGAAGTGACCAGGGTTTAGAGAGGGAAGGGAGAAGTATTCTTCTTTGTTTAAGCGCCGGGCTTGGCCAATCATTTCTATAGTCGTGCAAAGTGTGGGCCTATATGGTGATTGGATCGTGGGGTAAAAACCAGACCAGGGGGAGTTGGGTGGATTTGGCAAAGAAAAGCACTTAAGCGCCCACGACTTTGGACCACCTTACCACACACCAGACACACACTCTCTCTCTCTCAAACCTAACATACATACACATCAAGTGCGCACCACGCTCAACACGTCCACCATCCCATGTATCATTGCGTTTCCTGGTGGTCGTGGAGCAGGTAAGCAGCAAGGCCGGACACTTTCCGTACCACACATACATAGTATGGAGCCCCTCCCAGTAGTAGTTTATCCCTACCCCGTCCTTTCACTTTTTTTCGGTGAGCTTGAGGCCCCTTGGACGTCTTTTGATCGCCCCCCAATGGGGCAGAGGCAGAGCAAAACACAGTCACGGGGCCGTGCGATGCCGTGAAGACTCCAAAGAAGGTCGAGAAAGGTGGACTCTTCTGCAAAATGGATGGTGCACCTGTTGCTCATGTGTAAACTTTGCCCGAACCTTGGTAAGGTGGATCTCTTTCAGTAGCAACTGAGCTGGCCCTTTTGTCTAGACTCTGCTGTATCCCCATGATCGGCTTTTAGGACTGTCCCTGGCGATAGATAGTCCAAAAGCTCACCGCCGGCTCTTCTCAGTACAGTTGTTTTTCGCTCCGGAAGGCCGCCGAAGACGTGACCCAATCCGCATGTTCTTATCCGTCCGTACCTAGTAAAGCAGTGATGGGGCCTCGTCCAAGGCCGGCTCTGATGGTGGAGAGCCAGAATCCCCGGCAAACGGAGCGAGGTGCCACACACTCCATACCGCTGAATACATAACCACAATCGTGCTACGTACTACCATTGCCTTGAGAACGTTGACCTCCAAAGTGTCTCGGGGGCACTCGTTTGTCCCCTCTGCAAGCAACGACTACCAAGTGTAATGCTCCCTGCTTTTACGTGATCAAATATGCAGTGGGCTGCAAATGTACTCTGTATGTGCGATTGTGCAGGTTTTTTCCCCGTCCCATGCGACTACTGTGTATCTGCTGCTCCTTCAACCCCTGCCAGTCTTAATAAGGCTATGTTATAATCGCTTTGGCCGAAAGCTGGAGCCCGCCTTTGCCCTATCAGGCAACTTGACAGAACCATGTCGAAAAAACGTGCCAACCCTGCCCGCATGGCAAGGTCAGATCATGACCCCATCGCCAGGAGATGCGTTCCATGACTGTCACTGCTGCCGAGAGCAGTAAGTCTCTCGAGCCATGGGTCCCTCATGCAGTTTCATAATATGGCACGCTCAATACGGCCCGGGCGGATCGTTTTGTTGTTACTGATGACAAGTGTGACGCTGCAATCTCACGATCCCAAGAGATCCAAGCCGTTTCAGGGTTTCTGGGGACCTGCAAGAGCGGATATATCTTCCGTGATGGTGCTGAATCCCTTCCCGCATGTGGAACTCTCATACTCAAATGCGTTCATCACGCCGAGTACTCGGGATGCGGAATGCAAGATGCTACAAGAGGCCGCGGAAATGCTGGTATTCTGTGCTGTTTTTGGTGTTCACAGGTGGTAGCTCTAGGTAGGCCTGTAAATTCGAGCTGTCACTTTATCCAAAAGGCTATGAGTCAACCCGTAATCTCAGGTGTTGCGGGTCCAGTGTCGTGGCATGTCCTCCGATTATACCTCACGCACCTCTTTGGCGACTGCATTGCAGAGCGCCACTCTGACGCCCGCGCCCGTGAGGACATGAATCCACAGTCGCTGTGTATCGCTTAGGCGGTCATTTGCACTTTTGACCTCTGAGAACATGACCTCCTTTGTGGGATCCGCCCTCCAGAGTATGAGATCAGGCAAGCCACCCCCTCTCTGCCCATATTCTTGCGCCATCACTTTGCACACTGTAGCCAAAGCTGCGCCATCGAAGCAGTTGACCAATTCCAGAAGATCAGGCAGCTCATAGTCCCAATTGAGTCCAATGACGCAAGTGCGTCTCTCTCGTTGCTGGTGATCGACTTCTTGCACAATGCGCGCTGCGTCTCCATTTGCAATTTCAACAAGACGGTGATTGATCTCGGAGGCTCGGGTTGGGTAGAACGAATCCGTAAACAGATCTAGGGGGCATGTCTGATATGCCGTCTGGAACACATTCGGGATATAGAGAAAAAGGATATCAAAGAAGAGGTAAGCGAACAGGGTGCGAATGATACCACCTTCAGCATGATAACCTTTCCAGCCTTGACTCCGGTATGAGCTGAGGCACATGGCTTCAACACTGCATTCGCCTTCTCCTTCTGCCTCGTCCACCCAAATAGTCTTCGTGCTGGGGCCCCGGCCCTTCTTGCCCACGATATCATCGCGCTTAATCTGTATGCCCTCGATATTATGCTCCTCGGGCTTTTTCAATCTCACGTGACCAAAGTCATGCTGTAACCGGAATGGAATCCTGAGCTGTTTCTCAAGCTTGATGATGCGTTTCTGCAGATCATAGTGATACTTCAGGTGACAGTCTGGATCTTCCAAGGCTGTGTCACAAGTTGCGACAGCGATCCGTTTCCAATGCTTCTTCTGCATTTCGGGATCCTTGTAGGAAGGGTCTGGCTCCAGCGCATGCATGTAATGCTCTTCGAGCAAAGCCTTTCGTTGATACCAGGCGCCCCGACGAGCATGATGGAACAGTCTCTGACTAAGAAGCTCGGTCAAGATTGAATGTTCCCTTTGATGTTCTTTGAAGCGTCCCATGACACCGGTAGCCTTGTGGATAATTCGTGTATAAGGGTGGACAGGTGAGAAGCGGCGCAGATATGTACCTTCGCCCGTTTCATACACTCTGTCCTCTTTAATTTGCTCTTCTCCGAGTAACTTTTTCCAACGCTCGTAGATGTGCTCAAATGTGTCCAACACTTTACGGAAACCTTTCTCGCTGACTGGACCGTTGAATTCAAGAATATTATCGACAGCAAACTCTGTCCTTGTGGCAGTCTCGAATTCGAGCAAGTGGTCTCTGGACGAGAATATGTTTGTGGACCTGCTGACGATGTACTCTGGAAAATTGCGACGAGAGATTTTTGCGAGTATAATGGCCGTCAAGGACTTTTCTGTCCATTCGGTAGATCGATAGAAAACAAGGTGTACTCTCTCAAACAATTTGAAGATGGGCAGGGACAGTCTTATACATGGTCCGGTGGTGGCCATGATCTTCTCCAAGAAATGTTTGTTTCTGTTCGAATCGTCGACTAGCTGTGGGCCAGGCGATTCGGCTTCTGGCGTGTGGTTGTCATTCGAAACAGCCGAGTCGTGGGTGTTGGACCTCTGCAAACCGACAGACATTAGACCGGCTTGACGATTGCTCATTCTGCAGATAGATTTCACAAAATCTGCTTTATTCTTTCCCTGTACTCTGGCATCCTTGGCAAGTCCTTTCAGCTCATCAAGGCTCAACAGAGTAATGGCCTCCTCCACCGTTTTGATGCAATCACCAGAGTCATCGGCAAATTGAAATGACTCCCCCAGGCTGTGCTCCTCTTGAGCAAAGGCTGCCTCTTCTCTGTCCGGGTCTACCTGCGAACTAGAGAGCGTGGCGGGAAACAGCCTGGTTTCCTGAAGTTCCGTAACTGCATCCTCTAGGTTTGCAACGTCATCGTAGTATCCCAACTTGGCGATCCGATGCCAAGTTGCCGACTTGCGTAGAAACAGGCGCACATAGCTAGGGATCTGAGATCAGCCTCATTGATACCAGAAGCACCAGTCTCGAAAGCAACTCACAGATACTGCGCCTCATAGCTCAAATTATCCCAATAGTCAAACAAAGCGCGCTCTTTTTCGTCAAATAAGTGAGATTCGTCCTCAAGAACCGTTCCTAGGGCCAGATTGAACGCGTCGACGTACAGGGAGCTCTTGCCCTTTACCCATTCCCGCTTCACAAATCTCGAGGCGACTGTGTTTGAATTCTCGCCTTGTGATGCCCTGAATGTCTCGTACTCCTCGATCGCGTCCTGGTCGGTCCCAACCTCTGGCAGCGAGCTTTCAATAGCGGTAGGCCTTCCGGTGTGTACCTCTGGCTCAGGTGGCAGTTGTGCATCTTCGATGATTTGATCCAGGGATTCTGCCGTGTCCTCTCTTTGAATGTGACCCGGTGCCCACGTGGCTTTGAAGGACTTTCCGTCTGATAAAGATGTATCAGAGTCGGCGTCACTATCGGCAATTTCCTCCCTCTTTACTCGCTTGGCCGGTGGTTCACGCAGTGTTGTCTCACTCCCCTTGCCCTTGCCTTTGCCAGTAATGCTACTTGGCGGACCATTCTGAGCCTGCTTCGCTGGACCTTGCCTCGTGACAAATCTGTCCATCATCTTCCAATTCTGTGAGGTGCCTCAGTTGGCCTCCGTGAAAGCATTTTTGCTTTGATGACGTTTGCTTGAAAACAGAGGAATGTGCCGCCTGTCTAGGGGGGAAACGCGAGATGGACGCCTAGTCAGGTGCCCCGGAGCCCCCTTAGTTCGCTTAGAGCTTCCGCCGTGGTTGCCTTGGGGGCGCGGACCCACCAATCAATTATACTACATACTCCCAATCACCATGAAATTTTATGTGCAAATATTTGAATGAAAGTATCTTACAATTCAACGTTATAGATCATTCACCAAAAGCAACAGTCCTTTTTATATTGAATTGATCAAAGTCCAAAATTATCGTCGGCTTGTATCAGTTGCGGCTTTCGAAAACTTCTTGTGTACCAACTGCGTCTTCTCATATTCTGTACTCATAGTAGATGATTGCCCATATTGCGACCGACGAGTGGCTGGGTGGATATATAAATCAATCCCGCTTGACACCAACTCCTCCAACTCGGCGCAGTCCCAGGGCAGATACCAAACATACGACCACCATCCAGGAGAACATTGTCCAAAAGACGGCGCGGTAGCCTTCCATGAGAGCGCCGGGGGATGTCTTGTCCGTCTCGTGCGAAGCCGCGGTCACGGATGCAGAAATAACAGAGGTTACAGTCAATCCAATCGCAGTGCCCACTTGTGCGCATGTATTGAATACGGCACCACTCAAGGCTTGCATATGGGCAGGGAAAACGCCCGAAACCACGAGCAAACCGACGGTAAAGAGGATGTCAGTGCTAAGAGGAGCGAGAATCTGGGGGAGAAAATTTTAGACCATGGTCATGGTAATCGTGTGTAACGCTCAGAGCAGCTTACCTGTGCAAAGAAAGCGGCGTACCAATATGGCCACTCTGGCTGGATGACGGCCATTAATAGTGCTGATACAGCACTGAGAGCTGATGAAATCAAAACCACCCACTTCACCGGCATACGACTGACAAAGATGCCAGTTGAAAGATTCGCAAGACCCCCAGCGATAAGGGAGGGAAGAATTCGCAACGAAGCTCCAAATGCCGAGAAGCCCTGGACTTCTTGAAAGCTGAAAGAAAAAATCAATTAGAGAGAGGTTCAACTTGCAAATATGATACCCACACTGCTTACAATAAACTGCTGAAAAGCTCCATGCAATTGGTGACGGCCGTCGTGAAGATTGCCATGATGCAGATACTGGTAAAGGCCGAACGACGCCAGAGCGAGTTGGGTATGAGTGCTATGCGATCGTTTTTGACTTGATAGTGCATCCAAACGATAAATGCTGGAATCGATACGGCGCTGATGACCAACAAGACTATATTGGATGCTTGACGGATGTTGTGGACGTCAGCCGACAAGGTGCTGTTGATGATCAATACGTGCTACAGTAGCATCGGTAAGATAAGCATGCATACTTACGCCAAAACGTACGACAAGGTCGCCAAACTGGTGCTAGCAAGAATCGTTCCAATCCAGTCAATCTCTGAGGCGAGGCGCTTCCAAATGCTCTTCCCCTGCCGTCGTCGCGAATCCCGCGGCAATGCCCAGATTCCAACAACAGACAGAGCAATACTGGTAGCTCCAGCAAAGTAAAAAGCAGGTCTCCATCCCGTGTGATCAACAAAGACTCCGCCCAGCACCAGGCCCAAGGAAAAGCCGAGAGTACTCGCGACGCCAAGGGAGGCGAAACCGATATTGCGGGGCTGCCCATCCTCGACGCTGGTCGATATGATTGAAATGGCCGACGGCGTGATCATTGCGTAGCTGATACCCTGAATGGCACGAAAGGCAATGAGTTGGCCGCCTGTCTGGGCAAATCCACAGGCCAGAGCCACGACAGCACCCAGGAAAGATCCCATTAGGTTTACTCGCTTGGTACCAGCAACATCGGCAATGGACCCGGCCATGAGTAGACAGGATCCTGCAGTGAGGTAGAATACAGAAGTCGGCCAGAGGAGGAGACCGTCTTCAAGCCCCAAGGTTTCAATCATGGCTGGCAAACCAACCACAATAACACCATTGCAGAAGCTTCCGAAAAGCGTCAAGCCCGACAGCTGAGCAATGACAATAATGGCCCGGGTTTTAGCCAAGGTTGTTACCGCCAAGGCTTCTGCCGCATCCAAAGTTGGCGATGCTTCTGCTGGCGGTTCATGGCTTTTGCGTGGCGGTGGGATCATGTGGTGACTGGCCCCAGACGCGATGAAGTCGACGGGTTGTAACTCGGTTGCTGTAATTGTCGCCATCTTGCATCAAAATCCTCGTCGCTGTTCAAGTCTAGATACAGTCTACTGAAATATCTATGCCAAAACAAAAACTGTAGACACACAAGGCGATTTGTAGGGAAAATCGAGGATGAAATAAAACTGTCATTCGTGAGCTTCTATCGTTGAGTCATGGGGTCCTGGTCTCTAGATAAAGAGTTGCCTTACATATACCCGGTCAGCGGCGGAGCCACCAGACGTTATAGAGTAAAGTGAACAGTTATGCGGAGCCACCAGTCGTTGTAGGGTAATAAAGTGAGCAGTCGTAGACGGGTAAGCACTAGCCATCTATAAGGTCTTGCGGCGGCTCTACTTCCTCGGAGATTTGTTCAATCTGTTCAACTGATTCTTGTGCCGGGGCCGGCTGAGACTTGGGAATCCTATTCTTCCTAGGCCTACCTGATCGTTTGCCTTCGAGGAAAAACTCGTCCTTGATCACAAGCTTGGGACTATTTGGATCGAATCCGCGCGACACTGCGACTCGGTATATCGTATTGATAGTGCTGGGTGGGAAAATCCTTTTACCGTCCTCGTCAACACCAAACCAGTCAGATACGGCTGTACTTGACCAGTTGAAGCGAGGGGACTTGAGAAGAACCGCGCAAGCTTTGGCTGTTATGTCCTGTTTAACTCGCGTCGGACGGGGTTCACGGTCGGCCATTTTTTTGGAGAGAAATGAAATGCGTTGGATATATTTGGATGAAATTGAACTGGAATCAGGTGCGTGATGGGTTTCGGGACCTAGGGTAGCTGACGGCAACCAGTCTTTATATATATAGAACAACAGTTGTGATTCGATTAGTTGTGCAACACATTCAATCTAAGATGAACGTGAATGATAAATGTAGCAAAGTGGACACCTTGAATGTAGCGGTGTGATGGCAGCTGCATTCTTCGGTAGGGGGCTCGGGTGCGTATATGCAGATATTCTTGAAATCAATCAGGTCTGAAAAGCATCAAAACTATCCGATCATGAGCAGCCGTACTGCTATTTATCAAAAGAATTGTGGTTGTATCCGTCTCATTAAATACTCTAGCGCAAATAAATACTGGCATTCAGATGGGCAATGTTAGTACACAGTACTTTTTCCCTCTCTTGATGTACCCATCTGAATGAGCCCGACTCACTTCAATATTGCCATGGCTGCATCAAATATCAATGGCTCCAGTACCTAATGGTTGCGAAAATGGTTTACAAGTAAGGTAGCAATAGCAACAATCACATAAGGCATCTTGTTACGGTGTCACGAGACGCAGCTGCTTGTCACTTGCCAAAACATTTACAGGTATCGATCCAGCAATTGTGTAGGTAGGTACCAAGGTGCGCGCCCAGCGGCAGTATCCGAAACCCCACGTCAACTACAACACCAGCTTCGGTTCAACCTTCTTCAACTGCGCTTCTTCAATTACGCCTAATAGTCTCGATAGCACCTCCCCCAAAGATGAGCGAAGAGGGTCGCCGGGTCTCCACGACCCCGATTCCGGTGCCGGTTCCTTTCTATGCCCAGCAAGCCATGGCCCAACCCACTCCGAGCCCGCTGTCCGCGCCACGAGTCCCTGTGATGGAGAATCCGACCGCGACGACCGCGACGACCGAGAACAACACCACGACCAGCGCTGTCGCAAAGGACGTGGCCATGACGGATGCTGAGCCCACCTCTGCCGCTGTAAGAGAAGAAAGAATTCCTGTCCATCCACCTACCTACACATTCTCCTACCGAATAGCTCTTTTTCACACTCCCCCAAAGAAGTGTGCAGCTCTTTTGCTGATATTCTACCTGCCGCGCTTTCTAGTCTCCTGCTCTTCAGCAGGGCGCATCTCCAGCTCCCAACCGAACAGGCACGCCCGCTCGCGCAACCAACGGCGTACAAGAGCACCAGCAGCAGACCAGCACGTCGCGGGCCGCCAGCGCGCATCCGGACCCGGGCTTCACCATGCAGTCCGAGGCACCGCTGCACGGCGCACCCGCGCGGCAGTACCTGAATACCAAGGTCACCGGTGTGCTTCTGGATGGTATGAAGCTGGTCGCCAAGGAACAGTACGTTGGCTTCCATGAGCGGTGGACGTGGTTTTTCTACGCCAGCAGAACTTTCTCTTCAACTAACATTTGAACCCAGGCCCAAGGACCCTCTCCGTGTTTTGGGTGAATTCCTACTTCAACGCTCAAAGGAGCTCGAGAACCAGTCATAGAGTTTCATGGCTCCCGATCATATGCATTGTTCAGGGCGTTAAGGTTATGGTTTGGATAAAGAAAATGGTACGGCTGGCTGAAGGAAAGACAGTTGCAAGTCTCGGTGGTGCTCTATACTACTACGCATTGTGATACCATTGACATTCCGGTTGGTCTGCTTATTCAAAAGATGAATTGATGTTTCTGCATTTCGTACGTTCATGAGATTTTCATTGGCATCTCTACGTGAAAATCGTTTTTCACGACTATCTAACTCGTGACGACCATTGATGACTTTTTGCCCTTATTTAAAAAGCAAATGGTTCCTTTCCGTAAACTCCATGACCAAGCACTTGATGCAGAACAAAGACCAGCCCTCTAAGCGAATAGAGACCGCTTAAGCAACAATGGTGCTGGCGGTGGCGGACTCGTACTTCCAGGTAGGAGGAAGGACACCGACGGTCTTGTAGTAGCGGGCAAGACGGTGGATACGGGACTCAATGAGAATGAGACGGAACTTGGAGTCCTTGTCCTTGCGGTTGCGCTCAAGGTGCTTGCGGACAGCGACAGCCTAATTGAAAATTAATATTTGCCAAATCGACCAAAGATTTGGGATGGGACATGGCTACTCACCTTCTTGATCAACATGTACAGATCCTCAGGGAGCTCAGGAGCGAGACCTGTGAGATCACTCTGTCAGCCATGACCGTACAGAGGCATAATGATTATTTTGCCGACTCCGAAGAGATCGCAATCTAGCAGACACAAGACTTTTTTTTTTTTTTTTCACACAATATCACATTCATCTTTCGTCGAGCGAGTTCGAGGGGAGGGTTCGTAGCGTACCGTTGGACTTGAGGATGCGCAGGATCTTGTTACCTGTTGCCCCGCAATGTTAGCAAATGTCTCGCATCTTCTGCAATTATTTTGAAGTTCTCGTCGAGAACATCCAGAGGTAAAAACGTACCAGTAACGAAGCGGACCTGGGCAATACCGTGGGAGTCACGGAGGATGACACCGATCTGGGAGGGGGTGGCACCACGCTTGGCGAGACGGCAGATCTGCTCAACGACCTGGTCGGGAGTGGTCTTCAACCACGAGGGGGGAGTGCGGCTGTAGGGGGTAGCAGAAGAGCTGATACCCTTTCCCTTGCTGTGAAGACGACCCATGGCTGCGGTGTTTGGTGGTTGACGGTGAGGTTTGGCGTCGGTTGTCGAGGTTGCTGGTCGAGTGGTCGAAATGTCAAAGTCGTGATGGAAGTTTCGCGGGTCGCAGAAAATGGATAGCAGCTAAGGAAAATTGTGCGCCTGCCAAGATTTGGAGAATTGAGGTTGGTGCTAACGCCTCTGATTGGCTAAAGACTCAAAAGCTTGGCTCACCGCCCGAGGATCTGCCGCCCGTACCCACCTGCAAGACTTGGGTTTTAGAAATTTTCAGCTCCCGAACAGTCAGGGCCTTTTTTCTTTACCTTCCACCACCAATTCTCTGTTCCTCGGATGTTACCAAATTCCTGTCGCTCATGCACACTAATGAATAGTTCTACAGAGCCTCAGAGCGCGGTTATTCAGGTAAGATAGCAACCTCTTTGCAACATCTTCTTCTTCCCCAGTGTCTCAAATGATGAAACTACACATTTGTTTACTATTTCTGGTAAGTTTGCTATCATTCTAAATCTCCAACCTCGACTAGCATGCTCACAATAACTAGGTACCTCTTATGTTATCCCTTATCGGGAAATGAATTTAAAGGACTTCTGATCGAGCACATTTTGTCTCAAATTGTCACAGCCATCTCAGATTCGGGAGTCAACGCTGACGGTTTCTACAGGGACAGCGGGGACAATCGTGAGCATAGCGACTTGTGTGGTCGTATGGTAACTTGTCGGGTGCAACTATGCATCTCAGGTCTTTACATAATAATTTAAGAATTTATCATACACTTGTTCTAAATGAACTCAACAACGTCCATTGATGAACCTCTTGCTCCATGAACGCAATACGGGTAGTCATTTGTCCACTTGCTTCCCCTATGAAGCCAACTGGGTATGAAACAAAGAGTAACCGCCGTCCCATCTTCGTTCTCACCGTATGCTTTTCGCAATTTTCGTCACTTTTTATATCCGGAAGGGGCAGGATCCTCATTAATTATAAAGCTTCAACTGCATGGAAGTATTGATTTTTTTTTCCCCTATCAAGTAGCTGACATCCCGATTGTTCGTTCTCTATGGCAAGTTCAAAATGGCAGCCGCCGTGTTTCCCCAGACTCCTGATCTCCCTTCGGAATAGAAATTTGCTGGCTATCTACCAGCAAGTAACTCTAGTCGCGACATTTTACATGAAGAGCTGCCCAAGCCCGTCCAGCGCTATGAGACGTGAACGAACGCGCGCTTCCTGACGTTTTGTCCGTCGTCATCCTCCCAATTCTCATCAACATACTCCTTAACACTCTTGTCTTGTATCTGCATGCTCACAATCTTGAGGGCTGCAATGTTGAAACCCATCTCATCCTTTTGCCGCCTCAGTGCCTTCCGGAGGTTGGTTCTAATACCATCAAGCATGGCTTTCATCGTCTTGCTGGCAACAATCTGGTTGTGATGTGTCTTGAGCATGAAGAACAATATCCGACAGGTCAAAGGAATGTTCATCGATCTCACAGCAAACAAGTTTAGAAAGGTGAAAAGCATCGGTACTGTTGCAAAAGGGAGGACAAGCAGCGCATCGTGTAGTGCTGATGCCTTGATCTTTTGCAGTACAGAAAGGACATACTCCTCAGCACTGATGCCACCAAAGGCCATGAATATGGGATTTCGCTGTGGTGGTGCGATGTTTGGGTTTGCCGCCTTGGCCTCTTCCCATTCTCTGACCACGTGCAGATCAGCCATACCCAGCTCCAATGCTTCTTGAATGCGTTCGCCAGCCATCAATGTCTCCACTGTCTGCTTGCTGGCAGCCGCAACCTCGGCATTCTGCTCTTCGTCGTCTGGATCTCTCTCGAGTGAGTTGGTGAGTGTACTCTCGTACAGCTCTTCGATCTCCTTCTCGCGCTCTTCCTCGAGGAAGATTTGCTCGTCGGTTTCGTCCCATACACGAATGCTCTTATCATGACTAGCACTGATGATGAAGTTGCCGCTCCGGCTCATTGCCAGGGCCCAGATCTCACCATGGTGGCCATCCAATCGTTGGATCTGTTCAAATTTGTCTCCATCCCAGTACTTGATAGTTCGGTCTTTGCTTGCACTGAAAAAGTGATGACCATTACCATCGTTGTTGTGGGGCACGAAAGCGACCTGTAGAATACTGTCCTGATGCGCAAAAAGTGCCTTGTGGCAATCACCAAAGTCGAGACCCCAAATGCGAATGTTCTTGTCGGCAGAACAGGTCACAATGAGTTTGCTATCGTAGGAGATGTCCATGTTCAGCACAGGCAGCTTATGGCCATAGAGATTCAAGTAGAGCTTGAGCGAGTCTGTGAAAAACACCTTCACCGTGCTGTCCAACAGCGAGACTGCAAGATACTTGGCATCTGGCGAGTACCTGAGACTGAGTATATCGTCGGAGACTTTGAGTTGTCTCGATTGTACCAGTTTCAGTTTTGGTGTTGTCCGTGTCGTTCCAAGGACTTCTTCCTGGACAATTTTAAAGTCCCAGAATTTAGCCGACTTATCAGCACTGCCGGACACCATTGAGCGACCATCCGGATGCACTTGTAGCGACCAAATTGCACCCTCGTGCGCCGAAACACTATCAAGGAGTTGCGCCGAAGCCACGTCAAATACCTCGAGCTCACCAGCCTTTGTGCCGACGACAACAACTTTGTCTCCCGGGAGGAACGCGCAGCAAAGTGCATATCCACACTCAAAGGTTCTAATACAGGACCTAGTCTTCACATTCCAGATCTTGAGAGAACCGTTAGATGCGGAGGCAAGCATTCTGTCATCGGAACTCAATGCCAGGGAGCGGATGTCCGCCCGGTGACCGGGGATATCGACTCCAAGAGATCTGGTATAGTCAGGAATATCCTCTTGTTTAGACTTTGTGCTCTTGTCTTTTGTTTGTATGTTGTACAGTTCAAGCTGGTTATTTGTCGTTCCCACGAGTAGTTGAAGTTCCTTGTGACCGTGGTTATTTGCCCAGTCAACACTTCTTACTTTGCCGCCAGTTCGAACAATTAGGTGTTGTGCAAATGCTTCTGTAATGGGTGCAGTGCTGATATCCTCATCTTCGGCGTCGACCTCGGCATCTCCGGCTTCCGCTGTGCCCTTCTTGGCGAGCTTCTCCTTTCTTCTCTTCTTCTTACGTGCCAAACTCTTCTTGATCTCGGCTTCGGAGCGTATCCGCCAAATCTCCACGGCCTTCTCTGCACCGTGCACTGTGAAGTAATCTCTGCGTGGGTGGAAAATGATCTCGGTCGCTTTGTCCTTGCCGTCACGGAAAAGAGTACCCCTGTCGTGGAGGAATTGTGTATTATGAGGGACATCGACTTGTTGTCTCGATGCGGCCAGTCCGGCGGTATCGAGAGACCACACTTTCAGTTCTCCAGAGTTGCCGCCAGTGATGCAGCCACTGAGGTCTGGCGAGACGCCCAAGGCCCAGCATTCACCATTAGTCTGTGCAATATGCGTCTCGATGCAGTGTCGCGACGAGAGATCCCAGAGTTTGATCAAAGCATCCTTGCCAGTCGAGAGCAGGAAACCCTCGGAAATGGCCGCCGACCCATCGACAATCATGGCTTGATCGCCATCTTCCTCGGCAACTTCTGGCTGTGGCTCCACGAATCGAAGACCTGTGATTTGATCCTTGTGGCCGCGTAGCTTGAATTGACCGACCTCGGCAACCAGATCCCAAACAATGACATCTGTATCCTTAGAACCACTAGCAAGCCGCACGCCAGATCCGTCGAATGCAAGAATGGTGATTGCCGACTTGTGGCCGTTGAAGCTCACAATGCTGGTAGCAATCTTGCTATCCCAGAGACGCACACTTCCGTCTTCGTATCCGACAGCAAAGACGTCTTTATCGGTCTTGCTCTGCGCAATAGCGGTCACTTGCGCCGAGCAGTTTTCATCCTTCCATCGGTTTAGGAGCTCGCCCTTTTTGATATCCCAAGTCAAAACTTCCTCGTTGGCAGCGACCACGGCCTGGCCAGCGCTGGTGCTCGATCGATCATTGGGTGTCCATAGTAGATTGGATGTGCCGGACGCTACGAGGCCGAAGGACTTCGAATGCTCATATTTGCTGAAATGAAACCTTGATTAGCGCGGCTTTAGGAAACATTCCTAACCACTGGATACTTACAGATATGATTTGACCATATTGGCAAAGTCAAGTCTCGCATGCGACAAATTTGGCTGCTTGTAAGTCAACCTGCAAAAAGCATCCCAAACTTTTTTTTCTGTAAGAGAGCCGATAAGAGATGCTTATCGGACTTTTTTCCAGGCACGGGCCAGGAGGGACTACATTAGTCGCAAGAGCTGAGCTGCCCCGCGCTTTCCCATTCCCCCTTTGAATTGGCCGGTGAATGTTCGGGCGGCCGATGAGAGCTGCGGGACCCCCCAATTCCGTACGTATTGCGACTGGACCAGCGACGTAAGCGGGTTGCCAGTGAGCATCAGGAGCAGCGTCGAGCATCACCAGCCCCACCATCCCAGGCACCTCTAATTGCAACATCGACATTGAAACACCAATATCAGCACAATAGCCGGGGCACAATAGGCAAGATGCTTCTGCTCGACTACCAGAACGTTCTTCTGCAGTCGGTGCTGACCGAGAGATTCTCGGGGTGAGACGACACCTGCTTCTGCGACCACACGCCGCTTGCTAATGCCTCGATCCAGAGCTCCCCCTGTCTCCATCGACCAGACGGTCTCCGACTTTGACGGCGTCACATTCCATATCTCTACTCCCGAAGCAAAGACCAAGATTCTGGTCTCCATCAATATCAGATGCTTTAAGGAATTGGTCACCTACGGCGCAGAACAAGTGCTGAATCGCGAATACGGCCAATATGTTGTCCCTCCGGAGCCTGGCTACGACTTCTCGATCTTGGTCGACCTGGAGAATCTGCCGGCCGAGAAAGGCATGTCCCGCAATTTTCACCGATAAAGACGTTCTACTGACCCTGTTCAGAGGAGCGCGATGAACTAGTTAAGAAGATTTCGCTCTTGAAGCGCAACGCCATGGCCGCCCCTTTCGAGGCCGCCTACGAGGAATACTACAAACTCAAGGAAGAGGCATCCAAATACACCTCGGAAGAAGCTCCTCAAGGTGTGCGAGAGGGTGGCGACGTCATGGCAATTCACTACCGCGAGGAAGAAGCCATCTATGTCAAGGCTAGCCACGATCGTGTGACTGTGATTTTTAGTACTATTTTCCGAGAGGAGACGGATCGTATCTTTGGCAAGGTCTTTATCCAGGAGTTTGTCGATGCACGAAGAAGAGCCATTCAAAACGCACCTCAAGTGCTGTTCAGAAACGACCCGCCTCTGGAATTGCAAGGAGTGCCTGGCGTTAAGTCCAGCACTGAGGGCGAAGTTGGCTATGTCACCTTTGGTAATGATGTTTTCTAAGCTGGGCATGTAGCTTTGCTAACTGTTCTAGTCCTATTCCCTCGACACTTGACACCGCAACGAATGCCCGATGTCATCTCCCACATCCAGACGTTCCGCGACTACTTCCACTACCACATCAAAGCATCCAAGGTAAGGAAGGACCCACAAGATCGCTTGTGGGGAGAAATAGCAGTCTAATGAATGGCAGGCGTATATCCACTCTCGTATGCGACGGAGAACTGCAGACTTCCTCCAAGGTATGTATCATATTGTCACGCGGGCGCTGGTCTTGACTAATGAGCACAGTTTTGCGACGGGCCAGACCAGAGAACGAGGAGAAGGAGAGAAAGACGGCAAGCGGACGAACCTTCAAGGTTCAAGCGGCATGATCCAGTGCTGGAGCAGCCCACACCGAGTAGTATGGTCCAAGGAAGCAAGAATCCACACAGCGAATCAAATAAATCACCCAAGCAACGAAGTATCATGGTGCCTCCTAATGATATTGCGTTGTCTGTCTCCTGGGCGGCTTGCAAGTTACCAAATCGATGCTGCCAAGATAGGTTTCTTGTTCTTTGCTTGTGACGCGCTTTCTGCTATCTGCTGTTCTTCGGTACAGATCATTTATACGTGCCGAGTCAAGTATCACTACTGGAGAAAAGATGTCGTCGGCCACCTCAATAGTTTTAAGCTGCTACTTGTTAGTCAAGCAAACTTTGGAGGCCTTTACTATACGTAATAACGTGAAAAGTTTTCAACAATTAGCAAGTCAGTCGTTTGACTGACTTGTGCCATCACCGACCTCGTCGTCGGCCCGGTTAGCTCAATCGGTAGAGCGTGAGACTCTTAATCTCAAGGTTGCGGGTTCGACCCCCGCATTGGGCTCAATTCCCAATGCGTTCTATTCAATAGAACAAGTTGACAACTCTCTTTTTTTGTTCTCGTTTTTATTTTTTTGTCTTGTCCAATTTGCTAGTGACTTGGAAATATTCTTCTTTTTCTCTTTCTTGTTCTCCCCTTTCATTTTGGTGCTATATTCACGCCTTGAAAAGCTCTGCAACTTTGTAGCTTCTGCAGTCGCGTCCCACCTTTTTTTCAATGTGACTAAGCGACCATCGATTACCCGCCACGCCAAAAAATCTGCTAACGTAATATGGGCTAGCTAGGCAGAGGTACAATTTCTTGAAGCAAGCATTGGGACAACCTCATTCATTGCAAAGCTCATTCCGCATCACGCGCAAAGACAAAGTTTCATCAAACGGGCAGTGAAAAAGGTCATGACAGACGGTGGCTAATTTTCCATCATGTCGGACGCTGACTTTGAGACGATCAGAAAGCTCCAGCAAGAGCGCAATGCTGCCGCAGCTGCCAAGAAGGGGTCGCGTACCTTCGACCCCAGCAACCAGCGATCCGACACGTCCACCAAGGCCAAGTTGACGGACTCCTTCGACACCGATCTCTATTCACGCGATGGAGATGACAGGTTTGCGGGCTATCTTACCTCGATTCCTGCCGATGGAGACAACGGCGACGAGGAGATGGCAGATGCCGATGCCGACAACTCGCGAAGACTAGTTGGCCAATATACAGCCACCCAGTCCCAGATTGACGAATTCGCGCGCGGGCACGGAGTCGAGGAAGATGATCCATTTGCAGGCCGCGGAGAGCGAAGCACTCGAATTGCCGACCGCGAGACCGACTATCAGAAGCGCCGCTTCGACCGTGTTCTCACCCCAACCCGCGCTGACGCCTTTGCTGCTAATCGCCAAGCTGGCGCAGCTGACGATGGCGAGACCTACAAAGATATCATGGAGCGACGAGAGCTCGAGCGGGAGGAAGAAAGGGTACAACGGGCTATCGCAGCAAAGCGACAGGAGGGCGAAGATGCCAACGGCGAACACGAAGCTACCCTCCAGAATGGAGACAAGGAGAACGCTGAAGCTGGATCGACCGAGGCTGTGACTGCTGGCCGCAAGCGAAAGAAGAGATGGGATGTCTCGTCCACGGCTGTCGATGAGCCAGAGACGGGCGATGCGGGGAAAAAACGATCCCGATGGGACCAGGCTCCCTCTCTGGCTGCTCCTGGAGCAGCTGATGCTGGCAAGAAGCGATCACGTTGGGATCAAGCACCAACTGCCACGCCGATGGGTCCTAGTGGTCTCGCTACGCCCATGCACACCTCTGCCATTGGAGGGCCTGTGCCTTCATTTGGAACCGACATCTCTGGGCCAAACGCCCCCATCAGCGATGAGGAGTTGGACGAGTTACTGCCAGGACCTGACGATGGCTACCAAATCCTCACGCCACCCCCTGGATATGCTCCCGTTCGAGCACCCACCCACAGAGTTGTTGCCACCCCCGTGCCCACCAGTGGCTTCATGATGCAGGATCCAGATAGTGTCAGATTGGGTGGTGCTCCAATGCCAAAGGAAATCCCAGGTGTTGGTGATCTTCAGTTCTTCAAGCCTGAGGATATGGCATATTTTGGCAAGCTCACCGATGGCTCAGACGAAGATGCTCTCAGCGTGGAAGAGCTCAAGGAGCGAAAGATCATGAGACTGCTTCTCAAGGTCAAGAACGGAACTCCACCAATGCGTAAGACTGCTCTCAGGCAGCTAACCGACAATGCACGTAACTTTGGTGCTGGACCTCTGTTCAATCAAATTCTACCCCTGCTCATGGAGAAGACCCTTGAAGACCAGGAACGCCATTTGCTCGTCAAGGTTATTGACCGTATTCTCTACAAACTAGACGATATGGTGCGGCCTTATGTACACAAGATCCTGGTCGTTATTGAGCCTCTTCTTATCGACCAAGACTACTATGCCCGAGTCGAAGGTCGAGAGATTATCTCCAATCTCAGTAAAGCGGCTGGTTTAGCGACCATGATCAGTACCATGAGACCAGATATTGACCACGTTGATGAGTATGTGCGAAACACCACGGCTCGTGCTTTTGCCGTTGTCGCATCGGCTCTAGGCATTCCAGCACTCCTGCCATTCCTTCGCGCCGTATGCCGCAGCAAGAAATCATGGCAGGCTCGACACACTGGTGTGAAGATTGTCCAACAAATTCCCATCCTGATGGGTTGCGCCGTTCTGCCTCACCTCAAGGGACTAGTAGACTGTATCGGCCCTAACCTCAACGACGAGCAGACCAAAGTCCGAACGGTGACCAGTTTGGCGATTGCAGCTCTAGCAGAGGCATCAAACCCGTACGGTATTGAGAGCTTCGACGACATTCTCAACCCCCTATGGACTGGTGCTAGAAAGCAACGAGGCAAAGGTCTTGCTGGTTTCTTGAAGGCCGTCGGTTACATCATCCCTCTTATGGACGAGGATTATGCCAATTATTACACTAGCCAAATCATGGAGATTCTTCTCAGAGAATTCTCCTCGCCGGACGAGGAAATGAAAAAGGTTGTTTTGAAGGTGGTATCTCAGTGCGCTGGCACCGAGGGTGTGACAGCAGGGTACCTCAAGGAACATGTGCTAGATGAGTTTTTCAAGAGTTTCTGGGTACGCCGTATGGCTCTGGATAAGAGAAACTATAGGCAGGTGGTGGAGACGACGGTCGACATTGCTCAAAAGGTAGGAGTTAGTGAGATTGTCGAGCGCATTGTTGGCAACCTTAAGGATGAGTCTGAGGCATATCGAAAGATGACTGTTGAAACAGTCGAGAAAGTGGTGGCCAGTCTAGGTGCAGCGGATATTGGAGAAAGATTGGAGGAGCGCCTGATCGATGGTATCCTCCATGCTTTCCAGGAGCAAGGTGTTGAAGACGTCATCATGCTGAACGGTTTCGGCACTGTCGTCAATGCTCTGGGTACTCGTTGCAAGCCATATCTCCCCCAGATTGTCAGCACCATCCTGTGGCGCCTCAACAACAAGTCAGCCACGGTCCGACAGCAAGCAGCCGACCTCATCTCCCGTATTGCTATGGTCATGAAGCAGTGTGGCGAGGACGCGCTCATGGGCAAGCTTGGTGTGGTTCTCTACGAATACCTGGGTGAGGAATACCCAGAAGTGCTAGGATCCATTCTGGGTGCCTTGCGTTCGATCGTCACAGTCGTTGGTATCAGCCAGATGCAACCGCCGATCAAGGACCTACTCCCACGTTTGACTCCTATTCTACGAAATCGACACGAAAAGGTGCAGGAAAACACCATCGACCTCGTCGGACGTATCGCAGATCGTGGACCAGAAAGTGTCAATGCTCGCGAGTGGATGCGTATCTGCTTCGAGCTGCTCGACATGTTGAAGGCTCACAAGAAGGGTATTCGAAGAGCTGCCAACAACACATTTGGTTTCATCGCCAAGGCCATTGGACCTCAGGATGTCCTGGCAACGCTCCTCAACAACTTGCGTGTCCAAGAGCGTCAATCGCGTGTCTGTACGGCCGTTGCCATTGGTATCGTCGCGGAGACTTGTGCGCCGTTCACTGTGCTGCCAGCCCTCATGAACGAATATCGGGTGCCCGAGCTGAACGTCCAAAATGGTGTTCTCAAGTCCTTATCCTTCCTCTTTGAGTATATCGGTGAGATGGCAAAGGACTATGTCTACGCTGTCACGCCACTATTGGAAGATGCGTTGATTGATCGCGACCAGGTGCACAGACAGACGGCGGCATCTGTCGTCAAGCACATTGCACTAGGAGTTGTCGGCCTAGGCTGTGAGGATGCGATGGTCCATCTCCTCAACTTACTTTACCCCAACCTCTTTGAAACATCGCCACACGTTATCGATCGTATCATTGAGGCCATCGAGGCCATCCGTATGGCTGTTGGTCCCGGCTTGGTCATGAACTATGTTTGGGCAGGCCTGTTCCACCCTGCTCGAAGGGTGCGGACTCCATATTGGAGATTGTACAATGACGCATACGTGCAGGCGGCTGATGCTATGGTGCCATACTATCCCAATTTGACGGACGATGGCATCGACCGGCCTGAATTAGCGATTGTGCTGTAATTATTGGACACAAATGTATGTAGAGAAAAGATGATTGAAGTTCAGCCGTATTATGCGTCATTTGATTATTACAACTTGGGCACCAGTCTGCCACAGCTATTGCAAATCCGGCAGGCTCAAGAGGATAGTTCAGCAGGAGTTTGGGTCGTATTGTGCCTGTGTTGGTTGTTATGGGCTTGGTGTAGTATAGCTAAATGGGCCAACAAAATGGAAAAGACATTAATTCATTATGGCATGGCGACTCAGGCGTGGACAGTGACATACCGTCGTGTTACGAGTTTGCAAGCAAGTCGCTGGTTAAGAAGTCACTGTGTTGAAAGACGTCGGGGACTTGAACAAATCACTCGACACAGTAGGCATTGCAATACTCAACCAACCCAAATTTACACGCTGATGTACTCGTTGAGTTGGGGATACTCCTTTCCCGTTGGTTACTCGGGAGATGTAAGGCAACAGTCACTGCGACCTTGGATATCAAGTTCTCTTTGAGGTGTACATTTATCTGACTCTTCCAGGTCACGCTCGGTTATAAAATGACAAGGGGAGAAAACAAGCTGAACCGGGCCCCTCGTTCATCTCATGACTTTGGTTCCCGTCTGGCTACCAGAAACAAAACAGATATATTGGCAGAAACATGACCGAGAACATTCAGATGGCAGACTCATGATCGGAGAACATGTTATTCGCTTACGAGACCTAACGTGAGCATTGTAGAAGTAACAGCATCGGAACATATAGTTCGCTTATTTGATAATCTGCTTTACTCTCCTTCTGTCAATCAATAACTACTTGTGTCTGATGTGAACACGCAACAGAGGGGATAAAAATGCTCTTAGCCATATAGCCAGAAATAATACCCAACACAAGACAGCCGTCAAACCTTTCGACTTGCCTCATAGCGAGCGACGTGATATAGTTGTCTATATATTTCTTCATGTCAAGTTTCTGCCCGAGGTTCTGAGTGTTGATTGAATCAAATTTTGAGCAACATGATCACTTCTTGGGAATAGTCTTGTCAAGCGATAATTGCTGCAGCCGTACTACGACAAGTCAGACGTTGCAAATTCGGGAGACTGTGAACTGAGAAACCCGCAAGACAATGGCCAACTATGAGAGTGATCAACATTAGTTTATCATTATACTCAACACTATCGTCTATGTTGATAAAAAGTGTCATTCAGTGATACCTGGTGCACCATGGTTTGAGCATCTCTTCTTAGTACGGTTCGCTGCGCCAAACACCACGACAGATATGGCGTTACGGACGGCTGAAGTTGTTTCAGGGCCCGAGAATCGCGCGAATCTCGCTATAAGCCCGTAACTTTGCATGAGTGAGGCCGAGTAAACGACTGAGAGTCACGATCCGTTCGCCCGGCAGCTCTCACCGCGGCTTACTCTGCATTTTGAATATGCCGAGGTACTTAGTATACCAAGAGAATGCTCTACTGACTCTAGACAATTGATGAGAATTCAAAATGCTATCCCACCATGTACATCTATCTATCTGCCTGTGCAAGTTTCTATTTAGTAAGTCTTACTCAAGAGAAATCTTGCAACCCAAGAACCCAAATTATGCTTAACTGTATCCTCAAACGACGGTCTCAAATTGCCCTGGACAGCTGCATTCAGAGCGCCCATCCCCGTCCTCCTTGGCAAGAGAATTCCCACGCGCTGCTGCTCACTCATTGATCCGGGCACCAACTCACAACTTGGTAGTAAGCAGAGCGAGGTTCACATGTCGTTTCCTGATGACAACTTGACACCTAGGCACCGTGAAACGAGAGCACGGTGAAAGTATTTCCTTGGGATCCGCCCTGTGCGTCATAGGCCCAGAGAGCAAAAGACAAGAGAAAAAAAGCCGTTGGAAAGATCTCCAAATGAAAGACTGGCGCACGTTTCACAAGGCGCGCAGGCAAGTTGAGTTTTTGAAATAGGGTTATTTCAAACGCGCAGCAGAGTGGGCAAATGATGATGGTCATGTCGGTGCTTGCTTTTTTTCTTATGCTGTGTATACTCGCTACTGGATATTTTTTTTCATAAAGAAGAAAGAAACGCTGATCTGCATGATTCTCTCCCGCCAGACCCTCCTAGCTGAGCCATGCTGTCGGGAGATGATCGTCGGGGGGTACCTTTTCCCCTTCGATACCAACATTACGCAGATCCCCTTTAACGTCCTGACGATCACCAAAACAAGCTTCCGTCACGTACTTGTTCTAGACGATTGTCATGTTGTATAGACCTTTGAGATTTCTGTAGACTGTTTTTGATTGGAAATCATAAGCGGGCAAGACTATAGTACCGCAATTAGTACCTCAGTTACGCATGGGCGTAGTCGCGCAGATCGAGCATCTTGTCTTGACAAAGAGGATGTTTGAAATATCCTATGGGAGAGAGTAATGCCAAGCTAGTAGGATTTCGACACTGCCACTCTCTTCCTCAAGGCGTCGCCGAGAAGGCAAGATTACAGGTCCCCTATCTCTTTCACTTATCACTTTGGGTGTTGAGAAAACGGATCCGTGAGAGTGGGAAAGGACAAGAAAAAGAAAAGAAGTCTCTAAAATGGGGGGCCTTCTAGCACACCGTGCGAGGCCATTCGATTCCCAGTTCGTCATATTTGCCAACCCCTTATCAAGAGACTTGTCTCTCTCTCGTGCTACTTGCCCTCATATCATCTTTTTTCTGGGGGTTTTACCATTTCACTTTTGTCTTGTGATTACCGACGACGCCCCGTAGCTTAGAATCCTCCCCTCTGCGCCCCCAATCCCTTCCCTCGGCAGTTGGAATGCTCTTGACCTTGGTAAACCGGGCCATTCAGTAAACGATGCTGACTGACAAGATTCCCCCCCCATCGCCGTCCCACCGGGTACCTTTGTAAAAAAAAAAAAAAACTACCACAGTTCTTTTACGATTCCAACATGTCTTACCCCGACACATCCGGGAAAATGCCAGTGAGCAGCGCAAGGCAAGATGACGCCCCATCTATCGCGTGTCTACCTTGTTGAACATGTATACAGGGCCATGTTTGACAACTTGGGCGCCCAATTGGATTATAGATTAGGCCTGTACGTAGTTGTCTTTTGCAGCCTCAACGCCCCTGGGGATTGAACCTTGGGGGATGTGGGCCCCCAAGTCCGGCTCTCCGACGTTTCCGCGCCAAGTCACAGGTTGTACCCAAGAGAGAATGTGTCCATGTGTCTCTGTCGCCCGGGTTCCCCTGAAGACGAACCTGAGCACGACATTCCTGAAACTTGAGAGCTTTTCTCTTGGTGATAGTAAACTAGTAGTCTCTAGCATACAGAAACGGACTCTAACTTACTACTGCTATCCATCATTCCCCTTGGACCCCACCAACCCTTGGCTTCCAAGGAACTTCAAGACTGGGGTGTAGTAGTATAGCGCAGTGGCAAAGAAGGGGAAAATGGATTCAACAGATAGTGAGAATTGCGCTACCAATATGACTATTTCACTGGAAGAATGACTAGAAGACATTACTACGAGGGTACTTTTGAGGCCTAAGCGTCCGGTCCGTCTTACTTTGTTAGTTCCAACGTCTCTAGTGTCGGCATGGCGGTCGACGGGTTTTCTTGGTTTGAACGGGAGGCTATCATTCTTGGTGCGTTGACTATTATTTCCTTCTATTTCCCTTTTAGGTCGAGCATCTGTGCAAAGTGTCGAGTCATGGATGGTCTTTTTCGACTGGCTCGTGGTTGGTCCCTGGTTTGCTCTGCTTTGTTCCCTTTTGCACTAAACTACGCCTACTTTTCCTGGGAAACGCTTGGAGTGAGGGTCCTGTTGCCTAGGAACGACCATGGATGTCTCCCGCCCGTAGGGATGGCGCTTCGTTTGGTGTCTCTCTTAGTGGTCCGCGAGAGAAGAAAAAACTTACTCAATTCCAAGCCTGCCATTCAAGCCATGGTCAAATGGCCGACTAATGGCTTGCGGAAATTCCTCCGACCAGCCTAAAGACTGTTCGCCTCCTTCACGGGCCAATGCCACAGCCTTGACCATCTGAACTATTATGGCCTGAGATACTGTAGTGCACTACTAAGCTGGTGCCGCGGAACTGCCTTCTCTCGATTCCTAGCAATGAGCTGCAACAGACCCCCATACCAGTCAGTACATAGGTAGTGATTCAAGTGTCCGATTACTCCTGAGCAGGCCCGACCTTGCTCACTGACAGCTCTTGTGTGATTAAATGTTTACTGTGTAAGCAACATGACAAGGGATCCCCCCCATTTGATTCACAGGGGAAAGACGCTGACGAGAGAGCGAAGAAAGAGATGGCTTGGGACAAGTAGCGTGCGGACAGCGGGAGCACGGGCTGTTGGCATCAAGTGAAGGGAGCCTGGTCGAGAAATGCTCATGACACGTGGGAGGTCAAGGAAATCAGTCGTTGCAGCGCAAATCACTCACGATTATGGCACAATTCCGCTTGAGTATCTGATGGTTATCTGATGATTCTCTGCCAATCAGTGCCTAAAACGGAGGGGGGAAATCTCAGGATTGAGAGAGTTTTGCGTTAGTCACCGAAAAAGAAACGAAGGAGAAGAAAGAATATGGGACGCTCCGTCGTGCTGGGTTCGGTACGTAACTTTGATGAACGCCACCAACCAGTTCAATATTGGAAACTTGATATGAAAATCCGGGGTAACTTGATCAGTGCTTCTTCCTCCCTGGCAGAGACCGACTTGCTGGAAACTCTCGGAGGCATCACGGCGAATTATCTCAGGAGAAAACAACTCAATTACAGCAGCTACTAGTACATGCCGGGAGAGACGAATACCCATAGACATACGCAATGTTGGGACTGGTTGAGAAATCTGCGGCTGTCAATACTACGTCGCCCAAAAGCAGTGTGAATTTTTTTTTTTTCCTGATTTGTTTTCTTTCTCTTCTTCTTCCTCCTTCATGACAAATACTATAGTAGGTACTTACGGTACCGACAGTACTTCTGACTGTAATTTCCTATTTTTCCTACTGTCAGCACGCAATCATCTGAG